AAAAAAAAAAAAAAAGAAAGGAAAGAAGGGAAGTAAAATGAGCAAGCTATTGAGGTTCTTTGCGACAGTGCTTCCCTGTTTCGGATCGGCCGACTCTATCCTCGACAAAAAGAAAGCTGAAGCAGATGCCGCGTGGGAGGCCAATTTGCTCTGTGACATGGAACACAGAATCGGAAGGCAACAAATACCATGGCTTCTCATATCATGCGAGTGGAGAGAGCTTAGACTGTAAGGATATGCCCTCTAAAAGCGACATCATGTTGGAAGTTAAGGAATGCGCCAAAACGCACAGTGCCCAAGGCGCCCCCACTGGCTGCTGCAAGACGTCAACCTCTCCCAGTCGTTGGGAATTGCGTGTCAGCATGAAAAAGACAGCCAATCTCACAGACTTTGTTAACTGTTAGTACGATATTACATTACGACAATGTGGGGAAGTCGGGCGATATTATTGCAGAATTGGGTTTCAGATGGGCGTTTTGCGGTTTTGAAGGGCGATGGGAACGGCAATTCACAACTTGTTAAGTGGGCCATGGTGCAAAGATTATAGTCATAGACCTTGGACTATTTTCACCTTTGGAAAATGCTAGCCAGACACCCTCGTCGCTAATAGACTTCCATAACTGAACTTGTAACGATGTTCCGGACCTGCGTGAGCTCCAATATCACCACTGGGTCCGGAAGACATTCTATTGTTGGATGAAGAAAATGAGCCAGTCCAGATTTTGTGACTGTACAAGTTGAATGCGGGATCATGTTAGAGCAAGGCACAAGAAAACGTGCCGTGCTAGCATTGGAAGCAGAACTTGTTGGTGGAAACCTTATTCAAAGCAGGGATTGGGTTCGGATCTGGAGATGAACCACATTGCATGGTGAGATCCACCAATCCGTTTAACTTGCTTTTGGGAGCAGACGTCGACATTGATTCTCGCCAGGTTCACGAGCCTCGATGATCGGCTGACTCATCCCAAGTGAAAACGACCGAGTAGGATACGAGTATAGCGACGAGGTCCAGAGTGTCGTCCCAGATCCAGTCTGTGACGTATTCATCTGTTCTGGAGTACCCGATGACAAGTCAGTGTCAATACTGGAGTGTTGGATGAAGAGACAAAATGACGCATCAATTGTCGTGAGTTATTTCTGTCAATCTAAATAAACGACATGATCTTCTCCGTCAGCGACCAGGATATCTTTTCATTTTTGCTCCGATCCAAAAAATAGATCAAAGTTTGTCACAAATATTATCTCATTGGTTATCAGGCGTCATAGGAACTCCCGAGCGCTCATTAAATATGGAACTATTCCTCACTTTTCGCTCGATACGAGATATCTCTCATCATCATCCCAATGCAGCAGTCGCCGGGTCAGATTACGGGGCTGTGATTTTCTAAGCCTCATTGTTGTATTTCCTCCGTCAGATCATCTGCGAGAAATAATTGCTATTGGACAATAGTGGGCTGTAGTGCTTACTGTGGACATAGAGGATCTTGTGATTATACAAATGAGGCAAATGTGCACATGCGTGAGGCTGAATGGAATATCCACCGGAATAGATATCGTTGCGGGATTTCCGTCTCTGGATATATAAAGACGTGTCTTGACTCGTACATTCAACATATCATCATTCAACTTCCACTTCAATCAAGTTCAATCAATCCAGACAACAGCAATAATGCGTTTCTCCACTGTCCTCGCCGGCCTCGCAGCCTTCACCACCACCGTCACCGCCGCTCCTCCTCAGGAAAAGCCCTACGTCGGCGTTGCCATGATGACCTACAACGACCCCATCAACGGCGAATCCAGCAGCCTTCCCCAGAATGTCCCTCTTGGCGTTCTAACCCACCAGGACAACGTCAAGATCACCGAACTCGAGATCGTCAACGTCTTCTCTACTGTCAAGGGCGTCAAGGCTCCTAAGGATGACCAGATTGTTTGTCAGATGTACAAGGACAAGTACGCTACTATCCCTGGCAGTGCTGAGTTTACGGCGAAGAAGTCGGCTGTTATCAGCACGAACTCTGTTCCACTTGGATGGATCCTTTGTCGTGTTAAGGCTTCTTCTTAAGTGAAGTCGAAGGACTCTGGGGACTAGTTATGTACAACTGCTCCGTTAGGACTAAGAGCAATAAATCGTTCATGTCATATAACGTCTTGGAATGTAAATCGATAAATAGTCCAAAGGCTTATTCTAGGTTTGCATCAATCCAGACTGCTAACGGTGCCCGCCTCTATAATCCTAATAATTAAAGAAGGCTTTAACTAGTCTAGAGGATGTTCTAAACCTAGCTTTTCCAAGCTCATTTTGCCTTCAGCAGCACGGCGAATACCGCTAATTCCAGCTTTTGTACCAGTAATAGTTGTTACGACAGGAAGCTTTAACCTTTCTTTATCATTTGCCAACAGATGTTCCATAACCTTGCGCACTCGGCCAGACGAGTTAGGGTCCTGAGGTGCCCCCATAGCGTTGAGACTACCCTTCGGTCGGAACGAAGCGCAGAACCCGAAATCGGAATCTGCAGGGACTGGGAGTGTGCAAGCTAGACGGAGGTCACCGGGGTTACTTGCTGATAACGCAAGTCTAGTCAGCTCCGGGCCGCTTGGGCCGGTAGGAGGTCCATGATTTGTTGTTCCTTTGCCGACGGTGTCAAAAGCGATGGCCAACTCGATTCCAAGGGGTTTCTGACCTGCTTTCATATCCTATACTACAGTCGGGCTCTTGTAGTCAAAACAATTCGTCGCGCCGAAGTTTCGAAGTACATTGTGGTTCTTGGTAGATGCAGTAACAAAGATGTACTGAAAACCGGCAGCCCTTGCGATCTGGGTGGCCATGATGCCAACACTACTTGCGCCCCCCCAGATGAGAATTCCCTTTCCAGAAACGCTGATGCCAGGTACGTCGGCAGGAGGGAATCCCAGACCGATGACATTCAACAAGGCATCTGATGCTGTGTGTGCAGCTATACATATAGTACTCGCGTTCTTGGAAGATATACCAGCTGGGATCTTGTAAAGCAAGTCCGATCTGGCGACCATCAAGTCTTGATGGGCTCCGTAGCAGAATTGCATAGGGACCACAACCGGCGAAATACCAAAGACAGCATCTCCAGTCCTGAACGACGTATCCGAGCCAGATTTCTCTACTGTGCCCGAGAATTCATGTCCAGTGATGAAAGACTCGGGCCCAATATGAAGAAGTTAGGATCGCAGGGATTGATGGCTGAGTAATCGACTCTGATAAGACATTCGGACTCCCTTGATATTGCAGGTCTGATTCACTTGCTGGATCACAAGATCGCCAGTAGTGAAGAGGAGAATGGATTTAGCTATGTTACGTTTTTGTTGAACTGACTTGTAGTGTAACAGGAATGAATAGGGTTTGATTGACAAACTTGACAGTGAAATGCAAGGTAGATACGTCTGTTTAAATCCTTTTGGAATAGAGTGTACATGGACATCTTGCAGAGGTTGGTATGCCCGCCGGCGACGGTCGTCGGGCGAATTTCGATTGGACTATACGACTTAATAACTAACCTTCAAGAATTCTACATAGAGGTCGGGCGAATTTCGACCCCGAGACCGCATCCAGAGAACACCCGTTGCTGTTTAACCTCTTCAGCAGACGGAGTAGAACTTGAAGGTGTCTGTAACACGATCCCTGACCTTGCTCGTATCAAGGCATATACGAGTATCAATTACCAAGCATTTCAAAAAATTGGACGTCAGGGCGTGCGCAGACTCAGATTAGCGTTGAGGGTTTGCTGTAGTATAAACAGACAAGTGGTTCCAGGAAAGTTTAACACGGCGTTATCGGGCCCGGACGCTATCTCCGCACCCCTATTAAATAATAATCTATTCTTAAAACAAAACATGCATCCTATGTGGATCAAATGTTAATTTCTAGCTTTACTACCTGCTTAAGGTTCTAGGAACAAGCTTTAAAATACTTAGTATCACTATTGCAGAATTATCCTATATACACTAAGTATAAGAATTAAGACTAGTTCTTACAAGTACAACTATACCAATTACCTTTTTGTAATATTGAAAGGGAATGTATTAGTTCTTAATTGTTTCTTAAAAGCAGCTTAGAGTTATCTAACCTTGCCTTTCCAGTATATGCACTAAATATTTAGTACAATATTATATTATAGACCGTATAGACAACCTTTATATCTATAGCTTCTTCTCTAGAAAGATTAAAGTTCTACCCCAGTGCTACCTACTGTAATATACTAAGCGCAGCTGAATTTTCCCGGGTAGATTGGTCGAATAGTTGGCCTTGTATTGTTGAACCTGCACCAGCTTGCATTTCTTGAATATTTTGCGGACTCAAGATCTTGAAGATTATGTAGAGGTAAGTTAATATGATCTCAATTATGATAAAATATTGAGATATGCAATTAAGCGGAGTCCCTACAGAAGCGGACGTCGGTATCCTCGGATGTCCGCAAATGGGAAGTCCGAGGGTGAAAAGCAGTCCAGAGAGCAAACAAGTCTTCCGAAAATTCATCGCAAGATATTTGCCCTAATAGGAAACCCCTACCGCCGAGATGTTCCGCAAAGCTCAGGGATCATACATGCTACCAACACTAATAAAGTACTTAAGAACATCTTTTATCATATCTTTTCACCTACGCCCTCTTCTGTTTTACATTCCTTCATCTCCGCCACCTTGTATCCAAGCTCCATCACTATTCATCTCTCATATCCGTCATCATGTCAGCACTTTCAGTCTCACCTCTCGACCTAGCGCCGACTGAGTTTCGTGGGCAAAAGTACCGGGTAGGCGACCCCGGCTACAAAGATGCACGTCTCATCTTTAATATGGCCAAGGATGATTGGCTTCCTGCCCTTATCGCCCGCCCAGCTGATGTGGCCGACCTACAAGCCCTGATGCGTCACGCCTTTACCAACAATATCCCGGTTGCGATCCGTGGCGGCGGGCACGGAGCAGACGCGTCTGCCATGCCTCATGACCAGCTTGTCGTGGATATGAGTCAATGGAAAGAAATTTCAGTTGATGTCAATACCCAGGTTGTCCGCGCTTCTGCTGGGGCCTGTCTAAAAGATTTAGATGCGGCCTGTGCGCAGCACGGCCTTGTCGTTCCTGCGGGTACGGTCAGTCACACCGGCATTGCTGGCTTGACACTGGGCGGTGGTGTGGGAATGAATATGAGACGCTTTGGGGCCACTGTCGATAATCTTCTTGCTTGCGAACTCGTCACGGCCGACGGCCGATTCGTGAGAGCTGACAAGGAGGAGAACCCAGACTTGTTCTGGGCACTTCGAGGCGGCGGCGGTAATTTCGGCGTGGTAACGACTTTTGAGTACCGTGCCCACAAGTTTCCTGCTGAGGTTGGCCTGGCAACTCTCATCTTCGATATTGTTGAAACCAAACAAGTGCTCTTGAAGATGACTGGCTTTATGAAATCTGCTCCTCGAGAGCTACAGGCCATCCCGGCCTTGGTAACACTACCTCATGCTCCCCATGTTCCTGAGGAGCTTCACGGAGCCCCTGGTCTGATCATGATATGCGCCTTTTCTGGACAAGAGGCTGATTTCGAAGGTGTTGTACGAGATGTCGCGGCTCTGGGCAAGCCGACTGCAATTGAGAAACACATGAAGCCATGGGTAGAAGTCAATAGCTTCCTCGATGCCATGGCTCCATATGGTATGAGGTCAATCACAAGAGGGGCTTACTTTTCCGAAGTGACCGAACAAATGATCGACAGGATGATTGCAGCTGCTGAGCGGGCACCTGATGGGCATGCTCAAGAGCTGTGGTTCTTTGCTGGAGGAGCGATTACGGAGGATTTTGAGGAAGACTCATGCGCCTTCTCCCGCGAGGGCGCCCTTGGGTTCTATCAAATTGTTGCCCAATGGAAGTCTTCGTCTGGTGATGAGGAGCACATGTCTTGGGTTAATGAAACAGCCGACCAAGTAGCAGAAGGCTGTTTACGCAACGGGTACTCTAATTTCAGTATTAATCTTGGGCCGGAGTGGGTTCGTAATCTTTTCGGCAAACCAGAGAAATACGAGCGATTACTTGTTGCTAAGAAGAGATGGGACCCAAAGAACATGTTCCAGTTTAATAAGAATTTCCCGGTTAATTAACATAGATCTGGAAATTAGTATCTTTTAAATCATATTATAAAGAAATATAAAAGTAAAATACAAAAACTAAATATACTATGGCAGTTTCTAACTTAACAAGAATACACATTGTCCGTTTGATAAGGTACTGAGTTTTTCAATCCAACTACCGATCATAAACATCCAAATTAACTGAATTGAGAAGCGCGATTGACTTCTTCCTCCAAATATCCTTCTCAACCGTGCTGCTAAGGTTCCCTCGGTATAGAAAGTTCTGTGGAGACCCATGACCCTTCGTCTTGTAAATTAGCCAAGCAGGAATTGGGTTGCCTAGACTTATCATAGCATCCTTTCGACCCTTCCATCCGTTCGGATCTCCCGTTACCACAAACTTGACCAAATCGCCAGACATGAGCCTTGCGAGATCCCTGTACGACTCTGGTAAACCCTGGAAAGGTGGTGTGCGTATTGGTGCGTAGCCTGTGCCGTTGAGATTCATCATAGAGAATGCCACATCGACGAAGTGGGTTGCCCCCTGGACATAGGTAGCCCATGCGGGAATCGCGTCGAATCGATAGGAATACACAGGCAGTCCCTTGGATGCCCAAACCTCGGCGGCCAGTCTTCGAGGTGCCACCATGTTGACATCGCCGTAGTAAGTCGCCGCTCTTCGGAATTGTTTACCATATTTGGGAGGAGGTACCCAGTCAGCCGCAAGATTGTGAAGGACTTGGTGTTGGCTTCGTTCGGGATATGCTTTAGCGACCGTGCGGGCAAAAGAGCTGTTAATAGGTGGAGAAGAGTTCTCTATGGCTGAGATAAACTGCGCAGTTGTGTTGATGCCCGTTTTTGAGAAGCTTGTGCCTTCGTCGGTGGTCGCTCCCATGATGATAGGAACCTTGACGAAAGCACCATCTTTCAACTGCTGAGAAGAGTGTCGGGCTGCAAAGTCTCCATCTATCTTTGGATTCCAACCTGAAAGGGCAGTACTATTGAGTGCTTTGTCGAGATCGACAAAGGGAAGAGACCGTAGACATTCGAGCGAGGTACAGCTAGTATTCTTGAGAAGTAACTCGTACAAATCCTCCGATAGGTCGGATTGAGATGCAAGGGAGATAGGTGCACCGCTTTGCAAGATAGCCGAGCGGAACAGCTTGTCATCACGACCGTTGAAGGCCAGGATCTGAGCACCGACAGATGCAGCACCTGCACTTTGGCCCCAGATGGTCACCTTGGACGGGTCACCTCCAAAGGCTGCAATATTCTCCTGAATCCAATGCAAGGATAATCTCTGGTCGCGAAAGCCCATATTTGAGTCACCAGTCTCGAAAGATTCGGCTGAGTTGAGAAAGCCAAATGCGCCAAGCCGATAGTTCATGCTACCTGCCATGATAGGCTGCCCGATTTTGACGGATTGTTCGACGATAAAGGTGAGGTTGTAGCGGATGTCTACGCCACTGCCTTGGTAGTAACCTCCGCCGTGAATCCATACGGCTACCGGCAGCTTCTTGTCGGAGTACCTTGAGGGGCGTATAACGTTAAGATACAAACAATCCTGCCGGGTGTTAGTCCAAAAACTATCATAGTTCTTGTAATACGTACTTCGCTCGTATTGTAACCCAACTGTGATGGCTAAGACTGTCAGCGAAACTGCGAATCATCTGTGGTTGCATCAACTCACCCCATAGCCCACGCAAGCAGGAGAGTACTCGCTCGCGTCGCGGGTTCCTTTCCAAGACTGATCGTATGGTCGAGGGTTTCGGAAACGCAGGTCGCCAACGGGAGGCTCAGCAAAAGGAATTCCCAAGAAAAAGTCTTGATTATAGTCGTTGGAATGAATTCCTCGATAGGTGCCATTTTTGACATTGGCAAAAGGCGACTTGTGACCTGGGACTCCCAGGAAACCGGGAATCCACTGAAGCAGTGCAATACCGGCCAAGAGGAAAGGCTTCATATTGAACACGACTAACAAACCTGACTTTTAGTGTTGTTTTATGGCTGGTCTACGATGTCTTTTTAACAGTACCTCGGCCATGTCGATCATATTCGAATACACGGACATTGGGTATTATCCCACCAATCGATACGATCCTAGTTCACTAACTCGATCCTGGGGCGATCGACTTCAAAGTTATGCGGGGTTTGGTGTTTTGGCCCACTTTGCTCGGGCCGGAATCTCCAATCCCATGAAATTTGTTTCCCACTCCGGTTGGGGGCAAATAGTATCCAAGACACTTTGAGTTTAAAAGTGTTGTAGCTAAAACTAAGTCGAGTGTAATATGAAGTATATAAATACTACAGCTGTAATAGATTTTAGGTACAGCTACGTGAATTGAGCCGGTTCATAGACTCCACTAAGAAGCGATTTGGCCCATCTCTGACTATGGGTACAGCGCTTGGATGTCCAGGCCGTCATGAGGGACATTAAAGAAGAAAGTTCCAGCTTTTATCTCCGGCAGACGTTTATATTCTTCGGGATCGGACCTTTCTAGATCGACCAAACTCTTGTGCAAAGTCAGTGACGACGAAATGATTCCATACGGCTTGCCGTATTGCATAAAACAAACAACGTCATATACACAAGACTCTTGCCGGTTTGCAACACTACATTCTCCTGTAGCCATCAATCAGAAACCCCGTACCACCTAATCGTGTCCGTTTCCCGCCACCTCTAAGTTCAGGTAAGGCGACGAAGCCGCCATTTTAGCTTCACTCTCACGTCGGAACAGCTTGTGCGGTCCAGATGAGATACAAACATCTCCAGACGATATTGCTGGACAGGTATCGCCGCAGCAACTTGAGACACATACTTTTCCGGATCCGCAGCTTGCGTGTATAGAACACTGTGTAGGAGGGCAGCCTCCTGGCTGGTTCACGTTTAGACAGAAATTACCTTCTTCTACGGATGGTTTGTGATAGTTTAGACCTATTGGACAGGAAAGTAATGGGGATACATGAAACTAACCGCCGGATTTTGAGAAAAACCACTTGGAGAACCCGGGGGTCTAGAACTGGAGTACGTTGGTGCACCGCCACACGAGAGTTGCTGCAGCCTCTGGTTTTACAGACGCCGGCAGAACAATGTCACAGGGGGCGGTCTGACCTGATATCTCACGCTTTGCCAAATACAGAACTGGCAGGGGTATCGTTGATTTGCTATACAGCGAATTATATGCGTCTCAGACCGAATAGACCCGCCTATAATGGACGGATGCAGGCTCAGCCTTTTCGGCAAAATTAGACTTACGTCTATGAGGCCCAGAACTTCAACTTGGAGGAAAGCGCGTAGAATGTCAAGGTACTAGTTACTTGACTTCCCATCCTGCTACACAATCAAGGAGATATTTACAACAGGGAGAAGATAGTGAATAAATGCAGTCATCAAGGACCTTCCACTTATCAACAGCTAATTGACGTATGGGACTTGTTAAAGGCGGCCAATCTTGACGCGGTACGTGGTTGGAAAGGTTCCGCATGTCAATAAATGGTTGTAGCTATTGGTCAGTTTCGATCCCTTATTGTCTGCGGAATGAAGTCAAACGGAAGATTACACATCGGCAATATCAAACCGAATGCAGCTAATGGATAGCGGACCGGAGCAAAAGTAAGCACTTGTGCATATCCAGGCCGTTCGTTTGTGTTGTTCCTGGAAGTACCCTGCAGCATCAGCCTTCCTAAGGTTGTAGCAGAACTGGAGATCCGTCGTTGCAATTGCTGATCCAACCTCAATAGCAATAACTATCAGACCATAACATTCCGCTCATACTATTCCAGATATAATCCAAACAAGAGCTAGAAGTCCATTGGTACTTTCTTTCTCCAAATCTGGTCCTCCCAAACACTTGTGACACATTTCTCGGCCTTTTTGCATACATCTGTATTTTCATACCCTATACAGGCAGCTATATCACCCTGTGATTCTAGACTGTCAATTTAAGTCTGGGCCCACAAACTGCAGGGGTTTATTCTAGGCTGATATGGATCCAGACGGCAAAGCAGAGACCCTACGGAACCACGGAAGTTCCCTTGCGCAAATACCATCCACGCCTAAAGTGGAAGGTATACTAGGTTTGTAAGCTGAAGGATCAAGGGCGAGGTGCAGTCAGAAAAAAGAGGATCCTATATGCTTACCGTCGTTCGGTAGGCGCTCGGACTATCTGTGAATTGATAGCAGATAGGGTTGATAATTGTTATTCAAGGACACTCAATATTTAAGATGAAAGTAAAGAGAAAGAATAATAAACTAGGAAAAGGATATCGCAATCTGGATATTTAATTATAGTTCAAGAGTAACGGTTTTACCAAGGTACAGAGAAGAATCAACATTTAAAAGAACGGACCCCACAAGATAAAGGAACTTTGGTTCCAGTGGATCAGCAGGGCTCTCAATCACCGCCGATGGATGCTCGCAATGCTACCAATCATCGCCAGCGACCATCCGACGCCCCATCCGGAAGGTAGCAGACAGCTCCCGATTGCCTCCAGCACAGCAATACTGCCAGCGTATGAATTAGTCTTTCTCTTGATCAGAATGATACCAGTCGTAGGATCAGTAACCTGGCAGTGAAGTAGTATAAAGACAGGTGCTTCGTCCTGTTCTTTTGGCTTCATCACTCACCAACATCTCATCTTCTTCACATCACCGCAACAAACACCATCAAGATGCACTTCTCCGGACTTCTCCTCGCTCTCGCAGCTACTGCATCAGCCGTTGACATGAGGGCTTGGTCAGGTGATTCCTGCAACGGCGCTTTCGTTGCCTGCGTTGGTCTTAACCCCAACGTATGCTGTGTGTTCAGCAACTCAGCCGGTAGTGGTAGACTGAGTATCTCCGTGAACGCTGTACGTGAAAACATCCTTCTTTAACAATCATCTTAGCAATCAGGGACTAACGTGGGATTGACAGATCCCAAGCTCCTGGCGCATCCGCACCCAGGCCAATACCGGTGGTGGCTGCACTTACATGGCAAACGAGCAAGACTCAAACGGCAGAACCGATCTTTGCATGTCATACAACTCTCGCGGTGACCGCACCGGAGGTAAATACTGGTTCCTCGGCCGAAAGCGCGCTGAGGATAAGTCATGCCCTGCCGAGCAGGCTGAAGGAAAGTGCGAGGCTACCGCCGAGCCCAATGCCCTTGGCCTTACGGATGGTACCATGTACGACATTGCTGGACTCTCGGAGGAGAAGTTCCAGGAGTTGGTAAGTCTCTGCTGCACCTATGATATCTGGATTGATCGCTAACTTGCGTGCCTCCTTGTAGGAGAAGATTGCCATTAGTGGCGCTAGTGCCGATGCTGTCCCTGCCGAATTCAAGATTCTTGAGGCTTGAGAGCATAACAGGGGTCCCTGATCAGGGCACGTCTCTCGACTAGAGGTTCAGACTAAGTAAGGTCAGGCTGGGTGTATAGCAATAGAGATCCAATTACATCTTACAAGTCAACAACACGATCAATCGCCAGAACGGCGGTGTATCTCGTGAGAGCATTGGAACGTCTTGGTGATTGTTTAAAGTAGTTAAGTGTATCTGTGCAACTTACTATGAGTTATGATACACAAAAATAACCGAGTTGGGACCCGACAACTGTTTGTTCCGAAGTACTAGGCATAGTCGGACCACATCCTTGTCTGTTGGGTATATGAGAGGGAATGAAACGAGAGAAGAGTGATAATAACATCAGAGTGATAAAACCTGTGATAGAAAGTATTGCTACCTTGAGTATTATAGCTAGTGTCAAGACAGTCAATACGACTGTTGAACATATTAGACTGCCCTGCCTAAACACCGGAATCCTCCTGCTCAATCAGGTTCTCACTCTGGAAAGTAGTCCAAGCATCGCAAACGTCAGAAACATAGCTAGACGCCGTAATGTCGGGGATTTCGCTTGCACGCTCAATAAACTGCAAAGCAAAACCCTCAGATGTATGCCAACCTACGAATTAGTTAGCAAGATTGATCTCACTTCATGGCTCATTAAACTTACCAATATGGCAATGGCACAGCCAAGCACCAGGGTTGTCCGTTTCCCAAGCCATGACAAGATATCCGTTTGCTGGAAGCATGGCTGTGTCACGCCGAGGTGGATTGCTAGTGTTCAAAGTCACAGAAGAAGAGTATGTACCAGTTCCCTGTGCCAGGATGAAAAAGTCGTGGCCATGCAGATGAATGGGATGAGGAACTGGGAGAGTTGTCTCGATGACAAAATAAACCCACTGATTCGCCTCCGTCAACTCAATGACTGCGTTTTCCGTGTCGAAATCAGTAGTGCCGTTGAGGATTTGACCTAGAGTCGGGTTTGCCCAGTCCATCAGGAAGCTAGTACTGTTAAGCATCCACTTGAACAGACCAGCACTGTTCTGTGCAACAGTGGCTGTCTCTAGGTCACTCCAGTTGGCGTCTTCAACACTTTTGGAGATGTAGGGCACCAGGTTGTCTGTTTCATCGTCGCAACTGTCTGTGTAGTCATAGCCAGTTGTGGAGGGTGTGCCAGGACTATCCCCGTAGTAGACAATGCCCTTGATGTTATCCGTGGAGTCGTTATCTGAACAGGCTGATTGGGGAATCGCACGCATCCAGAAATTGTCGGCAACGTCGGCTCGGTCGGCGGTTACTACGATATCGTATCGCTGACCTTGGTAGGGTTAGTAAGATTGAGGTTCACGGTAGTTGACTTTACTAACCCATGGCGATATCCAGGACTGTCGTTTCATATGGTTCGATAGGTACCAAGTCTGATGCGATGACTGTTAAAGTGTGGTTGTCGATGGAGAACTTCCAATGCGTGTCAACTGCGGCATTAACTAACCGCATACGGTATGATGTACCAGACTGGAAGGATACGTTAAAGCGGGAGCCAGTCTGGGAACTATCATCATCATCACCATATACGTTAGTACCGTTGATAAGTCCGTTATCCAAAGTCGGAGGTCCATTTGTCTCGGCTGAATAGTAGAGCTCGTCTACAGTCTGGTGGTCCCAGTCGTTGAGAAAGACCATTCCTAGATCTTCATCGTAGTCGGTGGTAGCGGGTCCGTTGATGATGATACCACCAAAGATACCCTGCCAAGCTTGAAGCACCCAATGCGAATGATACCATGTTGAGCCGTACTGTGTAGCTTTCCAGGTGTAGGTAACGGTCTCTCCAACTGCAAGAGGACACTGAGTAATAGACGATACACCGTCGTATTGGTTGGTGTAGTTCTGACGGATACCGTGCCAGTGTATACTAGTGCCTATTTAAGATTTTCAAAGGTCAGTTATCAAGTCATACAGTTCAGACCAACACAATTGTATACGCACCATTTAGGGATGTAGTCAAAGAATTGGTTACATGGACCACAACAGTATCGCCCCAGTCAGCAAAGAGAGTAGGGCCCGGTATAGTACCGTTGACGGCCATGGCTGAACGTGAATAGCCATCGGGGGCAACAGTAACATCTGTCAACTCCAACCAATATTCTTTTGTCACACCAGTATCAACAGGTTCGATAGAATAGTCAGTGTCGATGGAATAGTCACACCATGTTGAGCGAGTGGAAGCGGTATTTCCATCGCAGGAGCCACGCCTATCGAGAATGTTGAAAGAGTTCAGGCCCAGAGCTTGCGAGAGCCCGAGATAACCAGCTAGAAATAGATGATGCAACTGCATGGTTGACGAGGGATTACTTGCCAAAAAATGCAAGCCGAAAGAAAGACGATCGTAAGAATGAAGAACAACGTGAATGATAGGAATTGATTACCACTACTTACGACTTATCCTACTCTTAAGTACTGCGATTCTCTTAGTCCAATACCTATTAGCCTATCCTGTAAAAGTTGACTGGCACGTATACGGATTCGCTGACGACGCTATTCGCACTGACGGTCTGACCGCAGCTAACGTACAACCTTTCCTACTCTTAATTACTGCGACTCTCTTAGTAATAAACCTATGAGTCTGACTCGTGATAGATGACCGGTAAGCACACGGATTTGCTGACGACGCTATTCGTGCTGGGTCTGATCGCCGCTAACGCCAATTTGAAACAAGGGTCACCCGAAGATAAACACCGGGCCGTTCCTGAACCCATATGTAAAATGGGTCACTAGAACGTCGATCGAAACATTTTAACGCTAGCTGCCCACATCACGATCTTATCTATCTACTTAATCGTGCTTGTTGTGGGAGAACCCGTAAAAACAGGGCGCACGAAATGCGTAAGCCGTCGATCTCGACCCGCACTGGTGAACGAACGTAAGACTCGTCATCTGAGGCGCAGTGTAAAATTTAGATATGTGTTACTATATCACTTGGCCTTTCCTTCTGTTGAATATACCCACAAGCAGACTTTGCACACCATCCTTCTCGATCAACACATCAACCATGCGTCCTTCAGATTTCGTCAAAGCCTCACTTCCAACTTTCGCTACTTATGTAGCTGCAACTGACAACCCGGGACCGTTTTCCTTGTATGCTTACGGTCCGGAGGTTGGTGGCTTGTCGTTATTCTCTGCAGGCGGTACGGCTTTCTGTTTCTAATGATACGTTTACTGGTTGCTGACCTTCCAACAGATGCGATTTATGTAGGCAACTACAGCCGTGTCGATGATGTACAAGCCGCACCAATCGAATGTAAGTCACCTCATTGACTCCCAAACATTCAGAATATATGCCTAATTCAGTTTAGTCACGATTACCAACAATGAGTTAAAGGCTTCCCCCAACATGACGGACCTTCCCGGCGATAGAAACCCTACCTGGTCAAATAAGTCGCTCGTCGTCCCCGGTCCATCGTCTGCACTCAAGACTGTCAAACTGGTCAACAGCACAGCCAACGCTAGCAACTACAACTCAGACTTTATGTTTTACGGATCCTTCTTCATGGCTCGGGAGGATGGAGCAATGCTTTCGCTCTGGTATAGAAAGGACACTGACATTGAGGGCGTTTATACGGTTGGCTGGAATGCTTCAACTTCTGCTAAGTCAGATGAAGTTGTGCCTCTTACTTTGAAGAGGACAGCGCCGTCTAATCCAACTGATTAGTGGGAGTAATCGGTCTTCGCAGTTGATGATAGCAAGTACTCAAGATCCAATCTTGGCCAACTTCACGTATAGCCGATGGCTCTCTTTCCCGAATGAAGCTTCTGTATTTAGTATTGAGGCTAGTGTGTAATGGACGCGTTCAGTATAGATATAATCCATCCGCGTAAATTGAAGCTTGTTCCTCCTCAAGACCTTCGCGCCACGACATCTGGATACCATCGACAGACACAAAGTCAGCTCCTGCTTCTAATGCGGCTCGCCGGTTGGCCACACTTCTCGCATCGTCACTCAACAGTACTTCCTCATACACGCCACTAGGCCGGTGACCTTTAAACATGAGCGGGTTCTCCCTCACTACGAAGTCCTTCAAGTTAGGCAATCGTTCGTCCCTGCCCTCACGGAACCCTTCCAACAACTTCGTCCAGTACACAAATTCCAAGTCCCAAAACTCGCGGTGCGAGTTGCCTTCAGAACCCTGCATGTCAACGAAAAGCTCCAGACTCTCTAGTGAGCGGGGCAAAACGTTAATGAGAGAAGGGATGTCAGTCTCAGGGTTCCAACTGGACATCTGCGGATCCCAGTTGCTATAGAAATCTCGCCTCTCGCCACTCTCAGGGGTGGGGCCAAGAAAGGCACGGACGTCCAATGCCAATCTCTTGATGTTTGTGAACCGTTGGATGCTGGCTCCAGAGATTCCCGTAACAATGTGACGAGGGCAGTCGTCAATGCCTATAGACAAGTCTGTGATCCGCTCGGCTGAAATTAAATGTTCAGAGTCATCTCGTCCGTAGTTACCGCTTCTCCCCGGCCGTTCCTTATAGTTATTTCCATCAGTTTGCAGCCCACGAGCAATGACGAGCTGATTAACACCGTCCACAACAACCCGACTTGCATCCGCAATCGCTTGCAGCAAATTACCCCCGTCAAAATCCCAACCCACCACGGCATCATATTCAGTTAGGCCAGATTTACCCTTGTACGTATAGCGAACTGTAGTCAGTGACGGCATCCGCTCGATAAGAGATGCAATGCCACGAGGGCTCAAGTCGCAGCGAAGAAGTTCCAGGTACTCCACAGTGCTATGCTCCTGTGAAACGAGTAGCGAGTAGTCATTGTTGTTGTAGTAGTTCAGGAGCTGGCTGCCATGGCCGTCATTCGCGCCATGTGATACCGCAATCTCGTCATCTATGGGCTTCGTCAAGTATTTCTTTGGAGGCCATGTATAGGCATAGTCTATACTGGATAGTGTCTTAAGATCATGCGCGTATAACCGAAGAAGGCTTGGTAAGCAGATGAATGGATGCAGGGCAGTTGCATCCAGGGGGTAAGAGCCGCCTTGTCGTGAGCAATAGTATAGTTCAGCTAAAGATTCGAGCGGTGAGCCGGGAAGTCTGCAGATCTTCACAGAGGATTGGCTAATCATGGCGCGGCTGGTCTTATCGGCACAGAGCGACATGAGGTCGAGAACTCGCTTAGCCTGGACAAGAACAGGAGCCGCAAGCTGGTCATCCCCGTAGCTGGATGCATAGTGGAAGTCGTGCTTGATTTTCAGAGTCTGGAGCCGTGTGAGCTGCGTCAGGAGAAGGACGAATAGGCAGAAATCGGCGTATTCCCTCCACGTCTGATATGATCCGTCTCCATTATATCGGTCTTCATAAGTCTCGCCTTGCCCGCCTTCAGCAGCATTGCGCACTGCATCGACTAAGGCGAGCCAGGCCACAACATCACATCCCGCGGCCCTTAGCCATGGAGATTCAGAGATCAGTTCTGCCACGAGTGTCCCAGTCTGGTCAAGGTCCAGTGCGCACCGTTCGCCGCCCAAAGTAACACCCATGCTGGCCATGTGAGGCATATGGCGAAAGGGGCCATAAATCGACAGTGTTCGGATATAAAGGGTAGCCCGGGGTTCCGTAGCAACGATGCCTACTAGCTCAGCTAGACTGCTGTATCGTACGGTGTTTTCTAACGTTGTGCTTTGTGCGTCGATGTGTACATGACGAAAAGTGTGCTTATAGTAGTTGTGCTTTGCGATGAAGATGTATCCAGCCTCATGGACTAGCTTGCAGACTAACATGAGGCTCTCGAAGTCGTCTGGCTCAACCAGTTGCAATATCAGGCGAAGGACCTCTGCGGGAAGGTCAAGTAGAGTCATCGTGTCGGCACGATTTAGTGCTGGTTGTGGATGGTGAATGTCGCAGATACTAAGCAGAGAAACAAAATCAGGGGGCTGATGCGAAAAATGAGGCCGAAATGTTCAACTGTAAATTCCGAACCCCGCATTTTGACTTTCTTGGAAGGTATAGTCACGTGCGTAGGGACACCTATTCCCTTACAACCGGGGCGGCTCCACTTGACTTCACCATTCTCTATTAAACATTTTCTCTCAGGACTACAACATGCAGATCGTGTCTCCCATTTTACCATTAAAGAAGTCACTAGATAAGGATTTAGAAGAACTAAAATGAAACAAAATACCTTCATGTTATATCTAAAACTCGGGTTTCATCAATGATCTATACCCTTTCAGCTGAATTGTGTTATGAGCAAGAATTATCTTCTTAACCGTTGGTCGTGTCCCGGTCTGTAGTGGGATCCTGGCAAGTGATGTCCAAAGTATCTTCGTCAAGGTTGTAACAGTCGTAGACAGGTGCCTTCTTACTAGGCACGCCCACGGTAATGTTCTCAGCCACAATGTTACTGCATCGCTTTTCAAGATGTTAGCTGCATCAAGTTTGAGATTATAGGGAACTTACGTCAGGTGCACTGCAGACCAGAGATCCAGCTCGAGGATCGAACTTCTTTGAAACTGTACCCCAGAAGTTCTTCATGGTAATGTCCTCGATGGTCAGGTTGGCCTTCGAATAGTGGTTAGTATTAGTTCAATGGCATTGATATGGTAGACATACCGGGAACTGGTTGCAGAGAGTCTGGTTCTTCTGACCGTAGCATTGAGTGATGGTAATGGCATTATCGTTGTTCTCGTGGTGGAAACCATCATAAGTGACGTTTCTCACACGTCCAAGGCCTCCACCACCATTGAGATTGTCTTGGAAAAGGCTTTCCACTCCAGGCCACACCTTGATTCGGGCTCCGTCACTGGCATTCGACATGGAGATGTTGTAGATGTACAGGTTCTCCACAATATCAACTTTGCCCTTGTACTGACCTAGCGAACCGACGCTGATGCCGTGGGAGCCATTGCAGACTAGGTTCTGGACAACTGTGTTGGTGCTGTTGGGTTTGAAGGATACGCAGTCTGCGGTTGTCAGTGGAGGTCAATTGAATGATTGAGATGAAGATTACCATCGGTGTTATCAATGTATGAGTTCTGAATGACAACTCTATCGGACCGGTAAGTGTCCCACCCATCAGAGTTGGCGATCTTGACGCCGTCGGTGCTCTTGGCTCGGAGATCGAGGTCGCTGATAATCACGTCGGTACTGTTGATGATGATATTGAACCACTAATACAAGTAAGCAGGCTAGTTTCAGCTCTATCTCGGCTGACATGACACTTACGTTGGGTGAGTTTCGCATTCTCATGTTTGACATGGTAAGACCATGAGCATCTTCGATGGTCAAGAGAATAGGCCGCATCAACTGCCAGACAGCACGTGTTAGTATCACTCCAAATCGTTGAATCGCGTTGAAACTTACAGTCTTGTTGGTCACATACTCCTTCCAGTAGTCTTGACCATGACCATCAAGCAAAGACTGTTCATTGCTTAAATCTCCGTAAATGTTAACATCCTTACCACCAATCTTCCAGAAAGAAGACATATTCTGGAAGTCATATTTGAAGCTGTTCTCAGCCCAGTAGTAAGGGTCAGACTTGAAGTGGATCTCTCCGGTAATGACAACATCGACGTGAGACAGCCACGTCAAGTCCAGTGGCGAAGCGATGGTGTAGTTCTTGTCAAGGACGATTGTTCCTCCCTTGTTGCACTTCTTGAATGCCTTCAGAATGCGAGGGCTGTCGTCCGCCTTTTTTCCCTTGGTAGGCTTCACGTAACAAAAGACTTTTGTAGATCGTGGGGGAGAGTGTGGGAAGGCCTTGCCTGTGCCATAGGGTGCAGCTACGACATGGGGCCTTTTGGGCAGGTCACTGTGAGGCTTGGCGTTGACAGCTACCGATGTCGCCAGCGCGCAAAGAGCGGCGGCTGAGAGCAAATTGCTGATGTACATGATCAGGAAGAATGGGGGTGATGTCGATGCTGGTGTAGTTCATTCAGCCTCGGTGATGACAGCTTATATATGTCAAGATTTCCAATTGAGATGAACAACGATTGTCTTGATCTCATTGGTGGAATTCGTGTACAGGATATCCCGGTTAAATCCCTTGCTCTACCCGATCCAGTCACAAGATTAGAACCAGACCCTTCCCTTGTCTGACTCGATGACTTACCCAATTACCCCAGGAACAACTTTCGCAGACTAAACGCGGGGTCGCCAATCGGTGGTTATCCTCAATTAGAGCTCCATAGAATTAGCTCACTTCTCCTCATTTCTCTGCCCGATGCCTGCGAATCCCCCCAACCCCCAATCTTACTGAGCCGGTTTTGCCGGCTTGTCATCCGTTGCCCCCTTGGCAATGTTGTCACCTTTTGGGGGTCAATCAACTGCAACAGCACAGAAGTATAATAGACAGATTAATTCTTTAAATTGACAAGATTACTTTCCTCAAGGGCCTATTCTTTTGGATGGATTCTTTGTCGTGTTTGGGCTTCTTCTTGGATGGAACGGAAGTTGGTGGCCAACGGAGCGCGGAAGCGAACCGTAATCGAGGACTGTTTATATATTATTTCGAGAATGTCCAATGGCTATTTTAAACGTCCTCCCTTGAACGAAGTCAGTACCGGGTAGTGCCACAGTGGCGATGCAATCGCTACGCATAATGGATCACAACGCCTTGTACCGGGTTCAGGTATTACCTTTATCAAGTTGTTCACAAGATCGTAAATGCTAGAGCGGGCAGTAAACATCACTACTACGGACCTAATTTAACACTGGGTGTTAATCCTAGTGTCTTGATACCTAAACCCATCACGGTTTTCGGCGGTATCTTCAAGAAGTAGCCGAGATAATTTGACCGTTACTCTATCAATTGTGGTTATTTATACCACCTTTACTCATCATGTCAAGATTCCACAATAGCTTTCGTGGGCATCAACTTCACAGCCGTGTTGTTATTCACTGTCTCAATTCAACCTGCACGCATTAAGAGACGTGACTTTTAAAAAGCTTAGCTAGAAAAAGGTGCACATTACATACTTAACTCTCAATTAGTGCAGTCTATAACTATTTTTCGTTAAATGCAATGCCCTGTCGTCCCAGCGAGTGTTGCAAAAGCCTTCTGGTACTGAGGAGGCACCTAACCTAGAGTAGTGAAAATCTACGTAGCTTTAAACGAGCCCTATACGAAATACGACCGAAGTTATGAGGGCTATGGATTGGCTGACCCACTCGACCTTGCCGGACTCTGCACCTTGTGGGTCTTCGGTGGAGACTCTTCAAATGTTGCGTAGGTTATATCCGTACCTCTACCAGGATTTGCCCTGATACTCAACTGAGTAGGGCCTTCATCCCGACGGTGCTATAACCGTCGGTGTACACCTGTATCAGACTCGATTAGGGTTGATTGGTTGCTGGAAGACTGACACTAAGAAGTAATGTGCACGTTCCAACAATGCCATGTCATGTGAATGTACCATCAATCTATGTAGCTGGCGCTCCCCTAAAGTACAAAATTCAACGCATAAGCACAATTGAGCATCACCGGACGTCATTGTTGGGTTTTTAACCTCATATATCTCGTCGATTCCGTCTAAGAGCATTGTCCCCTGCGCAATGTCTATGAACGTGACAGATCATGGGCTGCAGAAGAGTCTAGATGAGGACGGCGCTCTCTTTATCAAGGGACACGGCTCTCATCTAGAGACAGCCGGCGCTGTCAATAGTGAGTCTCGAAAAACCTCGCGGTGCAACCTCAATCGGCAGATCACTTTTGCTAACGCCATTACCTGTGTGTCAGACGAGGCCCGGATAGACTTGACTTTTAACGGCAAAAGCTCCCTACAGCATGCCTTGCAGAATGCCATGCCACCCGAATCTTACACAAACAGCGCGCCTATACGCCCTCACCTTGGTGCAAGAGCGCCTTGTGCCCTCAATATCGTGCTACAGATTGTCGGCAGCCGAGGTAAGAGCAAGACTCAATTACCTTCGGATGTATAATATCATGGCTGACGACCTACTCGTAAAATGCAGGCGATATTCAGCCCTTTATCGCGCTTGGTACCGAACTTCAAAAACATGGCCACCGCGTTCGAGTTGCCTCCCACGATGTTTTCGCCGACTTTGTACGCCAATCGAACCTCGAATTTTACCCGGCCGGCGGAGACCCTTCAGACCTTATGGCGGTACGTTAGCGACCGATGTAATCACGGGATTTTGTTTTGCCTGACAGACTGGATGTAGTACATGGTCAAGAACCCCAGTCTTGTGCCCTCTGTGTCTTCGCTTATGGCTGGTGATATTGGTCGCAAGCAAGATATGGTGGAGGAGATGTTGGAAAAGTTCTTTCTTTCGTGTATAGAACCCGACCCTATCTCAGGGGTCCCATTTATCGCCGAGGCCATCATTGCGAACCCTCCGAGCTTTGCCCATATTCACCTAGCAGAGGCTCTAGGTATCCCAGTACATCTTATGTTCACTATGCCTTATAGTCCCACCCGAGCATTTCCGCACCCATTAGCGAATATCAAGCAGTCGAACCTCGATCCGAAAGTTACAAACTACCTGTCATATGGAATGGTAGAGATGCTGACATGGCAAGGGTGAGTATCTTGCTTGGCGGTGCTATGCCGGGCTGACTCGCTGACTGTAACGCAGGCTTGGAGATATTATCAACAACTGGAGAAGGAAATCCTTGAACCTGGACCCCATCTCATCTTCCACTGCCGGTGTTCTTCTCAGTGCCCACGAAGTGCCATATACATATTGCTGGTCTCCTGCCTTGGTACCAAAGCCGTCCGACTGGCCCCCTTACATCGGTGAGTAAAAATGCCTTATAGTAGTTAACATTGTTGCCAGCACCACCGGAACATCAACTAACTGGCCCTAGATGTCTGCGGCTTTTTCTTCCGGGAGGAACCACAGTACAGCCCGCCTCAACACATTACAGAATTTCTGCAAGCAGGGCCTCCCCCAATCTACATCGGCTTTGGTAGCATTGTCATGGATGATTCGGCAAAGATGACAGACCTGATCTTGATGGCGTTGCGAAGAAGTGGTGTTCGTGCCATCATTTCCAAGGGATGGGCCAAACTGGGCGAAGGCCGCAGCGATGAAAATGCTTTATTTATCGACGACTGCCCTCACGGTAAGTTACAGCCATAACTTCAGCTTTTGCCAACATAACGTCTGATGACAAACGAAAAACAGAATGGCTGTTCAAATACGTTGCGGGAGTAATACACCATGGTGGAGCGGGGACAACGGCATGCGGCCTACTTAACGCCTGTCCTACATTTATCATCCCTTTTTTTGGAGAGTAAGGCTACAGATCCACTACACCTTACACGAAACACGACATCACTAACGACCATCCAGTCAACCGTTCTGGGGAGCAATGGTGGCCAAGGCCGATGCTGGCCCGTTTCCCGTCAGTCATAAAGAACTTGACTTGGAAACCCTCACCAAAGCAATCGATATGCTTCTTGCTCCCACTACCAAGGCTGCAGCCGTTCGTATTGCGGAAACCATGCGGACTGAAAATGGGGTCGCACAGGCCGTACAATCATTCCATCATCATCTCCCTCAGGAAAAACTGACTTGCGATTTGTTGCCCGGCGAGGCAGCGGCCTGGACGTACGATGCTAAGCGATTGAGCAAGAGTGACCGGAAGAGATTCAAGGATGGATTGAAACTGTCTCCCAGGGCGTTGAGTGTTCTCAGCAATCGCCAGAAGCTAGACTTGGGTAAAGTGCAACTGTAAGTCTCCTGTCTTGCTGCTCATATCAGTTCCACAAAAACCAAGGCCAAGCTTGTTGACATACCACTTAGGAACCACCCGAAGCCGATCGAGATCGAGAACCACCGATGGGATCCTCTGACTGCGACGTCATCCGCACTCCTAGGCTCGCTAGTGGACTTTTCCAAGGGCTTCGGAAGCCTGGTCTCGGCCCCTGCCACCAAGATACGGCATGAGACTAGGAAGCGGGAGAGGAGATACGCCGCTACAACAGCGCTCACAGATTCCTCTCAAGAGCATGGCTTGGCGCCAAACATCGATTCGCAAGATGCAACTCCGGCAAGCGCTGGCACTGGAGAGCATAGTCTGGAAGTAAAGCTCGCCGCATCGTCGAAACCAGCACAAGAAACATCATCTTCCAACGCGGGAATATCGGCAGGAAAAGGCATCTCCCAGATGACGACAAGTGTTCTCAAAGGCACGCTCGTCGACGTGCCTCTTGCTCTTACCGAGGGCTTACACAATCTACCCGAGCTATACGGCGACAAGGTCCGGAAGCACAACAAGATTACAGACTGGAAGAGCGGAACGGCTGAAGCTGGCAAGGTATGTGCTCTTTAACCTTCCACCAAGGCGCATCCAAGCAGATTGTAGAGCAGGACTAACACGCAGTAGAACTTTGCATACAACTTTCTCGACGCATCCTGGTGTCTTTTCAAACAACCCGTCGTCGACGCAGCCAAAAAAGGCCCTGTTGGTCTTGTGACAGGTCTTGGCAAGGCAGGTTTCGGGCTCATTACAAAACCCAGCAGTGGTAAGGTTCCATCATCCCATATCTACTTTGGCATCTTTGCTGACGAATTCGTGATTTAGCTATGTTTGGCCTGCTGGCATATCCTGCACTGGGCATCTATAAGAGTATTGTGGCAAGTCTTTCAAAGACTGAAAAGAAAGTCCTGGAGGCACGACTCGCGCATGATGAGTATTTTGCCCGGATTGACCCGATCAGCGATCAAGAGATTGCGTCAGTTTTGAGCGCCTTCGGGACTGAGAAGTAGTAGGGACGGATACACGACAACATGCGAAGGGAGTTGCGTACGGCTACAAGCAGTATATATTAGCATCTTATTATAAAAGCTTAGCATAGATAGGCTTCAATCGAAAATTCAACGTACCTGTATTTATTGTACTCTAGAAGAGCTACCCAAGTACTACAGAGTATAAACCTCTGCGCCTTTGCTAATGCTGGACTTTTTTTTCTTTCTCTTGCTTGATATTTGTTTTCATTAAAAAGAAAAAGAAGGGGAAATAAGAAGAAGTGTCTATCTATAAAACACGTTAGGCGTTTTCAGCTGAACCCATGAGAGAGGGGGACAGGGGGGAGTAGCAGAAGATCACCATTTCTCGGCTTTAATGTCCATACGTACAAGTAGTTACAGAGCCTGGCGCGTCAGCTCGAGGCGCAGCAGATTTAATTGTGCACCGACCAGCCTCTGGACAACAGCATTTAATTGCCAGATTCCCAAGGAGATATTCTAAGATCAACGCCGTTCTTTACTTGAATGGGCCAAGAGGCTCCACAGCATGGGAATTGTAATGCATGAGTAATGTAGAGCTGCATTAACGCAACCGTGCCCCATTTATCGCCGCGCTACTCGTATTTCGTTCCTCTACCCTCGTTTCCCCAATATCCTGCTTCCCTTCCCTCCCACATTAGCCGCCTTTCAAAATGGCCGAAAAAGCACAGCGATGCCAACGCCGAGCCCATACAAAGTCAAGACGCGGATGCACTGAGTGTAAGCGACGTCGGATCAAGGTACGAGTCCAGACCTGGCATGATGACGTTTTGTTTGCTGATCGGTGGACTGCTTGCAATGCATTAGTGCAGCGAAGAGAAGCCGGCCTGTCAATCCTGTATTCGACATGAGACATCATGTGTATATCCGAACTCGGCAGCTTCATCAAGGCAAGAGAAAAGGCAACCTTGGAAAAGCAACAGTCCAGCTTCAACATCCAGCATGAGCTCGTTATCTGATCGCCATCTTGTCCCGGTTCCAGGGAGCCCCCTTGTCGTGGAGACCAATCCAAGTTCTAGCTTGAACACAAACTTCGACATGAAGGATCTGGAATTGCTTCACCACTGGACTGTCTCAACCAGCCGCGACATTGTCAGATGTCCACAAGTAGACTACTGTTGGCAATCTCTAATCCCGTCAATCGCTTCAAAACACCCATTTGTGATGCACGGCATTCTTAGCATTGCCGCATTGCATCTCGCTCAAAGAGAAGAAAACAAAGACAGATTGCTAGACGCCATCCGCCACAACAACATAGCAATACAAGGATTTCACGAAAACTTGCTGCATATAACCAACGAAAACAGCGAAGGTTTGTTTGTTAGTTCAACGCTTAACATCATATACGTCTTCGGCATCCTTGGGCGTCCAAGCCGCTGCAACATTGCTGCTCCCAAGTCGGGCTCCGGGGACACCCACGCCTTGGGTACTGGATGGATTCCTATGGTCCAGGGAGTACGGACCGTATTACATAACGTATACGAAAATGTGCGGCTTGGTCCGTTGAGACCTCTTCTTAACATTGGGAACTGGGAAGAATTGGACGTGGATCGCGTGCCATTCCTTGATGACGAGCATCTCAGTACCTTTCAGGAACTATGGAATCGTAGCGGACAAAGCGAAATGTACAATGAGGTACTGCAAGTCCTTCAGAGGTGCTATCTCTACGCCAACCAGTTCAAAATGATGGACCGGGGCGCATTGGAGAGATGGGGCTATAATCGAGGCTGGGCAGCACCTTTGGTATTCCTTTATTATGCCCCGGAAGAATATTTTAGGCAACTGGAACAGCGTCAGCCCCCAGCATTGATCCTCTATGCCTATTTCGGCGTCTTGTTGCATTATTTTGACGATTTCTGGTTCTGGAAAGGCTGGGGTCGGGATATTGTGCAGACAGTTGACGACCAATTAGGTAGCTACTGGCAACCTTGGATAAAATATCCTCGACAAGCCGTAGGATTAGCTTGAAGAGGAAACCGATATTCCAACACCATATCTGATACCTTGTGAGAAATGGATAGATTGTGTGGGACAATACTTTACAAATAGTTACTCGGGGTTTGCTTGTGACACATCTGGTGATAAAGATGCCCGCAATTCGTACTCATCAGAAAACCTCTTTCTTACCCAAGTATGCTTGTGGAAGGGTTACAACATTTAACTTTAAAGTCAACTTCTATATTGAATCCACCTACATATCGTCACTTGCTGCCTACAACATAGCCTTGTAATGGGCAAAAGACAAATTTAACTTTATGTTATGATTATATTCAAATAAAATGTTGTTTTCGTAGCCTTGATCTAACTACTGCAATTTCCCCTCTATTCTAATGATTTCACGATATTTAGCGCTATGATATCAATTCCTGCTTCCTACTTCGAAACCGCTGGGATCTGCCCTTTTCCGACGACCCATCTAGTAGTCTTTCCCTGCACCCCGAAAGTATTCCTTTACACAAGATTCTGTTCAGTAGCCACGGTCTTGGAGCGCAATGTCTGACGCAAACTTCTCGATCCTGCCCCTTCTCACAAAAAGTTCAGCCGGATGCACCACGTTGAATAACAACATGACGATGAGCATCAGCACAGCATCGAAGACATATAGGTACGCCTCTCGGGCGAGCAGATACCCGTCATCACCCTGTAAGTACTCGATAGCGCGGAAGACGGACCGCACCATGATCAACAACCCAGCAGCGTACATAAGGTTCATGTGCTTCTGCCAAGGGATCCCGATGCACGAGCGACTCGTCGGGTTGCGGGTGATTTTGATGTGAAAGTTGACGGCAACAACAAGGAAGGCACCAAAGAAGATAAGTTGTACGAAGAGGCCGACAATGATAATCTTGGCGCCCAAACGAAGAGCTGATAACGAACCGGACGATTGATAACCGCCGCCTGTGACAAAGGTTGTGAGAATGAGGTCAGGTTAATGACATTGGGCATAGCGCTTACCTCCACCCTGGAGAAAGAATGACAGAACATCACCAACGACGAAAATCTTGGTCATCCATTTCCGAGTAATAAGTGCACGGCCTTCACCATCTATAAGACTAATGACTCTTCCCAGCTCCATGTAGATAGTGGCTGCAAACAAGGCAGGCGCTACAAGGAGCAGGATGGCCTGGATAATATACGGCGTAAGGGTCCAGTCGGGCGTTTCCTTTCCTGACGCATAGCGAGCGGCATAACCAATCATCTCAACTATAGGTGAAGGCATCATGTAAGCTTCTCAAACATTTCGATCGTCGGTTGATCTGAACGCTGGGAGTGGAAAATACGTACGGATACCACCTATAATAAGAGGAAGGACAAACCAAACACGGTAGCGAAATAACTGCCAGGTGTGCGCCACCGTTGTCGCGAGGAACAAAAGTACAAAGATGATAGCACCGATTTCGGTAGGATGGTAGTGGTACAGCTTGAAGCCACCTTCTGACGATTCTTCCCTTATGAAGTGGGCTGCAGTCGCATGTGCAATACCATGAAGACCTTCCATGATACACGTTAGTTGCGATTAAAATGAAAGAGAAAAAGAAATATTTGAAGAAGGTTTTAGAGTGAGAGTCATTCAGATAATATGAGAAGAGTTCGAACAGACAGCCTACGAAGCGCCGATCTCCTATTAAGTACTTCCCAAAGAGACAACGCACCAACTTTGCTAAAAGCATTCAATCTTATCGCATTTTTTCAAACGTCAACTCTAAAGGTTGGTGGTTTCAGAAGAAACACTGCCACGGTGAGGATTTCTACGCGTTCGGCGCGACTCATCGTATTTCATTAACGAGCTTTCACACTTCGTAGCTCGTTTATCGTATCCTCGTCTTGGGCGATACGTGCACGAGCACCCACTTAAACGATGCGACGACCCACTCCGTGGAGTCTCTCCCTCAGTCAGCCTCAAGCCAGCTCCCGTGTCCAGGAGTGTAATTCAATGGAGTCTAGCTGAGCGACACAAAAAAGTTAGCTAGCCCGGCGATCACCGCCACTAAAGCGACTCATGCTAATTGACATCATGACCCACCTCGTACAAAATTGTCACCGCTTCTGGATGGGGATTAGAGATGTTCGGGGCATGACTTGATCGCGAGATGTGAAGGTAGGCTGTTGCGGCTGTGACGCTGCAGGGTATAGATCTCAAGAAGTGCTGTTGGACACTGAGTCTATCTATTCACCGAATGTTTCACTACGCTCTAGAACGAAGCAGCCTCAAAACAGATCCAAGATCGCATTTGACATATGCCGGTACCTGTAGGGAGACCCGAGAGTAGCACATATACTCCCGACAACTACCGACAGGGAATTCGGTCTCCGTACGGGTAAACCAACACTCTTTATTTGACTCTCTTTGCAGCTCACATGTAACGCCAAATCTACTAGCCTACTAACCGTAACCATCACTCTTTCAATTCCATATCGAGACCAAGAGGTGTTAAATACTGTTTATGTTATAGAATAGTAGAAACTAATAAAATGGTATAATACAAGTAGTCGAAAGGTAATATCTGCAGCCATCCCACGTATTACAAATTGGACAGTAGCTTCGGGAACTCAAGCGTGTCCCCTGTTTCTTTTGCCTGCTAAGCCTCATAGAGCCAACGTCTCCATCAGACGTACATCGCGACTGCTAGCACCGACGTACACCTTGTACTCCCCATCTTGAAGGACCCAATTCTGTCTAACAACATCCCAAACACTCAAATCCCTACGTGTGAGAGAGAATTTGACTGTCTTGGTCTCCCGCGGCTTAAGAAGCACCTTCTCGAATCCGCGCAACTGCTTCGCTGGAGCATCCGGAATGCCGATATAGAGTTGAGGAACCTCGAAAGCAGCCATGTCACCGGTGTTCTTGACATCTATCTGGATGGTAACCAATATGTCCCAAAGTGACTCAAACCCACCCTCGGAAACAGGCGTCGAGGGAGGGAGGGTTGATGCGTTAGAACCTTGCGCGGTGAGGTTCAGTTTGAGGCCAGCGTACTCGAAAGTCGTGTAAGTGAGGCCGAAGCCGAACTCAAATCTTGGAGTGATATTGAGGGCATCAAACCGGCGATAGTCGATGTAGACACCTTCAGTGAAGTTGGCCGATGTGTAATAGTTGGATGCATTGTTGGCTGTCACGGGTAGCAGCAAATCGCCGTAGTCGGACTCGTTCTTGGCGACTGTGTACGGCAGGCGGCCTGAGGGGGCTTGATCACCATACATGACTTCAACCAGCGACCTCCCTGCGTCTTGTCCTGGCAGGTGAGCGAAGACGACGGCGGTAATGTTTGGATTCTCAATCCATTGGTCAACCAACCTAGTACCGGCGTTGTGGATTGATACGATGGTCTGCATACAATTAGCTTCCTTCCCTCAAACATTCGTATGATGTTAAATCTTATGTGCTACTTACATTGGGACACTTGGCGGCGACGTTCTTGACCAGGTCGTCAGACCAGGCATCAGCCAGAGTTGATCTATCAGATCCCTCCGCAGCGAATTCGTTGATAAAGACGATACAGGCGTCAGAAGCGGGAATTTCATAGACAGGGTCCTGCGATTCAAAATCCCAGACCAAAAAAGTGCCGTCTTGCGCTGCGCGTTGCTGGAAAGCTTCATGGGGGGAGTTGATGTAGGCGGGTACGATTGAAGGGCTACCGCCACCGCTCAGAAGCGTTCCGAGGCGGGCAGCGGCAGGAAGCTGTCCAATACCGACGAAGAGCCCTTGCATCTCCTCATCCGTGACGTTGACGCTCTGGAATCCGAGACTTTGCTTACTGTTGAGACCCTCTGGGGTGTTTGTCAGAGGCGCATGGGCGTCGTAGCCGAACAAAGACAGGATCTTTGGCTTCTTGAGGGGAAGAGTGTTGTTGAGATTCTTTACCAAGACGATACCTTCGACAGCGCCTTGTAGGATCGTTTTCTTGGACTTGGGAGAGATGCCGCTGATCACTTGATGGGGCGCTGATTCATCGAGGGGCATGCCAGTACCGGGCTCGAATGGGGCGTACTTGAACCAAGTCGCGAGGATGCTGAACTGACGTTAATAGTCTGATGGGCAATGGAAGAATGTTAAGTTCAAACTCACCGAGTTACCATATCATCAAGCCTGCCTTCTTCCATTGTGCCGTTTGCAATCGCCTTGCTGAGGTTTGACCCCCATACCTCGTTGAAAGGCGTTGTCACGTCCATACCAGCGTTGGCGCTAGCAATTCCACTATGCAGAGCTCCATAGTCACTGATGACAAAACCTTGAAAGCCCAACTCGCCCTTTAATATGCCGTTCTGCATATAGCTGTTCTGGCAGCCATGCGAGCCGTTGATTCGGTTGTATGAGCACATAACCGATCCGACGCCAGCCCTGACTGCATCCTGGAACGGCCAGAGATATAGTTCATGCATCGTCCGATCGTCTACCAATGCTGAAATCGAAGCGTTGCCCATGCCGAGCGTGCTGGGCTGGCGGTTGGTTTCCTGCTCGTTAGCGATGAAGTGTTTGGCTGTTGCGATGACGTTCTTCTGCAAACCTAATACAGTCTGGGCGCCCATGACACCACAGAGATAAGGATCGACTGAAAAGGATTCCTACACCTACGTCAGATACAGCGCTTCCAGAATACAAGATGGCGGAGGATGGCTTGTGGATTACATACCCAGTTTCTGCCGCCGAGGACGGTGCGACCAAGTGGACCTATAGTCGGGGCCAACAAGTTGTTCACTATGACAAGCATTAAGCGACTGATGTCTGATAGAGAATAGAAGGGCTGACTTACCTCCCTTGATCTTGGCTTCCAGTCCCATGTGGTAACCGCGCGCAAGAGCTAGCTCTTTGTTCCATGCCGCACCAACCGTAATTGCTGACGCATAGCCGTTAACGGCCTCAGCGCCGTGAAGTCCATTAGGACCATCGTGGACACAGGTTCCTGGAAAGCCGAGGCGCTGTACGCCTGGGATCATACCAGCGCACTTATTCGTGACATTGGTCTGGCCAGACACCACAGCTACCTTCTCATCCATTGTCATCTGAGCTACAAGGCCTGATGCTTCTTGATAGGCCTTGGACCAACTTCCGAGTCCCTTACCCGGTGCTGCAGATTGGGATCCTTAGGTTAGTGGTCGAAACCTCCAAAACGTTGGCAACCTGCCGTACCAGACAGGGTGGGTGGAACTCACGGGTTGGATACACCGGGGGGCTTCGCCCATAGCTCCAGTTGAGCTCCTGGGCCGCAATAGTATCAGGTGATGCAGGAATCTGGCCTTCAATTCCTTTCATGTAGATCTCAAGAATCGCAGCCTGCTTATCCGGGGGCAAGCCTTCGAGATACTGCTTTTCCCTATCGCCGATCGGTAAGTCACTCGGGATCTGAGCAACAGCCGTGCCGAATAGTGCAAGAAAAGATATGAAGAGAAGAACAGATAAGACTGTCATTTTCGCGACCGTTCAGTTCGTTGTAAAAGGATTGTGTAGCAGGATGCTGTTGTCTCACCATTCTCATGGGAAAACAGAGCCTTTTTAATCTGGACCATTCGATATAGTTACGATGAACGAAGACATTGAAATAGACTTCGTTTCCTGTCGGAAGGCCGGAACGAACACATGACGACATTGTCATTGATTTGTCTCGAATTTAGACACCAGGATTGCCAGCGTTCCTGGCAGACATACATTTAAGTTTTACTATGTGTTGTTGAGGCATGAATCTACTGCTCGGTCGCTGGGAACGAAGATGCAGGGCCGAAAGTGGACCTCGTTCATCGTATACTGAGAATACGCTGCCAAGACTACTAAAAGTACATAGCGTCGGCGCTAATTTCTGTTGCATAAAATGGAACGGATGGCTGTATCTTTACCCCTGAGTCTTGGTAATTTCAATTACCAGTGCTCCATTTACAGGGCTTTTTTATCGACTAAGGCGCTGGAAAATTGCTCTTTACAAAGAACGATGCACTGAAAGTGGGCTTCCCACAGCCTATAGCCACTCGGAGCCTGAGATTTGTTCTGCCCCATTAAAGATATACTGGTGCTCAGGTGGAGTGTTCGACAAACATATCAGTAATGAACCCGGGATCTGGTCTCCACGCATTTGCGCCACTTGCTTCGCCCTGGGAGCCTGGGGGCCTGTATAATGTAGTTAGTATACCTGAAATTATTTCAAGCTTATCTACATAAATGTTTCTTTATAGCAGTGTAAAGAAGAAATTATAGAGAAAATAAAGTAATGCTAAATAACGTTTATTTGAGAGGAGAAGGATAAAGATTGAGTCGGGAATCTTCATCTTTGCTGTGTCATTATTCAACCAAAACTACCCTAGACCAATACTATTGTAGACGTAGGTAAGCCCTCAAGCAACTCCTTCACGCAGACCGTATCTCTATGTATCCTAGCTTGCAATTCAGACTCACAGTTATCTATGGCCTCTAATCGACGGTGCATAGATGGATGACTCAATTTAACGTACCCGAGTCTCTCATAATGTGTACTGCCAGGTCTTAGTTGCACATGAAGAGCGACAAAGACGTGATTGGTCATGCTGACCCCTATGGGGACAACGGAACCAGATGGGCCGGGCTTGGAACGTGCTGGCGATGAATTATTTGGAAGGCAGTCGACTCTATAATCAACAAGATAGAGTTGTTCCATTGTAACGTCGTTGTGGCTCGCATCATGTGGCGTGTGTCTGCGATGGGAAAGCAACAGGCTTGCATGTATAAGGGGCGCTTGTAAGGTAACCGTGGCCTCCGAAAACTCTCCTAACTGGCTTGGACCAGTAACCATGAATCGCACTTCCTCAACCCCCACGGAGGTAAGGGTTGCATCGACATTCTCAGACCACATAACCTGATTAATAACCGAGGCCCAATTCCATGACGGAAATTGAGGATTTCTTAGCTTTCCAGGTAGTGGATTCGGCTCGACAAACCAAAGTAAGTCGAATAGCAGAGTCTTTTCCCACAGGCCAGCCAAATACCGATCATCATGCCGCATAGCTTCCATCCGCGTGGCGAGACCGGCCAAGGCAGGCATTTTGTCACTCTCGAAAGTCATGTCTAGGCGTGAATAGTCTTGGACAGTTCGATACCATAGGTACCTCGGACCTTTCTGGAAAATGGAGTAGGGCACACCCTGGTGCTGCAGCTCCCTGAACTCCCTGTCATCACTCAAGTCCTTATCATTATTTCCGCTTTCGCTTCGTTGTACTGCCTGGCATTGCCAAACTACCTCTTGGGCACAGAAGTGTAATACCCTTCGGGACAGCCTCATCTCTTGGTATATCCAAGCCCGGTTGAGCAAAGGCCAATCTGGGCTTCGATCCAGTTCTCCGCAATTCCAATGTGACGGGAATGATGGAGGCAGCTGACGGACGTAATGGTTCGGGTAGCCAGGTACTAACTTGGCTAAATACTTTTCATCGCATTTTGTAAAGCAACCTTCGGAGCTATTCCTGGATTTCGTAGCGGCGATTGTGATGAATGCATTTTCATAAATGCCGGCCATCTTTGATGCCTGATCCTTCCAGTCATCTTTGCTGTCTTGAACGATGCATAGAGAGTCTATCCATAGGTAGGAGATCCCTAAGCGGCGGCAAATAGTGATCGCATCTCGAAACGTTGGTGTGAGTGAATCCCAAGGGATATTTGTCATGAAATCGTTCACATTCTTTGTTGTTGTCTTGGTTACCTCCGAGTTACCTCCCCAGCAATGACTCAGACACGCATAGCGGGCGGGTTGAAAATTCTCTCGCAGAATAACACATTGGCCGCTAAGATCAAGAAGCCTTTTTGGGTACTCAACCGGAGGATGAAAATGCTGGCAAGATTCATGGGTATTTGTACAATCAGTGATCCAAGATTGAATGGTTGCAATGGTGGTCTCAGAGTCTGTAGCTCCGGGAATGTGATTCCTTCTATGGTGGATAAACGGAGGACTGCCGTTTCGCACTATAGAATTGCCTGTTAGCAGAATAGCAGAAGGCAGGAATACATGAGAACTTGAAAGCGATAGTGGCTCAATAGCGACATTGCTAATGCGTATAAAGCATCCAGAACAGTTCCAGCCTTTCCCTGAAACAGGTCCTTTACAGTACACCGACGAAACAAAGGCTTCGAAATAACTTACCGTCAGTGAATATATCTAGACTGATGAACCCAATTTGCAAATGCAGTTCACAATAATAGTCGTACAATACATCGATTTTTACAATGTCGGAAAAACGGACATCAGCCGCCCCTGTTTTGACGCACTCAAAGATAAGAGAGCACGTTAAGCAATTATTGCCAGCAGCTTGAGCTAGTTCGTCATAGGTGCAATCATAAGTTTCCAGCTCAAACGAGTCAATCGGTAATTTGCAGGCCAGACAGTCCATTATGGTGTGAGTAAGATGGAGTCAAGACAGTCTTGGTCGGCGGAGGAAGCGAGATAATTGCGATCATGTCAAACTACTCTGAGGAAATACAGATGTGTTGCAAGCAGACCCCGGGTAGATAGGGTAGTTTGGGGGTTATTTAAACTGTAGCTATCAGAATGTCAGTTCTTCACGAGTAAGATATCGGGTAAATGATGTGGTAATTACACTGTACTTTTGCTCGCCATTTGCTTGTAGCGTGCACAAGTATAAAAACCCAGCTGGGATAATGTCTCAGGCGCGAGACTGGTTGCTTGGACCGACACGTGACCAGTTTTGAGGCCTGCTACAGGGATACGATTGGGCTGGCAAGGTTGTGTTTACAGCATAGCCTCAGTTTGCGCTGAAGAGGCCTCACCCTTAGCATTTAATCAGCCTTACAAGCCATTCTTGCTTTACTTCGCTTTTTCAACCACGACACACGATGGAGAAAGTGTGGTTCAAGCTGCGACAAGCCGACCATCTTCCGCCCCCAGAGGACACTATTCTTCTTGGTGACGGTGATGATTCGCAAGCGACTATATGCCTCGGCCACTTCATTTCGGATCTGAAGCACCTTGATTTTCCTCTCAACCGTGGTTCTATCTTGCCATTCCCACGACGTATGGTCGTATATCGCAATTCTGTTCTCAACTTTACCTGGGATGACAACAAAACAAACGCCCCGGGAATCAACTTGGCTGCTGGTGCACCGGTACTTGCGGTCGCTGGAATAGCCGCTGGAGCAAGCCTGCAGACTGCGTTTATGCGAACTGTTGGGAACTATGAATCATATGATAGGTTGGATACATATACCGTGCAGCCAACCAAAGATTACATTGAAGAATGTCTGGATCAAGACAAGCTGAAAGGATTCACAAAAGGGAAGGTATCCTGGTCCATGTTTATGATCACAGGCATCAAGGTCGCTCGTGGTGGAAGAAGAGAGGTGCGGGAGGAAAAAGGTACAGTTGTTGACATCGGACCAAATCTGTAAGTGGATACCCAGAAGTGGAGATCTGGTATGCTAATGCTGCTGCAGAGATGTCCCAGCGCTTGCTACTCTGAAAGCCACCGTGAACAACAATCGGGCGTCGTCACAAGGTTATTCTGGAGAGTATCAAGGTGACTTCATCTGGGCTATTCGATTGGCCAAAGTGCACAAAGGGCTTCTTATGAGGGATTGGTCTGTCGCTGCGCATAGCAAGCGGGCCACGTTTACCTTTGGAGATGGAGAGGCAGACGTCGACGGTGCTTTGACAGGTGAAGGACTCGAAGATTTCGAGATTATTGATGATGGTGCTTTGGATGAAGCCATTGTATTACACAGGCATGTCATCCAGTAGCTGATCTTATACGTGTTGTTGCATTTTGGAATGTCCTGATAAAAGGTTTAGCCGTACTCATGTCAGCTTCAACTTCTCACCAACTTGAGTGAAACAAAAAGGCTCAACATCGTGATGAATCGTATCGGGTAGTGTAGATGGTTGATGTATGGTCTATTCTTTTTACAACGGCTTTAGCCTTCAGAAGGCATATCAAATGCCGTACTAACAGAGTTTGGCCACAATTTGGCCGAGCGGCACTACATGATTTTGTCTTATTCAGCTTGAACCCCTTCCATCGGACAGACCAGGTGTTTGTGCTGCTGCTGATGTTTCCAAAAGTCAATCCATTCTTCAAACACATCAAGTGTGTCTGAATCGTGATCAAAAGGACAAAAGAATCTTCGCGAAGTCTGCCAGGGAATTTGACACATTGGGCATGTCGCCGTGCCGGTAGACCCTTCACCCTGACTTGACTTTACTCCAGTTGCTGCTATATAGTGTGCATGCATCATGGAGTCAGCCAGAAGGTCCCCGCAGAGGTCCGCCGCCTTCTCTCCTATGAAATCTGTGACTGCGTCCTGTGCCCTCGTCATCATGAGATCCCAGATATCTTCAATGTGACTTAGATGTGTCTGATAGTATTTGATAATCATGAGTGTGTCGCTGATAACCTCGATCGAGGTTTCTTCGTCCTCTCTCAGAAAAGGCTTATCAAGCTTGATACCAAGAGCCAATGACGTGTTGGAGCAAAAGTGAAACCGTAACTTCTCTTTTGCTGATCGGGGCAGCTCAAAAAGCCCTTGTCCATTCTGATTTGAAACAGTGATCTCCCAATTGAGGGGGTCCCTAGATTGGGGAAGAGTTGTTGCGGACGACATGATGTTGACGTCTCTACGTGTGTATCTGGCAGCTTTTGGCTTACTGACGGTTGCCTTGTTCGATTTGGGCATTTGTGGCTTCCAACTTTCGCTTTGGTTCCCGAGATAGTCAATCTCCTTAGAACATCGGTCATAAGACCTGGAGACACTAAAAGACTGTTCGTCTGGGAAAAAGATGGTTGGGATGCCGCCACTGTCGTCCTCATCCGAATCCCACCCTCTGAAATGCTTTCGGTTTGGGAAGGAGAAGATAGGGTTGTCGTTGGCACATGACCAAGACGAGCCGGTCCCAGCAGCCTCGAATCCATCACTGTCCGATTCTGCCCCTGTGAGCAGGTCATTGATATCCATACTATCTAGTAAAGTCTTGTAGTGTTCTATCATGTTGCCCTCTGTAGTCGTGTCGGACTCGTCTTGAGGAATGGCGACAAAGCTCGTCCACTTGCTGGTTATAGAGTATCTAGCGCCAAGGGTTTGGGCGTTTTCTTCGACGCGTGGGGTTACCGAGGGTTCTCGCCCAACGCGATTTTCTAAATCCATCAGAGTGGCCTTCGCTGCCAATCGGTGCATTGTGCCGTCTTTGTCCGGTACCGACTCTACCGGCAGTCTGTAAGTCCGCTCCTTCGCCCCAGGGGTCGTCGTAGTTATAATAACCTCTTTCGGTATCGGTCCTCGACCTTTAGTGTCAATCAAGAAGAAGATCGTGGTGAACTTGAATGGATGGAGGGCCACAATAGTGTATGGGGCTTGGAAGTAAGGGATATCTGGCTGTGTGTCTGATGTTTTTCTGGTATCGAGTTCGTCGTAGTCCGCTAGGCTGTGCTGTTTGAAGCCATCACCTATGTTAGCAATACAATTCCAGCTGTCTGGTTCCAGTGCCGCCTTAACTAGACGGTTCAGCCTTTCATGCCACCTTGGGTTTTCTATTATGTCAACGACGTCGCCGTATCCCCCTCCCAGCTCGGCAATACTCTCAATCAGAGCGTGTGGTACGGTGCCACCAATACCTAGAGCAAAGAAGCGAACTCTGTTCTGCAGGGATTGGCGTGTCTTCCAGACAAATTCCATGGGAATCTTTGGCTGTAGCTCTCCATCTGTAACGACAATGATCTGAGTCGACTGAAGCTTGTGATGCCGATGCTGAACTGAAGCTTTCAATGCCCTTAGCAGATCTGTTCCTCCCATATCGGCACGGATGTGCGAGATGTAGTCCTTGGCCTCGATGATGTTCTCGGGAGAGTGTTGCCTTGATTCCTCCCACAATGCCCAGGTTTCCGATCCCCAAGATATTACATTGAAGTAACACGTCTTGGGAAGGCCAGATACCGCCAAAAGCATCGCTTGTCGCATTACGTCGATCTTAGTCGTGTGACGGCTATATGGGTATCCACCTACACCTGCAATCATAGAGCCTGATCGATCAATAAGGAAGAGAATTTCACCCGAAAATGACTGAGGAACGATTGCGTCTCGAAATAGTTCATTGGGTCGAATGGTAACCATCATTGCTGCAAGCCCACTGTCATCTGGCGGGGAATAGACGGCCCGGGAACGTATTTCCTGACCCTTTGTAGCCTGAACGACAAAGACGAAGTCTTTAGTTAGTACTGGCGTCTTTGAATGGTGATGCCAGACGTGATACTCCCTGAGAGACTCAGGCGCTCCAATGCGACCAGATGGTCGTGGGGGCTCCATCAATTTGGATCCTTCGTCGTATACAATATGTCCCGACTCTTCTTCACACCCACGAGGGTTTACTCGACCGTCATTCAATACCCTGACTGTGATGTCAAGCCTGTCTTTGGGTAACTGGGATTCTGGCTGCCATGCTAATTGGGAACGACCGTAGCGCGGAGCAATGGATGTTGGGATAACAAGCGCTATTCCCTCGGTAGCTTTAGTCTCCATCAAGACTACCTTCAGCTCTTGAATGTATACAATCTTCACCTCAACGCTTGTTTTGGGAGGAATATTTCCGAGTGACGTCTCGAAAATTTCTGGCGTGTGTTCTTCAAGAAGGGCTGCTGCCTTTGCCTGTTCGTGTACTGCCTCTTCAAAATCTTCGCGGGCCTGTTGCTTTGGCTTGACGACACCTCGGATCCGACGCTCGTCGCCAATAGTGCACTCAAATTCAGTGATGACTGCCCCATCATACAAAGGGAAAGTATGTTTAGCTTCTTTAATGGCTATGTCAGAAGAGTTGTGAAAGCTCTGTATGATTTCGGTATGAGCTAAAATTCCATGAATAGTCGCAGTCAAAGACACCTGGAGGATAGGGAGACACTGGGTCACATCCTCCTCTTTCCGTAGTGTCCCGTTCCCTGAAGACTCAGCCGTGGGCAATGCGCGTTGGTCCCCATAAGCATCATGATTTACGGACATCGCAACACAACTGCCGAGGGTCTGTACAGAGCTTTTGTCAAAAGAACCTTGCTCGTCCCCTTTCCGGATGATATTGGACTTGCGAAATCTCGGGCCAAGGAGTGGTCCATCGGGAGGGGCTCGTTCCGACTCATGTGGAATTGAAAACCGAATGCCAGAATTAATCCGTTTGGTAGGTACGTGACGGCTAGACATGATGATTTCCAGATTGTCTGGCCTACAGAAGCTTGGTGAAAAATATGGCTTAATTTAAGTAGTCAGTGGGACTGTTTCTGTTGATTGTAAAACCGTAGAAAGTAATCACACTTAGGAAAGTCCTGTTGTTTTGTTTGCTATGCTCAAGCCTCGTTTTTGGGCGACTAACAAACTCTGGGATATACCAATTACCTGCCTTCCTGCCCCACAACACCAGGGCCTTTCTGACTGGCCAGACCAACAGCGGCACAGCCTGCCTACGATATGCGGTGTTGGTTTTAGCTTTACGCCACGTATACCTATATTGATCAGTTGTTGGCTCACAGGCAGCCACGGCATCAGACCGCTGTGATATGGTGGTCAGCACAGCCGAGTCCTGGGCGCTTCGCCTTCCTAGGTTGAAACAAGGCTCTACTATGACGGAGGAACGTTCTGCCGGGTAAGAGTGTGGCATACCCACAGATGCATTCCCCTCGAGCCAAAGCGGTTTATGCTCATCCAGGTCTGCAGCAACAGCGTTGTTCCTAGATTAAGAGCGCAGGATCAGCCATGAGCACATCTACGGCACAAATTCTGGCTGACCTTGTTGACGATGTTATCAGGTATGCTGAATACATTCGGCAGCCTGATGATACCACTAATATTGGTGCCCGCGCTCGAGTATTACGCTTCTTCCTCAGTTCCGCGTTGACAAAATATACCATTCGTGGCGACACTGACATTCATTCCTCTCTCGGGCTTACGATAGATGGCTTCATTAGGGACTTGGCCGCTATCGAGGCAATGCTAGGCGAGAGACCAACCGCTATAGGCAAATTGTCCAGTTCTTCACGACTATTACCAACAGAGTGGTGGAACCACCTGAATGTAGTTCTAAGACAGCTGCACCAGTATGCAAATGCCCTAGGACTAGCGATAGGTGCCGAAATCTCTTTGTAAGTTCTTGTAAAGGTATTTTTGGAAAAGACCGCTTAAACTTTAGATAGGGAGGGTCAGCCCGAAATTTGTGAAGTCGAAATTCACGTAGCCGATTTCGATGATCTAGCCAAAGGTGTGCTAGATTCCGTAAATCAGATTTTCCCGTTTGACCAACATTCTTCCACCGGTCATGAAAGCCTTGTTGTCGAAGAATGGGATATAACGAGGAATAATAAGGTTAGTGGCCTTGGTATTTCCAGAGTCATATGCCCAAGAGCTCGTGTCATTGGAACACCTCAGTCGATAGGGAGAGAATTCAAGCTTCTATGTTGTTGCGACTACGCACTACACGGCTCTCAGCTTCGATACAAAGGTGAGTAGCTGAGTAAAACTCCTATACTGATATGACCGAATGATAACACGTGCTGGAATGTACAGTTTGCCGTGGTAAAAGCTATCTTATCGAAGATATTTCTCTCGACGGGTTTCCACGATGGAGCATCCTTTTATTGAAGTCGAACAAACTGATCCTCGTGAGGCTGTGCTGTGTTTCACATCCATGTATGAATCACCTTCCATTCCCTTCACTTTTCCAGTTGCTGAATGTGCCCAGACATAGGATTCATACATCGTGTGGCCGATGACATCGGAGTAGCCAATCTGAATGCCCAGCGGGATATTCTTGCAACCACTTCAGACAGGGAGATTGAGACAAGGCGGTTCCCATGTTCCCAGAGGTGAGTATGAACCCCTGAGTCTCCCAAACAGAGGTACCAGACTACCGGCATTGCCTCCGGGATATTAATTAACTGGTGATATAGCGATTCTGGATTCCCTTCGACTAAAGTACGCACTGTGACAGGAGAATTTGCTGGAATTGAGCGCTCACTTGGGACCCCTTTGAAAGTCTTATTAAAAAGCTACAAGGTATTCGCCAAGGGGTATTTGTACCCTGAGCCAAACTTCCACGTTATACTTCAAGGATGTCTAAGTGATGGGAAGGAATGGAGGATTATTGGTACGTAAGATATTAAATTAATACTTATAGCCTCTGCTGACTCTGCGTATCGTAGTTACGAATCATACGGCCATATCTCATGATTCGAGCCCACTGGGTAGACTCTTTGTAACGTTGGAAGGTGCAACTCTGAAGGGAGAAAGCAATGCAGATACCAGAGATGACTGTAAGATTCATTTCGGCTTTGATTTGCGCTACGGTAAGACTCCAGAGAGACTAGAATTAACCATTCTTAACCCCGAACATAGAGGCTGAATCTTTCGCACGCTACCTATCGATTGCTCAACTGCGAGCACGGAATATCCTCATTCAAGATACCGTCTGCGACGATTTGATGATATATTATAGGTATCCAGTATTCGATAACGGATTACTGCACTATTATTTGCTAACATATAAAGGGAGTTATATTCGCACTCCAATCATGGGGCTCCATTAAGGACAACGTTTGCGATTCATTCACGACCCTTTGGAAGGACAGAACGTGAATACCGTGCAATAGTATTTCAAGATGGCAACAAGCGTTATGTCTGTTTCGATTGTATGACTTTCGACAGCATGAGAGTTCGTGAGAGTTTACTAACGAAGAAGTAGTTCATACAAACATTTTCAATATCGCCCGGAAAGGTCTGCTACGATCTTTAGAAGAAATTACCATTTGGGTTCTTAACCACGACGAGCATGGCAGAGCCTTTGCCTCCCATACGAAGTGGGAGACACTTACTGGACAAAAACTGGTAACCTCGGTTGAAAGAGCCACTCATGTCACAAGGTCCGTAAACACTCATTTCTGCTAAGCTTATCAGGGCAGAATTACAACTGTTTCCTGCGTCATTGAAAGCTGACACTTGGTGGCAGTGGACGAACTTACACAATCAGCGACTGGCTAGATGGAATTGGGAAGTTGAGAAAGGTCATGAAACGGGACAGAAGCGATCACTACGGAAGGGTCAAGATCGCCGTGGTTGATTCGGGCTTGAACGATGAAGCGTCGGGCCACTTGGACAAGAGGAATGTCGTGTATAAGGACTTCACCAATAATAGTCGCAACGACTCCTGGCATGGGACATGTTGCGCAAAGATCATCTCAGACATTTACGAGGAAGCAATACTCTACGTTGCAAGGATATTCGAAAATGACAATGCGGATGAGGAAGATGGGCCCATTCGAATGGCTCAGGTTATTACTTCTACATACTTTTTCTGTCTCTTACTAATTTTTGTCTCAGGCAATCGATTGGGCTATTAGTCCACCCAACGGCGTTGACATAATCAATATCTCCGCTGGCTTCCGCCATTACTCAAAGGAGCTGGACGAGGCAGTGACCAGAGCTAAAGCTGCTGGCACCCTTGTGGTAGCCGCTGCGGCTAACTGGCAGAATACGGGCAGTGTTGCATTCCCTGCACGACACAACCTCACCACCATGTGTATCTACTCGACAAACATGGGGAATCAGAGCTCGAGCTTCAATCCTGAGCCGAGGATGGATACATCGAACTTTGCTATCCTTGGCGAAGGGTTTCAACATCCGGACCAGAGGAGGGATGAGCAAATGGATGGGACTTCAAGTGAGTGACGCATCTCGTCTGAGCGGGTTCGTGTACTAATTGTCAATCTTAGTGGCGACCGCAGCTGCAGTAGGGCTAGCGGCCAACATCATAGACTTCTCCCGTCAACAGGACAACAAATCGTATATTTCCAGAGCGCAGGATGTGGGCAAGCTACCGGGTATGCTGTCGATCTTCAATGCCATATCCAAGCCCGCTGGACCTCTTCGATATGTGGCCCCGCTGGAGCTGTTACCCTTGCAACATGGATCAAGCAGGGAAAGGGACCGGCAGAGAGTCAGAGAGATCTTGTCGCAGGCAATGGAAAGGGCAAACTAGACTGCTTGTATCACTCAAATAATGTTATGAATCATTCCGAATATTGAGCTTTTTTGCAGTACCGCAGAATTCCACAGAGTCAGAGCACCATGTGGAGTCAAGCCACTGGAAGAATACCTCCCAATCGATTGGCTGAAGTACAGTACAAGCTAGGCACAAGAGAAAGGTTCTGCTTGAGCTACGGATTCTGCAGGTGGTGGCTGGGAGAGAGATGTCTACGAAAGGTCATCATTTCTTTAAGTTCCTACAGTAAGTAGGCTTTCTGTCTCTTGATCTTAGGCTATTAGAAACCGAAGCTGCCAACAGCGTACAAGATGAGGAGTGAGTGACACAGTCTATGCCGGTTTTCATTGCTTCTTACCCGTTTCTATTTTGGTGTTTCAAGCCTCAGTGGGGTCTTTGTTGTCTTTAACAGATACAATTGGCTGTTTTAAGTGCAATGGACCGGTCTAGAACCTCGGCTCGTCAACAACATCTCGTCTGTGGAGACACTCAGTGTTACACAACCTTTTGAGGGCTTCCACGCCATGGGTGGAGGGCCAGTAACAGTTCCGCCCGCATTCTTGCGCCAAGGAGAAAAGAAAGGTGGGCTGAATTTTACCTCAGCCAAATTTCCATCCTCAATTCAAGCTCGCTTCTGCAAACTGGATCTCATCACCAACAGGTGATGATAGCCTGCCGTCGCGGATGAAAGCCTGTGAAGTCAGCTATGAAAGTGACTCGGATGGACACAGATAGGAAATGGGACTGGATTCCGAGACTCCACCCTTTTTAGCACATTAGAGTGGAAGGGAATTGCATAAGTCTGCATAAGTCTGTGTCAATCTGCATCAATGGACAAAATGCGAATCCTAGCGTTGCTGATTTTTCACATCAATCTGATGGTGAGACATTTTGCTCGGACGTTGTTGCGCGATCGAATGGCTACAGTCCGTATCGAGGCTTATGTGACTTCAAAGCATCTGGGAGATTGAAACTCATCTCCATCATAATATTGAGAGCTTTTGTCACGGATACTACGATCTGACGATTCTCACCAATATGGAAATGTTACCAGACTACCCTATATCGTGAAGGGAGAACTTAATGTGATCCACATTCTTAATAAGTATGTACCCCCTGGATACTACTTTGGTTTCTGTACCGGGGACTTAAACAAGAAAGAAGAAACGGGGAGGCGTTGAGAAAGGCCCTTGCAGACGATAATACCTTCTTGGGCCGTGCCATGCTTGGTCAAGAGGGGGTTGAGATCAGCCATCGTTGCCCGTATATCCACTACATCGAAATGCAACAAGGCGAGATTGCTATCTTGCGTCAAGATGACGCAAGCCCGCGGCCCCCCGAGTCCCTACGTGTGGGGGAGAGACAGACGTTTCCCCCAGGTGCATATGCGGTCAGCTTCAAGGAGAACACTAACACTCTGCTCACGATGGGATGTTTCCCTCCCCGGCTGGAAGTACCACGACCAGTGGCAAACGACCCGGCAGATAGCCCCTTGACTATTCCCCCACCTCTCTGACACGACCGACAACTTTGTGCGATGTTTGTAAAGCTATTCCTTGGGATGAACTCCCCACTGAAGATGGACCAGCGCATCCTCACCATGGCTCCGTGAGACACCTGATCGCGTCAAGCGACACTTGCAAAGTATGCGAAATGCTTGTTGATGCTATAATTGAGAGTGGAAAGCAACGCGAACAGTATACCTACCCCGTCAAAGAAGCTGAGAAGATTCCTGCTGGTGGCTCCAAGACTTTTGAATCTGGCAAATGGACTCCATAGATTTGGTTTCATAGGAATTGGTGGTCCCTCGATCTCCCAGAAAATCCTCTACCTCAATTGATTGGCCTGAGAGTCAGAATTACCCGTAATTCCGAGGTGGAGGCCATGGCTGGAAGTCATGACCTCCCAGGCTAGATGGATCTGTCAAATTCGAAGCCTTTATCTAGCCTAGATTCAACTCCTGGATTCATTGGTTCCAGTAGTTCCGAATGGTCGTATTATTCGTATCTTCAATCGCATATGATGAACTCAACCCAATCCAAGTTTTTAATGCCTTACAGCGTCTAACAAATTCAAGGTCTACGCACATACCATATAATGTCGTGCACAATGTGATCTCAAGAAGGGTTTTTCACAAACATGAAGATACTGCTACCCTATCCTACAGTGCTTGGAAGAAACTTGAAGCGATCCACATTCCTATCAGTATACACCACCTTGAGGTTACCTATACGAGATTCTTTATAGGGGACTTGGAGGGGAAACAAGCGGCTTATTTACGCGTAGTATAGAGAAAAAGATCTAGCTAAAACGTTCTCGGCTAGCATTTTGCATTAGTGTTCAGCTGCACGAAACGTTTTAATTCCGACTACACAGGTAAACATAGTGATAACAGGAAAAGGTCAATGACATCGCCCTAAAGTTTCCTTCCTTGTTTGCTTTCATCATCTCCGTCCAGGTCCTGGGACGTAATCTCAATAACACAACAGTATTAGCTAAAGGTGTACTCCTGACTCTTAACTGGCTAGAACTGTCAATTACTAACAGCCTTATGCATACTCAACGTATCACAAACTCTCAAATTCCGGTCAAACATTTCTCTATCTCAAGACTTTTCTATAAGCTCTCTAACCTCAACACCCTTTACTCCTCGCTTATATGCTTTATATCATCGAGCTGAACTAAAGTAGCGATCAGGAAACTGATGCACGACTGAACTTGTTTTCTTCTTCTTTGTCACGATATGAGCTATCGATCCTGCAGTTCAGTAAAGCAGCTGTGATTTCTCGTAGTTTCGAAACCTATGTGGACGTTAGCTTATGCTTTCAGGTCACTCTCGGCCTCTCGCTGGCCGATTCTACCCAACGCCGTGGCCGCCGTGGTAAATTATGGGGAACCTACAGCAGCGATTCCGTTTGCTTTGAGAGCGGAGATGGGTGTGGCTCTAATGATATGAAATAACTCTTGAGCGATTTACTTACGGAGTTTGAGTAATTGACGCCTAATGTCGTTGTTTTCTTCGGCCTGAGATGTGTCCAACGGGTTCGTTTCGTGGAGGTGTTGATTTGGTTCCTCAATTGGCTGAATGTTGGCTGATACTGTCGCAAAGATGATACTTTGGATGAAAAGACTTGTTATGTATACGTTCACCCGCGGGATGGCGAAAGAGCGAGTGTCTTGCTTTGCATACGCATCGTCATTGAAAAGCCTCAATTCATCAGGTAATTGACTGGTGATGTTCTGCAAGGCTTTTATGATATCCATGCCTTGTGCGAAAGTCAACTTGCCGTTACTATAGTTTTCGCATGTCTGGTCTCGACATGGCGGTGAGAATTGGCCATAACGTGGGTTTCCGGGTAGTGTCTGGGGTCGTAATGCCATTGCGCAGAGATATATTTTAATCAGGGCAATATACCCAGCTAGCTTAGCTGTGCCTGCAGAATCTTGGCTGTGTACCAATTCATCAACTTCCAGTAAGACAAGAAAGTCCCAGTCAACGCGAGCCGGATTGCAGCTAATCACCGTATGCGGCACTGGATATGTGAGTCTATCGTGGCTACGAGAATTAGTCGGATACCACCCGAGCCCCTTCTGAGCGTTTTAGAAGATATAACTTACGCCATGATAATAAACATCATCCAAAACGCTCGTTTGCACATTTCGGACTTTACAAAGCCCAGATCATTATGTGATTCCCGTTCGCACAATCTCAATCTTCGCATGCACAAGACCGCCTCGGAGGCGTGCACCCAGCCATAGTGAGTACTACCTGAACCATGAAGTGCCACGCTCAGTATATATGAGCATATCATGTCGTCAGGGTTGGGCTGGATGCCACCGTGTAAATTTTGCGATGTCTTGCTGAGTGTAACCAAGTAGTGAGCCTTTTCCGCCATGCTTCTTACTGTTTCCCCAGGATTGGATCCGTAAGTTTGGAAATTTCGTGGCGACCACGAGATGACAAGGGCTGATATTGAGATGCATAGTCGGTAGAAGAATGGGTCAGACCGGTAGCGTTTATTTTGAAATTCTGTCCGAAAAAGTGGTCGATGTATAATGGGATGAAGCGGATAGATGTGTTCAAGGTAATCTGAAATGATGTGTCAAGAGTATCTTCCAACGCGGTCTGCGGCTAATTTCCTGACACGGCTAAGTGGAAGCGATGGGCGTTGAACCCAGAAAGTCTGCTAGCTTTCAATTCGTTCAATTACCATGCGTCATCCACTTTTCACATTATTAGCGAGACGCAGGCTTTCCTACCTTCTGGCTCCGAGGGGAATAGAAGATTTGCTACTTCGGACCCTGCAAGTGGTCAAGGAGCAGAAACGCGACTGATTAAAAGCTACACTTCTCCGCACTCAAACGTGCTACCTGAGTAGCGAGAGTACTGAGCGCAATCTGACGAGTTTTATGAATTGACTGCTAACCTAATTACGAGGATGGAAACGGACCATCAAACTTGAATCCTTGAACAGATCAACGTCCTTATTCACCAATTCCCAGTCGAAATGAAATACCATCTTGGCAATGATAAGTCTCATTTCAAGATATGCGAGGTTGATACCCAAGCAAGCTCTGGGGCCAAGAGAAAAGGGTTGGCTAGCCTGCTTGTTATCTCCAAAACCGTCATCAATCCAGCGCTCTGGTACAAAAGAGTAAGGGTCCTCACAGTATCGTCCATCATGCTTGGTAGTCCAGTGATCTACACTAACAGTGACGCCTGGAGGAACGTAGTCATGATACATAATCTTGCAGGTATCATTGTGGACGAAGATATGAGGCTATGACGGGGCCTTTGCTCAACCTATTAGACAGGAATAAGGTTGCTACGTTTCGTGCAGTGGATTCTCAAAACTACACAAGAATATTTTGGAGAGATTTATCCAGGGTCTATGTAGTATTGCTTATGGATTATACACGTACCGTATTAATGATGTTACCTCTAATATGAGGAGATTCTCCGATTTTAGTCCGCTAGACCAAGCTTAATTAAGCCTGTTGCATGCGACCGGGGTATTCTCCGACTTTAGTCCGCGTGCTATTCTAATTCCAGTCTACACCCTGTCATATCTGAATTGGTCCAGACCATCAAAGATTCTCCGATGTTAGTCCTTTCCTCTAATCGCATTGATTGATCAGATTATGATCCTGTCGATAAATAAACGGTCACGGAACTCAATTCGGAGCCGATAAGATCCCGTATACCCGTTGTTAGAACTATTCATAGATAGGTATCTTAAACGTAGGGTACATGGCTATACTACACTTCAATCTCATCTCAATTCATTTCAACATAGTTCCCTTCTTGTGTAACCTACTTCGAGACAACTTGATACTTTTTGTCGGCTAACTCTGCTCTACGAGAAATGACAGGAACTCCTTTGTCGTGGGCTCCTCCCTCGTACCCACCTACTACCATAGAGAATGATGGGGTAAGGCATGTAGTCGTCCGACTTTGTCATGACAGTTGTGGTTCAAACTAACTAACACCCAAAAAGACATTCGTGAATAGATACGATGCTCGAAAGACTTGGGCATATGTCACAACAGACACCAACAATGTGAATAAGTAAGTGGCCTTCCTATAATAAAACACATCCTATCCTAACGAGACTTCGCAGTGTCTTCATGCTCTATTGGATCACAACAAAGGAGGGACTCAAATATCACTTGACAAGCAACGCAGGCCTGCGTGGAGACAAACTCCTTGGAATTCATTTCATTGAATGACCTGCAGGACAACACTTCGCACGGAGCTTCGATTATCCATCCCGGGTCTGGAAATCCTGATCGTCTGGAACTGAAGAGCGCCACGCGGAACGTCACCAGCCCTGAAGACGTTGACCAATGGACCAACACCCATCTTGAACTTGATTTTGTTGGAATTAAACACGACGTTATCTTACAGCCTACCGGTGGTAATTTCTACTACGGCGCGGCGGTGGCGTTCAGCTCGTCAACCGAGGACCAGACCCTGACGGCTCTACTTCCCTTCCGGGCTGGTCTTGGTATTGGGTGAGTATGATTTCGATTGCCATTGCACTGGATTACTAACATGATATCTAGGCCAGCCCTGCAAGCCGTCTTCATGGATATCTTGAAATTGATGGTAACCGACACGAGATTGATTCCAAACAATCATTCGCCCTGTTCAAAAGACAATGGGGCAACTTCCACAATGGAAAAGGTTACTTTGCCCTTTGGTTCTACCTAGAGACGGGAGAAGTTCTCATTTCCTGGTCCATGGAACCAAATCTTGACGGCGAATCAAAAACCGCATTCGCTTCTGTTTGGCACCCGAATGGCCGACATGAAATGCTACCTGTCGGTCCCAAGAGCCGGACTTCTGAGATTGAAGCCAGCCCCGAAACCGGCTTGAAGTACTTTAACAAGTTCTTTCTGGATTTGCCGGCGCGAGATGCCTGCCTCTTTCACATTCACCAAGTGGGTTCGCGACGGTGCATTGGCCCCGGGCCCGCCGGGGCAGCGTGATAAATATATCACAATCTCTGAGTCGTATGGTGAAGGAATTGGGTCTTGGGATGGTAGGCAGGTACGATTCCACGGTCATGTTGAACAATTGTCTACTTTAAAATGAGTTCTTCTAGACTTATATCAAGCTGAGGCCTCACCTTTGCAACAACAAATAGATTGGCTTTTCATAGTGGGAGTGGCGGTTTGCGAATCGGATTACTTGATCCTTAAGGAGATGTCTCCTGGGCATATTACTGCTCAGTGTATACCTTTAAACTGGGGATTTCATTCTAGGCGTATTCCTTCTCTTTATACCAGCTGCAACCTGCACGTCTTCTACCGCACGATTCCCGGCCTGTCCACCTTGAGCAGAGTCTACCTCGTGTTGTGCTTGCTGTTCGCCCAGGTCATGCTGTGCTTGTTGTTTTGGTTCGACTTTATTATTAGGCTTCTGAACTTTGCTCTTGACGGCCTCTTCTTGCTCGCGCCCACAAGGGTGTCAACGCCCTGCTTCCTGATATGAGCAGTGGTATGGATAGTTCCACTAGCAGAGGAACCCAGGCAAACAAGGCGACTATCTGCCCAAAGCCCCATTCGTTGTCTGCGTAGCCATTTTTGCTAAATCGAGCCAGGTCTACTCGAGCCAAGTGCATCTTGGCGAAAGAGTAGGCCACTCCGCTAGCAAGACCTGCAGACACAAGGCAAAGCCAGACTGACCGGGACTTGGATTTAAAATTCGCGATAAGCATGTAGATTGCCACGGCAGCGACGATCGATATGAGTAACAGCACGATGAGGAATGACCGAAGATTCTTGTTGTACTTATTCGCCCAATCGCTTGGAGGGATTGGTACGACCACTCCGGATCTTTCACAAGCAGTAACGAAGGCTCGAACGTCTTTCGCTGAGAGTGACCTGCGGTCGACCCAGTGCATTACTCCGGTCGAGAGCCCTATTTGCATAACGATCCCCAGGACCAACGTGATAGTTTCGCGAGTCTCGATTAGAAATGCCTCGTCTTCCCCCGTGTGTACCACCATGGTGGACACGAGAACACAAGCCGCCAGGAGCTCCATGAAGTTCAGGTAGTAGATGAATCTGGCCTCGAACAGCGTTGATCGTCTCTTCAGATCGATTATACTCGCTACAGCAATAGGGCAAGCAAGAAGCAGTGTCGTCTGAAGAGCCTTGATATGGATCCCGGCGAGGTGCTTCTGGCGTTTCCTGTCAAGGAAGGGATATACGATCGCATAGCAAGGTCCCAGTAAGAGGCAGACCGCCAATTGGAGGATATGCGATACGAAGACGCCGATGCCGGATAGGTCTGGATTGCCCTTTCCCCATGCTAAGCTGCACTTTTCCGGACACGCCTCGACTGCCGTGGTAACATTCGTGGTGTTTAGTGCGAAGAAGTCTGCGAACTGATGGATAGATGCGCAGTCGAATGTGGTGTTAAGCATCCTGTTGCGATTCTTATTAGAATAGTCCACGTCCGCTTGAATAAGAAGGTAGGTGAGGAATGGTGATGTGTAGGGAGGAAAGCTGCGGCCGCTTTAAACCTGTCTGGAAGCGAGCAAGGCTTGCTTTTGCTTTGGAGACGTGGGCGTCGCCGTGGCGGCTCTCAATCTGTCTGGTTGGTCGGCCGACAACTATCATGTGATCTTCAGCTGAACGATCAGCTGTGATGCCACGCGCCGGCTATTCTTCCAGATCATTTTGGTGCTGGTCGCTGATGAAGGATAATTCGGGTTGGTTATGGCATCCGTTAGCACTGGATGCTCTATGCCTAGGGCGCCCCGTCCGACGTCCTGCGCGATACTACTGTGCACACCTCCAATTGAGGTGTTTAGCAGGGCTAGTTTAGGTACATATTGTGAAAACTGTGATGGAACAGTTGTTGGTCTAGCTCTCTAACCCCCGACGATACTTGGGATAGGGGTGCTTGAAATAATCAGGTAACAAACCTATTTATATTCTGAATAGCCCTCACAGCGTCCGATGAAAAAGTTTAATTGCAAGTTCCGATGATGGATGGGAGCACGTCTGCATCGCCGTGAGTTCCTCCGAAGATCAAAGCCAACAGTGGAAGCCCATCTTGATCATCCAGACGTTGGTGTCCTCCTTGACGGGTACAAGCGATTGCACTGTATCCATGCTAGAAGCGTTACCCTAGCCCGGTAAGTCGTGTCCTGAAGGCTTCAGCACCGAGGGCCTCAGATAAGCTCAAAATTAAAGACGGTGATCAATTGGACCTTGCCACCAGATACCTGCCTGTTTGTGATTGCAGATCGACAAGATCAGGTGGAAATTAAGGGACACGGGACTGCTGATGCAAGGTTTTAACAACGCATTGCACTACGCGGTACTGAGACTGCTGGACCAACAACTGTAATCGGGCGTAATGAAATGCAAGGGTCAAGCAATCAGCCTTGGACCCTTGCTGATCGACTTTACCTGTTAGGGTGCGGCTGAGACACCAACACTTTGGATCGTCGGTTGATCTTTCAGCATCACCAACAATACTAAACCGTGACTTCAATCCAGAATCACGGTCATATTGAGAACAGTTCAGTAGCCTGTGGCTCAGTTATAGGGCGTCATGATGTTCATATGCCTGGCAGCTTGCCCGTTGAAGGGAGCTGGAATAAAGCCCAACGCCCATCAGCATATTTAGAGTGAGCGCCACAATAAGCTACAAACAAGACTAATGCAAGCCTAACCATTCCTGTAATTTAGAGTGCCACCTCCGCCTTGATTCTTTCAAAGTTCGGGTTAACGCCTGGCAAGGCCCAACGAACAGCGATTAAACACTCTTCGATCTGCATGTTAGTTTCCTTGGTGGGTGTGAAATCAGGGGATAACATGCCACAAGGCTGCATTCGCAAAAGAGGGGTCGAGTCAACGGCGAGATATAAATGACTGGTGACATGCTGTGCCCAGCCTTTTTCCTCCTGTGGATTTCTGGCTTGAACCGTAATGCTTTTGTGCCTGTTCTAGACGGCTGATAATTGTAAACTTTCACGATGTTGCGACGACGCATTCTTCCGCTGGCCCTTTGGGTACAGCTAGCCATAGCATTCGGCTCGGATATGCTAAAGCTGAAGACTGGCTCTGAGATGATCTCTCTATCCGATGCAGCCATGAGCGAGATTCTACTCCCCGACAGCGTATCAAACTTCACAGAACTGTTCGAAGACAACAATCAGCTTCAATCGTATGGCTTACACGCAAGACAACGTCAATGTGTCAATCCAGGATACTGTAAGACCCAGCCGCCCCTACACGCGATAATATGCTGACGATGATAGACCCCTGCTCCAATGGCGTACGATGCTGTCCCGGAGGCGACACCTGCGTCCCAGGCGGTTGCTGCCGTGGCAACACCCAACAATGCGGCTCAAGCAAATGCTACGATCCCTCTTCACAAATCTGCTGCTCCAGCGGTATCGCCTGTTCGAAAGGCAAAACATGCGTCGACGGCGGTTGTTGTGACGCTGGTGAATCCAAGTGCGGTTCATCAGCCTGCTATAACCCCAAAACATCGGTCTGCTGTGGAAGTTCAGGTATACACTGCCCCAAGGGATATGATTGTCAGCCAGGTGGTGGATGTTGTCCTGCTGGACAGAAGAGATGCGGGAATAGTAAGTGCTATGATCCTAAGAAGGCGACATGTTGTACGGGACCGGGTACTGTTTGGGCTTGCGACAAGGGCGACGAGTGCTGTGCTACTCGAGGATGTGCAAACCCTGCCACTGAGAAGTGTTGTAAGAACGGTGGCTGTGAGAAAGGAACGACCTGTTGCGAGAACGAATGCTGTCGCTCGAGTGGATACTGTGGATCAGACGGATACTGCAAAGCTTGTCCTGTTCCTACAAGAACCATCACGTCGACGTATGCGTTCACTACGACTGCTATGAGGACTGTCAGGGTTACAGATGATATTGAGCCTGATACTGGAAACGCACCTGAGTTTAGCTGTGTTCCTATGACGGCTACGAATGATGTTGGGGCTACGCTGGAACTTGATTCCGGATGTGTTCTTCACTATGAACCTCCTGGAGAGACAAGCACGGGTGGTCGTGCTCGTCGCGACATCGAAGCTCCTACGGCGACAGCACCTGCGCCTGTCGATCGTGGTCTATTAGCTCGACAGGCATCTTGTAACCCGTCTACCACCTACACGAGTACGATCTGGAAGACAGAACTGTATACCCGGACGGGAACTCAGACGGTGACGGTAGCGGGTGAAGATGCGACGTTCTCATGTCCCGAGATGGAAGTCACAAATGATGTTGGTGACACCCTTGCTTTGGATGAAGAGTGTGTTTTATCGTTTTCTCCGGCTGAACCTACTGCTAGTGGGCTTTCACCGCAGGGAGGTGGACAAGGAGGAGGTCAAGCTGGGGGTGGTTCAGCTGGGCCTTCTGCGGCGGCGGGTGGGGATGGTGATAGTGTTGGCTCGGTTGAAAGAGTTCAGGTGCTTTTGACGGTTGGATTTGTCATCGTGTCTGTTGTTTTGGTCGCTCTTTGATAGGTGGAAGCTGATGAGTTGTCGGGTACCTGGATTAATGATGCAACGATTGGAACTTGATCACATTTAATTCTTACTGGGGTCACTGAGATTACGTCTATGAACACAGTCATCATAGTCTAATCAAATCTACTTCTTGCTTTTTCTTCATCTAAAACGGTCAATTGAATCGCTGTACTCGAAATGACGTCTATAAACCTGGCTGAGTCTGTACAACGCCATTGCCTTGCATCCGTTCAGCGGTCATTTCATCAATTCGCGTTACACTCGCGCTATCTTTCCATATTTTTCAATTGCATAGTAAGCACTTGTCTAATTAAACTCTGCAGGTCCCCATTGAAGCCATCACGATAACTCGCTGACAGAAAGTAAGCATTAAGCAAGTGGATCCCAGCGGCGCGTTTACACTAAAAGGGGACATTTTAGCGTTGATCGTCGGCAGAGCTTAGCGACTGGAGCGGTACATCACACCAGAAAAGGAAATTTAGCCATGAGAGCTCCAAGGCTGAGTCTTTGAGTTACGGGAACGACGTCAAAGGCTTGAGAGGAAGTAAATAAACATTGTCTATATAAGCTACGGTCTAGAATGCGATTAATTGACTTTCTGTATCAAACAACCTCTTCATCAACTATTATTATCATGAAGACTCTTTCTTTAGCACTATTTTCCACCCTCGTCCACAACGGTCTGGCCATTCCAACAGAAGAATGTCCCATCCTAGGCCCCGTAACACCCTCGGGCTTCGATCTCTCCACCTTTGAAGTCGTTAAAAACGCCACAGACGGATTTCCAGCCATCATTGAATCGTTTTTCAAGAATGGCATCCTCAATAAAACGCAAACATCCTTTGCCATTAATGTCTTTTCCACGGCTACCAACGAAAGTCTCTACTCGTACTATCATGCCGCTGAAGCCCTCAATGATACATTGTCTACAGGCAAGCTCGATGACGGTACTGCCTTTCGCGTTGGTAGTGTGAGTAAGCTTTTCACTGCTTATGCAATTCTTGTCAAGGAGGGCTTTGATGTCTGGGATAAGCCGGTTACCGAGATTCTGCCTGAGTTGGCGGGAAATAATAAGAGTGAGCCTCTTGAGAGGATTATTTGGGAGGATGTTACCGTTGGCGCGCTTCTGTCCCAGCAGGGTGGTTCGGGAGGTGTTCGTAAGTAAAGCCCTCTTAATATCTTGTGCACGGCTGACTTTTTGCAGCTCTTGAGATCAGTGCTTTTTGCACAAACGATACTGCTCCAGGATGTGGATTTGAAGGTAAATAAACCCCATCCTTTCCTAACATCTTTCTAACACTCTATATAGACTTCCTTGTCGTAATGAAGGAGCGAAAACGTCCTGTTGTTCTGCCATTCGAGACTCCGGCCTATTCAGATGGCGGCTACGCCATGCTGGGTGGTATACTGCATCGCCTCACCGGAATGCCCTACCACGACGCCATCCAGAGCATCCTATCTGAGCCACTGGGTCTCAATGTCTCTGGCTCAGTGGAGCCTGAGGGTGATGACCGTAACGTTTTGGCTGTCCCTGGAAACGCATCAGTATCTTCGTGGGGTCAAGATAGACAGGTTCTAGCAGGGTAAGCCACCATTTCCCCCATGAATATCATAAGCTAATGATCTCGACAGTACTGGCGGCGTGTACTCCAACAGCGCCGATCTCCGAAAACTCGGTCTTTCTATTCTCAACTCTGAACTCCTGTCTCCTGCCGACACCCGCCGCTGGATGAAACCACTTGGCAACACAGCTTCTCTAACAAACAGCGTCGGCGCCCCTTGGGAAATCTACCGTCTGACTCTTCCCGTCTCTCCCAACTCCAATCGTACTCGTGTTTCCGATCTTTACACCAAGCTCGGTGGTAATGTTGCTTACGCTGCAGTTATCGCTCTCTCGCCTGATCATGGTATTGGATACAGTATTCTCACTGCTGGTGACGGTGCAATTCCTGCACGAATCCCTCTCAGGAACGCTGTTGGTACTGCTTTCGTCACTGCTGCCGAGTGGGCTGGGTGGGAGAATGCGAAGAGGACTTATCCTGGTGTTTATGTTGATGATAAACGCGAGGGTACGAATTTGACTATCAGTGTCGAAGAAGGTCGACCTGGACTTGGTCTAGATTCATTTTTCATCAATGGAACCGAGGCGCGCGCCTCTTTGTTCTCACCCTTGTCGGAAGAATTGTTTGGCGATGACATTCTCGTTCGTCTATATCCTATCGGAGCCAAGAAAGTCGAGGGATCAAAACAATTCATTTCTTATCGCGCTATTCCTCAGGTCCCACCCATTGAGCCTCGTGCTGCGGTTGAAGGAGGAGAGGGTCTGTTTGATGATGGCTGCATGGCTTGGGCGAGTGTTGGGTTCTTCGATGATAGTGATGAGTTTACTTTTGAGGTTGAGGATGGGAAAGTTGCTGGTGTTACTAATCGGGCTTTGATTGATGTTATGAGATCGACTTTCAAGCCTGAGTCGGAGGACTAATAGTGGGGGATTACATTGAAGGCGAGTGATCTGGGGAGAATGATTAGTTGTAGTCATCACAAATACCAAAGCTATCATCCGGTAACGAGTTTCAATTGACTATTCAATGAGTGAGTCACTATGAGAAATATGTACATATGTAAGGACAGACGTCTTATAACCAAGATAGACCAGCAATCTATCGGCGGAGGGTAAGCAGACCGGGACGGTATGGCAGGAGGTTGTAGTCGACGTTGACACTGGGGTTGCGTCCTTGGTACAGCAGCTTCAAGTTGCAAGGGTCAATGGGGAATGTCTCATCGTTGGCAGTGCGAACCAGCTCGCCGTGGCTGATATCGTTGGTCCAGGTGGCGCCTGAGTTTGCCTTGCCGGCGAAGGGGTTGCTTTCGGTTCCAGCATTGACAGTCCACTGACCATCAAGGCTGTTGGCAGTGAAAGATCGGAAGAAACGACCGTTTCTACCCTTAGCCTCAACAATCATGAGGTATTTGTTTTGTCCTTGGACGGTGTAAACCTGGACAGCCTCGAAGAGGTTGTCTTCGGTATCTTGCAGGATGATCTGGGAGTTCGATCCGAAGTTACCGGGGAAGTTGCCTAATTGAGGTCAGTTTTCAAATCGTGAGATTCAATTGCATGGATACTTACCGATAGGCATGGACGCGCGATAAATTCTGCCGTTATCGCCGCAGAAGAAAAGGTACATGTTTCGGCTATCGCCAATGACAGTCTGATCGATTGGACCAAATGGCGCATTGGCAATCTCTCCAGTAAACAGAGGTTGCGGCTGAGACCAACCGTTCACGTTGGTAGGGTTATTCGAAGTCCTATACGAGAACTTGGTAGGGCCCCACTGATGGGCCATGATCCAGATACCCTTGGGCCTGAAATAGAAGAGGGTTGGGGCCACAGCTGAACCGGTCTGAAGAGTCTGCTTCGCAGAACCAAGGTTGTTAAGATCCGACACAGGGCTGAAGCCCATAGACTTCCAGCCACCTTGGCCATAGGCAGTAGCATAGACTAGCTGCTGACCGTTGTAAGGGGCGACGGTAAAGTCCTTGAGACTGTTCCAGCCATTTGCAGGTTGAGCAAGAGGGCCACTTGATGTCCAGCGGTAGGTAGTAGGGAGGGAACACTGAGCTGAGGCACCCCCAAGGGTGGCCAGAAGCAGGGTGCTGGAAGCAAGGAGATCGTTGTTCAAGAACTTCATCGTCGCGGTTGATGATGAAGAGAAGGACTAATTGGTGGAGAATGAATTGAAAGCCGATACTCGTAAAGCAGTGGATACGCGTAAAATAGTCGATATATATATATGTATATATTCTGATTGTACTAGTGCCGGTATTTTTTGTTTTATCCTAACAGGCTGAGTTCCATGCCGGATTCTGTAGTGAAATCGTTCCTATTCTGCAGTAAGCATCATATGCGCGAACATAGCATTGGTGGAGGAATTATTACAGTTATAGTACGACCCCATATTTCGTTTCTGGAAGTCGATCTAGGGTTGCCACGTCCGAGATGGAATATTGCCTGTTTCAACCACGGAGGCGGGCCCGAGGATTGCGTTTTCAGATTAGTATAAGCAGGTTGCTGAGCAAAGATGCAGGCACCCCTGTACCTGTATGCAACGTGACCAAGGGTTTCATTTCCCCGCATTGAGATTGATTGGTGCGCATGGTTGAGATATCGGCAGTTCTAAGATTGATTGGTGCGGATCGCTAGGACTCGGGAGATCAGTAACTCTGGAATTGATTGGCGCGGATGGCTCAAAGATCAGTAATTCATTCACTCTTACTCCGTATAGACCCGAATAACATTGAGGGTCATGTATATAAGTATTCAAGGTTCCTTTCTCATAGGTCCGTTGTATCTGTGGTTATTTACCCAACACAAGAATTACCACGATAACAAGAATCAAGGAGATTGGTTTAAACATACTTTGGCAATAGATTGATAGCTATATATTAACACAAGATATCGCATGGAATATAACTCTTCTCTCCTATACAATAAATACTAGTGATGAAAATAAATTGAGTGACAAGAAAGTAATATAAACATCTATTCGCCCTCTAACAGTTGGTGGCAATGGTCCCCCCATCCAAGAATACCATTATCCTAATATTACGTGACATCATCTGGTTCACTACTCGGGGTTTGCTTGTGACACATCTGGTTCACAGAAGCAGCTTGGCTCCCACCACTTGTAGTCGGTGTTGATGTAGCTCTCAACTGCACTGGGCCCAAATTGATAACCCTTCTGGTACAAGATACACTGTCCAGACTCAGTGAATTTGAAAAGGTGACAGCTGGAGTTAGCTTTACACGCCTTGTTGCATTCGGTCGGGGTTGCAGCAGTCGGCTTTCCCCTCTCACCAATGAAGTTGGAGTTGATAAGGCCTTTCATGTCGCATATGGTGTTCGTTGGCAAGGGGTTCTTGGGCTCTCCTCTGCACACAGGAACTGGTTCTTCTTCCTTAGGCTCGTCGTCGCAGAAGCAACTTGGCTGCCACCACTCGATCACACTTCCTGTGAACTGCACGGCCGAGTCCGAGAACTGGCCTTGGATTTTGTAAAGCTTACAAGTCGACGACGGCAGGAATTCGATAAGATCACAATCCCCCGCTGCTTTGCATGCCTTGTAGCATTCTGCCAAAGTTCCGGCTGTTTTGATACGTTCGTTACTCTTGTATTGTGCTGGAACAGAACCCTTTTTACCACACACCGTGTCTTTGGGCAAGGAGTCTAAGGGCTCGCCGATACAGACATCGTCCGTCGGCGCCTCGGGTGTGGGCGTGATTTCAGGTGTGGGTGTGACCTCAGGTGCGGGCGTGATCTCAGGATCGCTCGGTTCATCTTCTTCAAGATCGCAAAAGCATTCCGGCTGATACCACCTGTAGCTCTGTTCCGTGCCGTCTGGTGTGTTCAATCCGGTTCCTACGTAGAACTCGCATTCCTTGTCAACCTCGAACCTGAAAGCTCTGCAAGGACCATTAATGCATGCCTTTGCACACGCCAGAAGCGACTTGGTGGAACCCTCTGGCGCAGGGCCCTCATGATACAAGCCAGCTGCCCGACCTGGTTGGCCGCAGACACGATAGTCAGGGATAGGATTGATGATGTTGTTCTTGCAGGTAGGCTCAGGTTCTGCTGGGTTGTTTGGCTCAGGCTCAGTCGGAGTGCTGGGTTCTGTCTCACAGAAGCAAGACATGTCATAATACTTCCAAGCGGTTGGCGCACCGTATGTCTCGGTAATATGGCCGCTGTAGAGCACACAATAGGCTCCTTGGTGGAATGCGATTGCGTCGCAGTTCTCCGTGTTCTCGCAATCGTTGCGGCATGCGTCCAATGAGGTTGTAGACCCGCCGCCAGGCAAAGACATGAAGTCACCAGCGCCACTTCCTGTCGCTCCACAGATAGTATCTTTGGGCGGCGGGTTCAGAAGATTGTCCACGCACACTCCTTCAGGTTGAGTCGGTACATTGGTTTCCGGTGGGTTGGTCTCTGTCTCATCAGGGCCGCAGGAAAAGCAGTCCAAGCTATACCATTTGTAGGGGGTATCGGCATTGTTGAGCCCAGTGGGTTCACCCTTCCACAGCTCACAGAAGGCACCCTGCATGAAAATGAAAGAGCCGCAGTTTGTGTTATCTTTGCATGCCTCGTAGCATTTCCCGATACTCGCCGTGAACTCTTCTTCTGTCAGGGTGAGCAGAAAGTCTGTAAAAGAGCTTGGATTGCCCTGCTTGCCGCATACAGCACCTTCGTGCGGGGTGCTAAGAAGGGTAGGGGTACAGACAGCGGCTGTAGTTGTGGAGGTCTCTAAAGCTGTTGAAGTAGCCTCGGTCGTGGATGGGAAAGTGGCAGTCTCGGCGGTGGTGGTGAGGTCGCCCGAGGTTCCAGTGGTGGGAGTATCCGTCTGACTGGAAGTCAAGGTGGTATCCGAAGTAGCCTCAGCACTGGACGTGGCAGCATCAGTCATAGTACCTGTAAGCTCGTCCGATGTTGCAGTCGCCGACGCCTCTGACCCATGGGTGTTTACGGTCGTATCAGTTGGAGCTGCCTGAGTAGCTGCCGAGGAGGTACTGGCTTGGGTGGCAGCAGTTGTATCAGTCACACTAGACTCGGCAGTGGTCTCAATGGAGATGAACGTAGCATCCTCAGAGGTTGCAGTAGAAGCCGAATATATTTCGCTGAAGGTCACGGTCGTATCATCTTGGAGGGTCGAGCTTCCAGTTCCGGTAGCAGCATCTTCAGAGATCATATCCGAGTGCGAGACGGTCTCGGTATCGATCAGGATAACAGACGAAGAAGCAAGAGACGGAGAAACGGTCTGAGTCGAGCTCTCACCCACACTCGAAGCAGAAGTGGGATGAGGTCGACAGGGTCCAGCATTAACCAAGGGACTCAAGGCCGTAGCCAGCAAGAACGAACGAACGAGATGTCGCGACATCTCTGCGAAGTCAACAGGGAATGAACGAATGTGAGGGCGACAAGTCAGATGGAAATAGTGGGAGATGGCATCAGTTTTATTAGTTCTATAAGCTATTCTCATTTCTCCTTACTATTGCGCCTGAGCCTCGTTGGTCCTCATTGCTTTGGTCGCTTGTTTAGAACTATTGACTGAAAAAGGGTCTAGACATCAATTTAATCGTAACTTTTAGAGAAGCGTTGTCGATAGTCTGGACGCCACTGGGGCTGAACGCAATTATTGGTCTTGGCAGGGGTTTGACAGGGGTCACGTTCGCCTATTTCCGAGTTCGACCGCCAGGCGGATCGACTGCTCCGATGAAGCATAAATGATGTGGTAGAAATTAGAATGGTGTCAGTAACAGAAGTAATAGCTATATCTGTAGTGTAACTTGATTGTTTGATAGTTTACTTATGTAGGTGCATTTCCAGACTTTTATTACATTCGGTTGAGCTGACGTTTAGTCGTAAAGCTTCCCTCCGAACTCAACGAAAGACCAATGACAACGTTTTTTGTTTGGCCATTCGTTTCACAAACAGACGACAGCACGAACACCTCCAGTAAACGTCAAGAATAAATCTAGATGATCTAAAGAATATCTTTATAAGCGGATACATTTTGTTGTTGCATTCTGATATGCATTAGCAATACTGATACAGTCGGTATAGGGTATGGGTCTTGCAACAGGTTAACTGTACTGTACCCGCCCTGAATCCTCATCTACAACTCGACGTTTAAAGATAAGGAAGGAGGCGCATATTGTTGTTCTATAAGATTCTACATCACACTACTTAAACTTCAACCGTTCTGAAGCAAGCTGACAGAAACCTCAACTGACTACGGTCATAGCAGTAATTAACCAATGAGACACACGGTCTCTACAAAGGAACAACATTAGTCCGAAATTGTCAGGACCAATGTAGGCGAAACGCTGTATCGCGATTGGTGGAGTAACTTACTAAACTCCTTTTACGGGCCCCATCAATCAGTCTTAGGCTGTTTTAAGCTTAGTATTTAACTAAAACGCTTCCGGCTTGTCGGAGGAAAGAAAAAATATCCACGTTCGTTCAGTCACGTTCTTTCTACCGCAGCTGAGCTGCTCATTCCATTCGTTACACGAGGTATTCTCAATTCCGATATCACAAGTTTTCTAGAGTTACGCAGGTCGTAGATTTTCTTTTTTTGAACAGCTGTAAAGATGTCGCACGATATGAGGACGGCAGCCAATGAGAAGGGCGAGTTGGAAAATTCTACTCTACTGGCGCCCGAGACTGCCAGTGGTGCTGTTTCACCCAGTCCGAGTACAAGCTCTTTTGTTTCTGTTGATATGGACGATTCCAAGTTTCCTTCATTTTGGGAGAAGGTGCAAGATATGTATTCTCAGAACATCGGTCTATTCTATGTTCTGCTGGCCCAGCTGTTCGCCTCCATTGTAAGGACCCCCCAGCCACTCACTATACGCATACTGACGATATCAGATGTCCATGACTACAAGGCTACTAGCAACTGGGTTCGAGACCAAGTTTCATGCCCTGCAGATCATCTTTGTCCGTATGTTGGCCACAACCATTATTGGCTCTTTCTACATGTGGCGTGAGAAAGTTCCCGACTTTCCTCTTGGACCACGTGAGGTCAGAGGGTTACTATTCCTGCGAGGCATGGCTGGATCTGTTGGACTGTTCGGTCTCTACTGTAAGAATCGCAACTCGACTGTGACAAGAAGAACTAGCTGACACTGAGTAGATTCTCTTTCATATCTCGATGTGTCCGATGCCACTGTCATCACTTTCCTTGTCCCTACTCTGACAGCTTTCATCGCCTGGGTTGCTCTCCGGGAACCCTTCACTCTCAACGAAGCCTTGGCAGGTCTCATAGCCTTCACAGGTGTCCTATTTGTCGCTCGGCCAGCCTTCCTCTTTCCCAACAAGGACTCCTTCCTTACGGGGTATGCCTCTGCAGCAACTACTGCTGCTAAAGGTATGATCTCAGCAGCCAAGGCGACGCCTCATGAACGCACCATCGCGATTTGCTGTTCCATCTTTGGCTCCATCGCTGCTGCGACCGCTTACTCGACTATTCGTGTTATTGGAAAGCGAGCTCATTCCCTTGTGAGCGTCAACTACTTCGCTGTGTTGGCAACTGTTAGCTCTTTCCTTATCATTACGATCCATCCTGATCTGCAATTTGAGATTCCTAAGAGTATTGCTGAGTGGGCTGTTCTTCTCTCAATCGGTGTTTCGGGCTTTCTGTTCCAGGTTCTCCTCACTGAAGGTCTGCAGCGAGAAAAGGCTGGCAGAGCAACAAACCTGATAGTAAGTACTCCTTGATTGAGATGGATATGTGACAGGGCCTAACTTGTCAATAGTACGTTCAACTGGTGTATGCCGTCATCATTGACCGTGTCATCTGGGGAAGTACCCCTCCACCTGCCAGCTTTATCGGCAGCGCTCTCATTATTGGTTCGGCTGTCTGGGTCGCGTTACAAAAGAAAGCGCCCTCAGAGCCCAAAACAGTGCCCGACGAGGAGAGAAATGCTGGTCTCGACAAAGACCGAACAAAGGAAGCGTAAAAGGTAAAGCCTCACGGCTTGAGGGCATCTGTCCTAAAGCATTTCAGACAGAGGCTATTGAAAAAGAGATTGGAGAACATACGTATTAATTTTCACATGTCAATATAAGAAACATGCCACATCTTTCAGTCATCCAGGACTTTTATTTCTTTACCTTGATCTACTTGATCTACTGCCTGCAGCAAATCCAACAAAACTCTGAGGCTCTGTTGTCTCCTTCAGCCCTCAACAACATCCGCCAGATGGCCCATTGGGAACCTCGAGATTCCACTGCAGCCCAAGGCTCTCTTATTCCTCATTCTCCTCCTCCTCCTCCATCTCTTTCAACTTCTTCTCCTCTTCCTGCTTCTCCTTTCTACGCTCTCTCTTCTTAGTGAAACAGTCGAAGCAAACACCAGGACGAGCTAGATACTCTACTTTCTCATTGCAACAGATGCCCCAGAAATTGGCTTCTCGACCTGATTCACACATACCGTAATCATGCTTAGTGTTAATAACCGTGTCGCAGTCTACGCAAGAGAGCGTGATTGTGGTAGCCCAGCACATGATTGCTGATGTAGAGTGTTTTGTGTGTAGAACTTGTAGAATCTGTCTCTTAAGAATTAGGGAATAGCTGATCCAGAGACGGTGAGATCTGTGGTAGGAAGGCAGGATGGAGTGATTGAGGTAGTGGGATCAAGGCATTATATACTGTGGTTTCACTCATTGTCTGAGAGCAAGATGGTACTGTGCATATGAACATAAATGCAAAGGATGGTCTGTTCTCCACAAACATATCGCGTCTATCAAGTAACAGCAGGCATAGATGTTGAAAGAAACAAACTTCAAGTCGAAAAAAAATGTTCACGTGTTAAAAATATTAAATTACTAAAGATAACTTCTTTGTTTCACGATTTCTGAAGTTAATAACCTTTCTACGATGGTAAAGTCCTAAAACTCCTAAATATTTAGCGATGGTTTATGAACTTGTTGAACTTATGCAAGCGTTGAACCAACAGAACGGGACTCAAACCTTAGCGAGACGGCTAACAATGTGATCAGGCTGACTCATCTTAAGGCAGAGGCTACGAAGATGACTGATCTGCGTGACAGTCATTTGCTCACTACGTTGTCGGGTCCGCCTAGAAAGAATGTGTAGGGTATATGTAAAGCTAAGGACCGGGAACCCTACAGAGTCGTAAGTCAGATTTGAGATCATATAGCTAGGCAATCCGAAGTTTACCTTTAACCGTGATCCCTCAGGATAATTCACGTCCTGAAATTCTAGGTACGGCTGTGTTAATTTTTCTATGACAGGCTTTCCTACCTAATTTGAAGTCCAAGCATGCTAGCTTCTTCGAATTCTAAGAACGGTAATAACGACATGTGGTTATGTATGCAGATATTCGTCCGAAGGCATTTACACGGCCATGCAATTGCTTCTCCGGTTTGTTGACCGTTCTGGTTGGTCGGTGGCAGACCACAGGTGACACGTGACTGCTGGCGCGGGGTCATAATATCAGAGATATTCTTTATCGTCATCTAGTCAATCGTGCGGCATTAAATAGGCTTTCAATCATTTACTCCCTTTCTTAAGCTCAGCTCCCACTCCCTTATTTCATCAGTTACAGCTCGCAAGATATCGCGAAAATGGCAGAAGGCATCGGTGTTGCTTCTGGGGTTTTAACCTTGGTAACGTTCGCTTTTAAATCGAGCACAGTTCTTTTTAAAACGGTCCGCAGTTTTAAAACCCAGGATGCTAATGCACGCGCACTCAAAACTGAGTTGAGTGATCTAACTGGAGTTCTGCAATCTCTCCTGGAAACTGTTACAAATTACCCTGACATTAAGTTCGACTCGCTTGAATTGCCTCTCCTGCGTTGTGGAAAGACTTGTGAAGAGTATCATAAGCTCATTGCTCGTTGTACAAAACACTCTGATGGAACTCGTCCAAGCTTACGGGACTGGATAGGCCAGCAGTACCTGAAAGGAGACATCATAGACTTCAAAGAGATGCTTGCTGGGTATAAATCCACAATCAATATAGCATTGGCTAACGCTAATATGTGAGGTTCCGTACTCGCCGTCGGTATTTGGATCTGGCTGATAATAAATCTCATAGAACGATTGCGGCTGTTACGCGTAATGCCATTGAGGAATACAAAGATATGATAGATGATACAACGTCCGATCTCCAGAAACACATGCAGCGGTTGGATGAGAGAGTACAGAGCTTGACCGCCTCTAATACCGATACTGTCGAGTCTGATAGCGCTGATTGGCTTGCTCTCTTTGAGGAGAAAGAAAGTACCCGAAAAGGCCTCCAGATCTGCATTGAGCTGTCTGAACATATTGAGTCACTTGAATCCACAACCAACGAAACGCAGCAGTTCTCTCAGCAGCCTACAGCAAACAAATACATCAGGAGTAGTTTGAGTTCCGCTAAGAGCTCTATCAGTTCGTTGGAATCTCGTCTTAAAAGCCATGGGAACAAGATTGATGAAAGAATGGATGCTATGAAAGTTAAAACGAATCTATCCGAAGACGACATCATACAATTGGCACAACTACAAGAAACGAGGGAAAGCATTCGTCAGTGCATGAACGTGGTTGCTGATGCTGGCGAGGACTTGGCCAAAGAACGTGTCAATGTATTTGAAGACATAACTATGACTGATAATAGTTATGGTATTACAGTTTCAACTGTAAAGGACTTGGTTTTAGCCAGGAGAGTCAATCTGCAGGGCCAAGCGCGTTACGTTGGTGGGCAAATAGATCAGGCAAGCTACAACGCAACCATCAATGCACTCACAGACTTGGACCGAGGAAGCGTTCAATATGGCGGACGGGATGCACGAGTTTCTTCTGAAGATGGAGCGTTTCTTGATCGTCATGGTCGCGGCGTTAAGCTTGCATGGTCTGACATATCTACAAAATCTCCCGGGCCAGGCTCATAGGGATACTTATGATCAGGAAAGTCCAGTTCTTCAGAGCCAGATCTAGAAGAGTTACAAAGGAAAGCCGTATTTGCATCTGACAAGACATACATATATTCTTCCTCGCCTAGCTATCAAGGAGGTAGTGAATGTTTATAATATATGCATTGAATACCACCCAGTCGTATGGGTACCTGATTAGGTCATATTGTTTAGGTAAGAGTCTTAGAATATCGACCAATACTACATCAGCCCATACAATAGGACACATCAATGCGGCCTGCCCTATCAGGTATCAGTGGTTAGGCATCAGCACATAAAGAGGCTTTTAGGGTTAGAAAAAAAGCCCTTTCGTACCTGTAGTACATAAATAGGGTCGTGTAGTCTCTAATCCCCTCACTTGCGTTCAGCACAACGTTTTCTAACAGCAAGACTCTTTATCTGCACGGCTCCGTCAATTTGTAACAGAGACTCTCAAGATTCCTTCAGCATGGGTAAGAAAGGGAAGCTCATTCAGATTCGTGGTAGTGGACTCAATCACTTTGTGTTGTATTCTACGCTGTTACGTCTGATTGATCCCATTCGAGGGAACCCGACTAGATTACTCGACGAGAATCCAGATAGCAGTCTTTTGAGTGCGTCACAACTGAAGCAAAAATTTCTTGACTCATTCGCTCTTATCTGCTCAACCTCGCGCTCGGGGGCACAAACAGCCGCCGCTGTGTGTTTAGAGACAAATCAACAAGCGGGGACCATACTACGTGTGGCACGAAACCGTGGTTTCTGCCTGACTGTTCTGACAAGCCTTGAAAATGTCCTCCAGATACTTCAGGAAGTGGCTAGAAAGGGTACCTAGTTCCTCGACAGTCTAATGGATTTTACTGATGTCGTGAGTGATACAGAGAAGATTTCGGCGCATGCAGAGACCGAGATCCTACGGCTGGTTGTCGAGCTTGATAGAGACCGAATATTGTCGATCGTTGAGATAATTGAGGCGCGAGGCATCCGGGATTTCCTGCAAAAATCGAAGTCTAGACTCCATAATGGTCAGGCCCAGTCAGAGGAATTCTCAGGTTGGGTAGCAAACCATCCTTTCACCGCCACTGTTCGGAATTGGAGTGATGCAACCACAGCTATATTTATTGATTGGGCGGCGCAAGCGAGGTGGCATCATGCTGGACAACTGCAATCCCTACTGCGTAATGTTGGTACAGGAAACCAATCTTGGCTGGGTCATTTACACAAGGTTGCCCGCTATCATTCTGCAATCAAATCCATGGTAAAGCTTGCCGTCAAGGAGCCTGAAATCTTCGCAAAAATCTCTATTCGAGATATCAAGGCTCCTGATCAGCGACCGTTTACATACCCCAATCATGAAAATCCACTATTGAAAGTTGAAAATCTTGTGGGGGGAGATACGCGCCCTGTGATGGAGGAGTTGAAGAGCCGTTTGGATACGCCGAAGCTTGAAGGTCGGTTGCGTAAAGCTTGTCATTTGGATCTGACACTTCATGCCGAAATGCAACTTATTGTATTCTATGAAGGTAACCCTACTTGCAAACCCTGCATGCGGTTTATCGGAACGAGCAAGAAGACATGCTTTCTCTGCGATAGGTACATGCGCCACCATCCATCGAGACTCCAGGCTTCCGCGTCCCATCAAAAGATCTATCCCTCGTGGATGCCACCACCATACTATGAGATGCCTGAGACGTCTACAAGAACTCCTTTTATGAAGCTGAGCAAAGAAATGGAGGATTTGACAACGCGGGAGCTGAAGAATGGCCTAACTGTTCCTCGGCGGCTTTGGAACCATGATTCCACCGCAGGGCCTTCTTTAACAGCGACGGCTACCGTGCCTACGGAATTGAGATCGGTAGGAGCAGGCCAAAGAGAGCTTACGGCGCTGTACAGTAGTTCTTCTGAGGATTCAGAATGAATGCTGCGGTGTGAACATGAAAATTTGCTTCCCGTCAGGGAATTTCCAACTACCTGACCCTATGATCAGGGATTCGATATGAGCATCGCGAGGATGCCAAGTCTCTGTCTTGATGTCATCACATCAGAATTGATGAAAATTGCTCCAATATAAGCCTCACTCTTTCACACCACAAATTGAGACCGCAACACCATGAGGAGCGGGGTTCGGCAAATTAGAAGACAAAAGCCAGGTCAGAGCATCATTGATATGAGATAACCCAATCAGTCAAAAGAAACCGAGTATTTTCGGCGTGACAAGTCATCATGCACATAAGCATCGCAAATGCGTTGATGCCCAATGCTGTGGGAGGCCGACCATCTTACGATGGCGATGCTTTCAGCCGAAATTTGGGGGGTCAGTTTCCAACATGTTCTGTTTCCTGAGTATATTATGGAAGAGACAATGCTACTAATGGCCGTACCAAACAGAAGTTGACTTCTTCTCGACATCTACGGTAGAAATGGAGACATCTATTTCCGACACGAATATCGCCGTGGGAGATTATCGTGATCTCCTGGACATTATCGACAATCTTCGATTACATGGAGTCAGTCGTTATGTTGACCTGCCCGAGATCATCGTTTGTGGAGATCAGTCGGCAGGAAAGAGCTCTGTCCTCGAGGCCATCTCTGGCATGCCTTTCCCCATCAAAGACGGCCGCTGTACCCGGTTTGCTACGGAGCTAGTCCTTCGTCGAGGTCACAGCACTGATGTTAAAGTTTCTATCACACCAGGCAGGAACCGTTTCGGTGAGGATAAGGAACGCCTCGAAATATGGCAACCAAAAGCAGGCCTAGTTAACGAGGGACTGGGCCACATAACGAAGGAAGCGGAATCTGCCATGGCTGTCCCGAGTGGTACTGGGGAGTTTTACGAAGATACACTCCGTATAGAGCTCACTGGGCCGGATCAGCCACATCTAACAATGGTGGATCTCCCTGGACTCTTCAGAGGAGGGAACAAGGAACAATCTGACACTGATATCAACATTGTATACGACATGGTGGCGACGTATATGGCGCGACCGCGTAGCATTATACTTGCTGTCGTGTCGGCTAAGTACGAGTACGTTCTGCAAGAAGTCATGAAGATGGCCAAAACTGCCGATCCAGATGGCGTAAGAACCATGGGCCTCATTACAAAACCCGACACCTTGGATGTCGGCTCCCCATCTGAGAGTTACTTTGTTCGTCTGGCTAAAAACGTCGAGGAGGAGCTTCGTCTCGGCTGGCATGTTCTGAAAAATCGTGACTTCAAGGAGCGTGATGTTACCTCCGCACAGCGCGACGAGATAGAAAAAATCTTCTTTTCTCAGGGATTGTGGGACTCTGTTGACCCTTTGCACTGCGGGGTGGCGGCACTGCGGGTCAGATTGAGCATAGTCTTGAAAGATCAAATCCTTGCTCAACTTCCAAGTCTTGAACAGGACGTGCAAGATGGGATTCGTGATTGCGCGGAAAGGCTCGATTGTCTTGGTCCAGTGCGAGGAACACCTGAGCAGCAACGGAGCTACTTACTGCGAGTAAGTGAGGAATACACGCTCCTGATGAGACATGCAGTTGATGGCACGTACACCGATCGATTTTTCGGCAGTCGGAACGACCGGTCTACCTTCAGCAGAAGGCTTCGCGCGGTTGTATGTAGGAAGCTCTGTGTATTTTCGGAGGAAATGCGACTGAGCGGTCACAGTCAGCGCATCGTTGATTCCGAGAGTGACGATGAAAGTGACCTGGGGTGCCGTGACGTACCTGAAATCTCTCGGTCTGATTTCATCGACGAGGTTGCTGATCGTCTTATTTACGGCAAAGGTCGTGAGCTACCAGGCCTTTTCAATCCCCTGATCGTTAATGATCTTTTTGTTGAGCAATGCACGCCCTGGAGAAAGATTGTGTTGTCGCTTGCTGAGGACATCCTCGAGGCAGTGGAAGTAACGACAGAGATGATCGTGGGGCAAACTACGGCAAGTGAAGTTTCCGACGGGGTTCTCAAATACATTCGTAAAGAGATCAACGAGCTTGAGACGAAGATGGTCGCGCAGATTAATACACTCCTCGAATCAGCCGCACAGCACCTAATCACGAACAACTCACAGCTTACCCGGAATATTCAACGGAGCCAGCAGAAACGCCACAAACGTAGGATCATGACATCGATCAATAACATGTTTGGACGGGACCGTTTTGATGGCTCCGACAAAAAGATTAGCATCAATCCCATGCAGCTCTTGGAGGTGTTTCAAGATGGCTTTGAGCCAAGCATGGAGCGGTTTGGAAGTTCGCTGGCAGTAGACTATATGAAAGGATATTACAAGGCAAGATACACCCTTCAGCTGAACGCGCATCACGAAATTAACAGTTTCAACCTATCATTAGATTGCACTGGACCGGTTCATCGATGACGTGAGCACTCTGGCGGTAGAGGACTGTCTCATAAGTAAGCTTCCCGGGCTTTTCAGATCAACAAATGTCATGAAGATGGACGAAGAAGACCTGCATCTTCTTGCAGGTGAGACCCCGGAGTCCTCTATGGAGAGGGAACGTTTGAGAGTGAAACAAGAAATCCTTGAGAAAGGCCTGAAGGACATAAAGGGTTTTCATAAGCGAAGGGCGGTTATTGATCCCGTACAGCATGATGACAAAGCGTGGGAAGACTCTGAGGAGATCTCAGCTATAGCACGAGGCAGGCTCGAACAGGCCTCGGACATTTCCAGCAGCGTGAAGGCGGATTCCGACGGATTCAGCACCGAGGACCTCGACGAAATCAGGGAGCAGACAGCCCGTGTCAAGCAGTTGCTAGGTGGCTTTACTAAAGATACATAAATGAGAGTGAGCCATCTATCATAGTGCGGATGGAAATTATCAATAGTTTTAAAGCATCCGCTTCCAGAGTGCATAGCACGGGAATATATGGAAGAAACGAATCGCCACATAGTGTTGAGAGTCGGGTATTGAACTTGCATGCGCGAAGAATGTCGTATGCCGCGAGATTTATTTCAAAGCATCCTGGCAGGGTTGGGGTCTTTACTTCTAGCTCAGGAATTGTCTTGTTGCTCCCGTCCCTGGCGAATTGTGTAGGTTTCATAATAGGATTGGGCAAACTTGCAAGGACCAGTGTAAACTTGTGACCGATGGCATTCTCTTTTCTGGTCAAGACTCACTTGTCTATGGGCACCGTACCAAAAACTTCACATGTTTACTTCTCTATCACATTGCAGTGTTTATGATAGAAGAGGGAAGATCTTTCCCATGTTATTTGAGATTTAGAAACAGATATCATAGAAATACTTTCACTATACAGAAACAAAGTGTTAAAACTACTAAACATTAACAGCGCGCAAGTGGCCTTTATTTTAGAACTCCCACGACTCTTGTTCTACAGTTAGGCTATCCTTCGAACTGGAAAATAACCTTAATTAAATGTTTCGTCCTTGAATAAACCCAAAGATCTCAATATCGGGGTACAAACAAACTTCCCTTAGTTGCATCTATCGTGAAAATCATCCTCTTGGCAACCGTTGGTGCAAAACCCCAAAGACTCGATTGAGGGAAGGGCATGAGGAATTGGACGGTAAATAAAGAGGGTGTTCCACTCCTTGCCCTCGCACGTGTCGGTCCTCCCGCAAGTGGCCCAGGCGATGTCAGCCTGGTTGTAGCCTGTTTTTATCACGATATTAGCACCCGGATATTGCGTTGAAAATCAAGAGATTCTATGGCTGGAAACTTACTGCCGGCGTTGACAAGGTGATAACCGCAAGCTGTGTATTGCGCCATGGCGCCAGTCATGGTGGCGGTTACGAAAAGGGGGATGGAGAACTTCATGTTGTCAGGGCAGCTCTCTTGTGAAGTTTCGCTGGGATGCAAAGGGTGTTTAGCTAGTGTTTGGCGGTCTATTGATGATGAAGAGAAGCTCGGGTCGAAGAGAGAATGACCGGCTGTAGGATTATATATTACACCTGTCTCTCGATATGTTGTAACTACCCCTTGCCAAACCAAGTTAATACACTCGCTGTGGGACCCTGAGGCGTTCTTCTCGCTTACATTAGACCAATATGTGCTAGGTGGGAACGCAAGCCATGTTCGGCGACTCCGAGTTCAAATAAGCAGCTGAATATGATGACTACTATACCAACACAAGAGAATTTGTTATTAGGGAGATGGATGAGCCTAGGCGAAAGCGGTATGGGTGAGAGTTTATATGTAGCTCTGCAGTGAAAACCTGAACTTATCCATAAGAGCATGATTTCAACGGCTAATTGGCTCACGGTTCTAGGCTGAACAGCTACATAGTAAGTCCATGAGCAGGTGGCCATTCAATTTTGAAAACCGTCTGAAATTAAAATAGATTGTGTTCGATCTTATCCCGGCTACTTGTCTTTCTCCTTCTTCTTTGCCTCGCCAACATCGCAGAGACAGTCCGGAATCGACTTTTTCTCGACACTTGACTTCGTAGCCCTTCCCTTGGCGCACATTCTAAAATTCTGTCCGTCGCGCTTTTCAGTGTCGCAGTTGGTACAAATATAATGGTTTCACTGCTATCTAAGAATGAACAACACGTTGCGATGGCGAATCCGTTCAGTGTACCAGTCTACACTGAGTCATTTATTTGTCCTTCTTCTTCTTCTTCTTCTTCTTCTTCTTCTTCTCCTTACAAGCATCGCACAGTTCTTTTCTGAAGACCTTCTGTTCCACCCGCCCATTCTTACACGCGCCCCATTCGTTGGCGTCTCTACCCTTCTCGCACATTGTGAAATCTCGACGCCTTTCTATCTCCTCATCGCAATCGATGCACCTGTATGATTCGTTAAGCTCGGTACACATGACTGGCTATACAAGTTGATGGCAGCGGGCTTTGGTGTCGTTTGGAAGGGTAGTAAGTTGGACACAGACTACTATTTATAGTTACTGTGTGAAGATCGTGAATCAGAAACGATTGCCTCCATGGTGGTGCAAGAACGGCCGTCCAAATGAGGTTCACATGCAACCAAACGAGGATTCATCTTGAGTATGACAGTGACAAGATACGAAGTATCTCGACGTCATTCTTTGAGCAGAGGTTTTGTCAAAGGAGTTCATGTGACTTTCCTTACGGTTCCTTTTGCAAAAGTATTTCTGGTTATGGAGGAGCAGGCACAAGTGAATTCTGGTATCATAACTAAGAAAACGTTATAAGTTCAAGACGTCAGCTCGGCAAAGTCATAGCTTAGTAGCGGGCATGCAGCCACATATTCAATTTGCTATACTAACTGCGGCACATTGCGTCTCGAGAGTTACCAGGAAAATCACTCATTGCCATGATACTCAGGCCACTTATCCAAAATAACCTTCTCACCCGTAACCTTGATCTTAATCTCCGCCTGAGTAGGCTCATCAAGCATCAAAGTATAAGTTCCCGGATAAACAACCAAATCACCGTTCTTCTCACGTCGAGCAATGTTATCCATCGTCCACTCCAACTTGACCTCCTTGGTCGCCTTGGGCTTGATGTCGTGCGAACGAGTATACGCGGCCAGGGTCTTGAGAGGGTAAGGCTTGGGCCCGACCTTGCTCTTGATGAAGACCAGAGAGACAAAGTCGGATGTTATCTTGCCTGTGTTCTTGACGCTGACTTGTACAGGTGGGAGAGCACATGTATCTTTGTATGTGGCGTCGCAGTCCTTGAGAACCTTCTGGATGTTCATCTCTAGGTTCTTGGATGCGAATTTGGCTTTGAAGGTGGTGTAGTGCTTTCCGAATCCGAAGGGGAGGACAGCGTCTTTGTACCATCGGTATGTTCGTCCAGGACTCTTCTCTGTAGGTCGAAGCTCCATCTCAAACATACCGACTTTCTTGACATATTTGCTAGGGTATTGCGTAAGTGGGAGACGACCAGCTGGGGCACTGCGACCGGTGATGAGATCAATGACTGCTGTTCCACCTTCTTGCGAAGGAAAATTGACCCAAAGGATACTGTTCACAGCCTTGTTCTTTAACAAAGGAGTATCATCGACCTGATCACCAAGTTGAACGACAACCAAAGGCTTGCCAAGCTTGGACAGCTTCTTGAGAAGATCCAGTTGAGTCTTGGGCCAGTCAAGATCCGTTCGGTCCAATGTTTCACCAGCAGCCTTATCATCAAGACCACCCAGATAGACGATGTAATCAGACTTCTTAGCAGCCTCGAGAGCATTGGTAGTCCAGTTATCAGGCACAGAGCTGTTTTGAAGAGTAGGACCCCAAGCGACATTGGCGTTGAGTCCCAGCTTCTTAGCCGCATAAGCAGGAGTGCGAATGTAGGGCGCAGGACCGCTATATCCACCCTGAAGCTTCTTCTCGTCATCAGCCCAGAAACCGATCAGCGCTACACTCTCATCTTTCTTGACCTTGAGAGGAAGAGTGCCATCGTTCTTGAGCAGGACCGCGCCGCGTACTGCAGACTTGAGCGCAAGAGATTGGGCATGCTTTGTGTTGACGTCGTCAAAGTCGAGAGAAGCATACTCTGCTTTATCGCCGTCGAAGAAACCAGTATGAACAAGACCTTCGAATAGACGCTGAAGAGAACGGTCCATGACCTTTTCAGTCAAAAGACCTTGTTCGTACGAGTCGGAGATGTCCTTGGTAGTCTCATACTCACAGCTAGAGTCTTGACCATTCTCGAAGGCGACTTTGGCAGCTTGAGCTCCAGTTTTGGTGTAATTATGATGCTGCCAAATGTCCTGCATAGCACCGCAATCACTGGTGATCCAATTGTTGGTATGTGTCCAGTTCCAATGCTGTCTGAGGAGAGTCTCCTGCAAATATGAGTTCGCGCAGGCAGGGATTCCATTGACAGCATTGTAGGCACACATAATACTTCCAACCTTGGAATCTCTGGTACACTCCTGGAAAGGACGGACATAATACTCTGCCAAGTCCTGAGGCGTGATCTTGGCATCGAAATCATGTCTCGTCTTGCCTCCCCAATCTTCAAAGTCATTACCAGCGTAATGCTTGCAAGTAGCAACGATACGTCGCTGCTTCTTATCACCTTCAAGACCACGAACCATGGCTCTCGCATAGCGACTAACGTGCAGGGCATCTTCACCTGGCGTTTCAGAACCACGACCCCAGCGAGGATCTTTGAAGGGGTTGACGTTGGGGGTCCAGTAGTCTAGACCGCCGCCGTAGCCGCCGTTGTTCCAAGCGCGAGCTTCAATACCGATGACTTCACCGATGTCATGAATCAGGGCGTCGTCGAAGGAGGAGCCCATTAGAAGAGGCATGGGGAAGGAAGTGGCGGCATCATAGGGTGGTTCGTCTGCGAATTCGGACCCTGGAGCGCCGGCGACGCCGTGCAGGGCTTCGTTCCACCAGTTGTATCTCGGAAGACCTATTCTTGGGGCACCGGTCGCGTTGCTGCTTGGTTAGTATATGGTTAATAACAGTGCTTGGGTAGCTTACCTGACAAGATTGTCGACTTTCTCTCGCGGGGTGAAGGCTGCGATTAGCGCTGCAGCTCTCTCAGCTGGGGAGAGTGAAGTATCACAGATGCCATTGGATTTGAGAGGTTCCTTGGTGCAGTCAGGCTGTTGGTAAGGCGCAGCAGCCAATGCGACGCCATTGAGAAGCGTGAGTGCGCTAGCAGCGACCTGAAGCTTGGACAGCATCATCACCAATTCCTTGAAGAATGCCGTTATCTTGATCAATTCCTTTTGTTTCACTCACGTCTCTTTATACTTTCTTGCCCTGGCATCATCACCATCGTCATCGCCTGTTGTTGTGGGGTAAGTAATCACGCATTAAGGTTCTTATAGCCGAACAAATAGCAGACAAGCTACACTGCTTCGATCCTGTTCTTTGCAGGCGGAACGACATTTCAATGTAACGATCTTCATGTTGGTGTCGCGATTGGGATACTTTAATTGAAGCGGTGCGGGGATGCGATGATCTTTGCGGGCAGAGTAGTGGTTGGTGTACAAATAGGCTGAATAGGTACAGTGCCTGAGCAACTACACGAACAACCAACACCTATATGACCATTGTTATATAGCAACAGGATTTATGTCAGGAACATATTGGAACATTGGAGTCCTGGGGATTGCCTTTTGTCAAATAGGTGTTTTCTTTCTTGGTAGTCTATTCAGACCATCCAATTGCTTTGAGAAGTTGAACCAGGTAATCAATCGACCTTTAAGACAAATGAGAACTTGAACAACCCAGTCTCATTTCATCCATTACCACAAACAGCATGAATATGAAGCTGACTGTAAGGCTCGAACGGGTGAAGCGAGGTTTACTATTTCCGGGCGGGCTCTCGGGACTTTTGTGCGGCATCCACAACGGTTTCCCCGCAGAATCGGCAGATCACTCGTTCTTATTCATTTTAGCCGATTCGGTTCAATACAACCTGAACACAACGGTCACCAAGAAATGTTTACCGGGTGAATGCTCTTACAATCTCATATCTACGTCACTTTGGTAGAAGCTAGTGGTGTGGGATCTCACTGATGCTACCGCATTGTCTCGGCTGGACTTTACACATGTCACAAAGTTGCATGGAAGTGTTTATGTTTTTATACTTTCTTTTGTTATTTTATATGTTTTCTAATACTCATTCTGTCAACAGCAAAGTTGTAGTCCAGCTACAATATTGTCCCCCGTTCCGAGAGTCTAGTCCGGCTAAAAGCTCTCATCCAAACTCTACATTTTAGAGTACAAATGCATCATAACAATCTGTTGATAACTTACCTCTAGTAGTCGTCGTAGCCGTCCTTCCTTACACAATCCTCACACAGAACTAATGATTTAGTAATCATACCCATAAGGGTCGGGGTTGTATGCAGGAGGAGCTTGAGCTCGAGCTGGACCTTGACCAGCGGCTCCTGGCTGAGCAACCATTCCAGGAGGAGGATTGAATCCAGCAGGCATTGGGTATCCCTCATCATCGATGATCCGTCCATCAGCGCGAATAGTGTACATTCCAGGCGGGGGTAACTCCACACTACCTGGTGGTCCCTGAGCACGACCAGTGTATGTGTCAAGCATTCTCTGAACATCAGGTCGCGCCTGCGGTGGAGCAGCTTGAGGTCCGGGTCGACCCATACCAGCAGGTGGTGCTTGAGCAGGCATGCCGAAAGCTCCAGGCTGAGCATAACCACCAGGTTGGCCATGACCGAGGCGACGACCTGGGTTTTGCATTGGGTTAGCGTTGGGAACACGACCATGACCGCCTGGGGGACCGGCTTGACGCATTTGACCGTGGTTGTGATTGGGCTGACGGTGGCGGTTGTTGGGATGGTTCATGCAATCAGGCTCGTGTTCATCGTCACCGTCACTGCCAAAAAGATCACTATCGTAATCGTCATCATCGTCATCTTCGTGATGGTGGTGGTAATGACCGTGAGCGTGACCATGTCCATGGCCATGATGAGCATGGCCACGATGGGATTGACCATGATGGGGTCGGCCCTGGGGAGCGAGAGCTTGGGGAAGCATACCCGGAGGAACCATAGCCTGAAGCCTAGCTTGAAAACCAGGAGCTTGACCTTGACCATGAGCGCGGTGATGACCGTGACGACCCTCCCGATGGCGGTTTCGTCGACTTTCTCGTCGCTCAGGACGTCCAGCGCCAGGCTGTCGCTGATGAGCATTGGCACCATGGGGTCCATTAGGAGCCGGAATGGCACCCTGTGACATGAGTTGCTGTTCTTCAGGGTGGTAGAAGAACTCAGCTTGACCTCCGTTGCACTGTGCACAGCGGAACTCGAAAGACTCAATGTCGACCATGGTTTCGCCGGTGGCAGGATCATAGCGCCAGTTCGCGGGATCGTTGCGGGCCGGGTTGTCGATTGTGGCTCTGCAGCCGAGGCAGGTGTAGGTGATAATGCGAGGCATTTTGACAGATTGGGTTTGGTGAGCTGTAGGTTGTGAGGGTAAGTTTCGTTTGATGTTGGTGAGAGAAGAGATGTGAACCGTAGATGATGATGTAAAAGTGGAAGTGTACCGAATGGTAGTGGATGAGAAGAGTTGAACCTTGAGCGGAGAGGGTGAAGACTATATATCATGGAAGAACAATAACCGGGAAAGAACGTGGTGAAGCTCTCAGAATACCTGGCTAGCTCGAATGAATGAGTGAACTGAATTTTAGTTTGTACATTCTTTGGTGACATGCTGTTCATTGACGGGTGATAAAGATCTACTCCCGTCAAAGTTCGCTCTTTGTTTGCCAATAAAAAAATGGTTAATATAAAACACAAACGCTTTGTCCATCTTTCATTGACTTTCGTGGAGACTGTTCAAGGAATTTGTTGCCTTTGTACTGAAAATGGCAATCATACAAATTCGAACCTAATATGACCGACGCGATCAGGTGAGTAAAACATAGCAATTGAAAAACATTTGACAAAGTCATTCAAAGTTGACGCCAACTTAGTTCATCACTTCGGTCACTTTATTTTACGCCAAAAAATCCCACGAGAATCTCTCTAAATGAAAAAACCATATGAGCAAAATTTCCCAAAAGACAAAGACATAGGCGTTGAATCGCGATCGCCTACCCGGCATTCACCACGGTCAAAGCTCAAGCAAAGCCACGCCCAGTCGATCAGCTTGCTAAGATGATATTGTATCACTAATAAGGTGATTAGATTTGATAACAGAAAGATAACAAAGCTTAGCGCTAACAAAGGTCCTCCGTCGCCAAAAACTACTGGTACCTTGCGCGAACGTATCCACAGAGCATCAATGAGGCGTTGCCATTCCGTTGTTCCGAATCTTGCATCCAGCGTAAACAAAGCATTCCTCTTCATTTCCCCAGTCCTCAGAACTCCTGTTGTCGATCGTGGACAGGCGGCCGCCAGTAATGTCTTACTACTCACCCTTGCGCATTTCCTGAGACAAATATGTCACCTTGGCTGGAACATGTCCTCGGGAGTAGCCTTTTGTATGCTCATTGGTCACCGTCACTGAGACAAGTCGGCCATTTCGATCCTTGTGCAGATCATCGCGATGCAGCTGACCGAAATCTTGATTCAGGCCGGGACCTAGCACTTTTGTCTGAGACGGTCGCGATACGGACTCTCGATTGTCCCTTCCACGTATATAATGCAGCCGATTCACAACTAGATCCAAGATTGTCAACGATCATCCTCTCATCGTCAACATGAAGTTCTCCGGTATTGCAGCGCTCAGCACCTTGGTCTCTTTGGGCAGTGCCCAAGCTGGGCCCAATACCTTGGCTAGGTACAACCCAGCCAATCGAACAATGTCAGCCAACACAAGTACGTAGTGAGTCGAAAACTACCGGAAGAACCCCACTAACAAAGAGAAGCATACTGTCTTGTTCCTATTGACAAAAGCGTTGTCAAAGAGATCACCGGCTATGATCCCCTTGATATTGCCACGGACATCCTCCCTTCGTTCCCAGAAGGCAAACACCCCCTCATAGTTCAAGCGGGATATAACAATGATATCCGCATGACAGCCCTGAACCTCATTCCACTGCAGATCGCATCTCTCATGCAAGCCTCTTTGATCGTCCCTTATGTCGATGTTACGAAGGATGGCGAGACCCCAATTGGTGCTCCTGTGAACTACTACATCGGAGGCACCAATGACCGCGCCCTACAGGCTATTGTGCCCAGTATTGCATCTGGGGTATCACCCTTCGAAGGAACTACAATCTTTCCAGCCACATTTGACCCTGATACTTCCGCCGCAGAACCCCTCCCCGATGGCGAGTACAGCGTTCAAGTCAAACCCTTTCTCCTCCCAAACACCGTCTCAGGACCAGGCATCTACGCCGAAGCTTTCGACATGCTGTTTGAGTTGACGAACGACTCTCCATACACTCCCCACACATTCCATTCCCTTCTCAACATTCCCCAGCTTCTGAACAATGGAAAGTGTCAACGCAACACAGTCTATTTCAATGAATCATTCGCGGATCCTAAGATGGCTGTTGCTGAAATTACGCTGTACCATCAGATTCTAGCAACACCGCCTGAGGGTTTGGAGGGTGTTTATGAGGATGTTTATTGCTATACTGCTAATGGGCAGGTTGTTTCTAGTGTGGGGGAGACTTGTTCTGTCGCGGCTGCGAGAATGGATCCTGAGGCTAAGATCTGAGCAACAGGTGCTCAGCGGCCGACAGCCCGGATAATGAAGAGTTATTTCGTATGTCTGGAGCAAATCAGGTAGTTGAGAGAATAGAGACAAGTGAACCTACAGCGAAATAAATAGTGTTGGATATTGTAGCCTAACTGCGCTAATGCTAGAACGTCCAACACTGTTTGTTGTACTGTTTATTAACTAGTCCTATTCTCTCAATTACCTGGTTTCTTTTCGAGATATTATAACTTGCATAATGTAGTAAAATGGAAAAACACTATTGATGCTGAACCTCTTCACTCCCCTCTTCAATACTACCTGTGGTCTAAACATACCACTTACTAGCCAATACTCACAGCACATCCTGTTCTTAGGTATCCGTGATGTCGGCCGACGTAATTATGTTTCCTTTTATTCCCTTCTGAAGGCAGCAATTGTTGGGGTATATATGAAAGGGCAGATAACCTTTTTTTTAAGCATCAATGGACAAGAATTTGCTACATCAAGCTACTACGATAGATAGTACTATGATTTTCCATGTTCAGAGGATAAGAAAAGTTCCCCCTTCACCACTGGGATCAGTTTCCTCATAGTAATTCTCGAGTGACCATACGATGCCGATCAGCTGGAACGTTGGTCGGCCATCCAGCTCAGAGGGGGTATTGACGGGTCGTAGGAGTGCCCCGATCCTTCCACAAATTGAAACACCAGTAATCACGTCACCCATTCTAACATCCTCCGGTGCTATCCAGTGCTGCCTTTTGAATCTTCCGGAGGCCTCATCGCAGTATGCCACTATCAGTCGTTTCCTTCCTTCCTGCATCATTCTGGACACATCGTCAAGGAGATATGACAGCGCTTGTCGGCATTCTGCTGTAGGTGGAGGATTGTGTTGGTAATCTTTATCCAAGTGTTCCTTCCTTCGTATCTCTTCCCTGGTGTAATGATTGAAAGGGAATCCTTTTCCATCGATTGGGTATAGTATATTTGCGACGCGTGACGCCCATGGCCAGTACAGCCCCTCGAGCATTTCGATGAAGCTTTTCCTAGACCACCAGTCACGAGGCTTTGTGTCCACGCTATCCGAGAAAAATACATGTTTCGCATACCCAAAGAATTCAGTGCCGGCAATAAGAAAACATAAACGCTCGTTAACCTTTCTTTCCATACTTAGAGAGTCCAGGTCCCCCACATCTGATAGGTGTAAGATGGTTTCTTGATGGATCCAATCGGTCAGGTACTTCACCAGATGATCACTATCCCTGCTCCTTGGCCATTCCTCGCAAATTTTGACGGTCTCCAGAAAGGAACTGCCATAGATAAGTAGCCCATGATGGTTGCCATTTGAGTAGTAAATTGTCTGAGGACAAAGGTAATGGTCGCCTAAGAAGGCGAGAAGGGGTCTCCTGTCAATTGATTGAAAGGGTGGTACATTTCGTGACATAGCTGTCGGCGAATGGACTTTTCTGTCTCTTGCTGTTGTCCAGTTCGGAACCCATGAAGGCCATTTTGGGTTGGCTTCTGATAGGCGGCCAAATCCATCAATGTGTAAAAGAATTTGCAATAGCCGACCAGTAGAAATGCAGTGGCTAGCGAACATGCGAAATACCACATCTGTACTGAGTGCATAGTCTGGGATGGGAAGGTCTTGATTCGAGTTGTCAGGTTCAGACTCACTGTTGACATCCGGGGCAGCAGGGGCCACTGGATCCATTTTCTGTGCAAGGCCAAGTAGTGAATAGATTCTGTCCCTGTGGTCCGAGCATTGACTCATATGCAAGGTCCAGAGGAGAGATAAGAGGTCTTCTGGCTTTCGAAGCATTTCCAAAACATTGAGAGCATACAAAGCGCTATGGTCGTTCTGTATACCTTGAAGTTCCTCAGATCTTCTTTGGATGTGTTTCAGTCCTTCAGTGAACCAGTGCCAGGAGACTTTGCTATCGCCACATCTAAGTATGGCGTCTCTTGCCAAGAAGCCCTCCTGTAGAGTCCAACGTCGAGTAAACCAGGACTTCTGCAGAAGGCTGAGGAATGATTGGAAGTCGCGGTGTTGAAATGTTTCTTCAAAGGTCTGGAAAATTTCTTCTGTTGTTGGATCCTTGGCTTGACCAGGCAATGGCTCAAACTTTGCGACAAGGGTTCGAAGGAAGGCAAAGGACAATCGTGTAGTCGCCTCAGCGGGCCCAAGCCAGATATGAACTTTGTCCGCCATGTGATATATCTGACCCATCTGCTGGACCTGGATGCTCTTTTCTTGATTGTCTTTCTGATTCAAGCAAATGGCATCGACCCAGAGTCGTCTCTCTTCGCAAGTCTTTCGCAGATTGTGGAGCATTTCATCAACAACGGCAGAAATGTAGAGGTACGTTCCTTCGTGTTTGCAGTAGAGTGGAATGTCATGCGTGCCATTGCCCCAGACATAGGACACGGCATCGAAAGACTTATTGTCCGGATCACGTAGAAGTGTAAGACGATCCTTAGTGATGATATCGCATTCAAGAGCTGACGATTTGTTAGCTGCGGGATGTAAGATTAGAATTCTGATACCGGTGCTATAGGGCAGGGGTTGGTATTGGTAAGGCTGCATTTTGGGTTCGAAGTTGTTGAGTACCGTGAAGATGAGTGTTTTCTCAGATGCCCTGTAACAGATGGGATTAATGTAGATATTATTCTTGCTTTCCGAAAGGTGGAGAAGCTTAGGTGGCATTGCATCTACATTTCCTGCATGACTGCCTGAATTCCTGTGGGACTTTGTAACAAGGATGAGATCCCGCTATGGGTCCAAAGCCTGCTCCTATGGCCTGTGATGTTTATGTTTGTTTCAGTCTTTAACCGCGGTGTTGTTTCCTTGGAAGCAATGTCGAGATGCAAAGACTCAATGCTTTTCTTCACCCCAATGCAAGACAAGTCGAATATTGCGGGACACAGTCAATTAGTCTTTCATATCCCATATCCAAGCCGCCAATCATTCAGCAAACTAGCCGAGCGCACAGAGCTGAGTTAAGTCATCCTCGTGCCACATTTATTAACCTGTCCCAGGCTGAGAATGTAGCGAGATTTGGCATTATTTGATTTTGTCCTTCAGAAAGGTCGCACGCAATCTTGAAGTTGGTTAGAGATGTTGCCGATCAGATGTCACGTGCTCATAGGATTTGTCAAGGGCGTGATTGTCATCTTAAGAACAGCTGTATAAAGTCTCCCAGTCACCTTATTTGTTATTATGCTAGTCCATTGATCTCACAATCGTTTACTCAAGACTTTTATCATGACCATTTCACTATCACGATCCGAGGTTATTTCCTCTTTAGAAGCAATCCTCAGCGCTCAAAATTATGCACAGTGGGACAAGCTGGAATCTTTAATCCAGTCAACCGTCACAGTCAATGATAGGTCACTGCAACGAGACGAATTCATCGCACAATTGCGATCCGATGTCGACAACAATAATATCTCAGCAAAACTCGACAGTTATGTCGTAGACGTCGACGCGCAAGCCATGGCGGCCAGAGTCATCAAGACCCAATCTATCTCACAGACGGCATCTACCGTCCAGTATCATGAGATTCTGTTAGCATGGTTCCTCGACGGTCGACTCTCAGCTACCAAATCGCTGCAAGACAGCGATGCCCGACGTGCAAAAGAGCCGTCAGCGACCGAGACACCTGCGGATCTCTTAGAAAATGCGACCGAGACGACCATTAACCTCGGTTCAATTTATCGCGACTACATCAAAAGCATCAACGATAAAACAATGGAGGTCACTTTTAAGAAGTTCTGCAAACTCGTCGTTACGCACAATACTCAAGAGAAAACTATCGCGGAGTACATTTCCCTAATCCAAGAAAGTCAGGAAGCGATTCAGGGCCTGTACTTTGACATACAGGATCTGCTCGTCGACAAAGATTCAGGTCGGGTCGCTGCTAGACTTGAATTCACAGGTGTTCCGGTCAAGGCTTGGGCTGGCGTTGAGCCCAGTGGACAAAGTGTCAAGTTTCATGAGCATGTCATGTATTGGTTTGATGGTGGCAAAATTCACTGGGTTTGGTCAACTGTGGATCTGGATACCTATCGAGAACAATGTCAGTCTAAGAATTAAATAGTCATTAACTTACCACAAACCCGCATTGAATCATTGTTTACCGTATGGCAATCCGTATCGTCATGGCAAACTCGTATTCATTGTTGTTTGCCTTTTGGCTGCCTAAGCAAAGTTTCCTAGAGCAAATAGTGTACCAAGCGCCTGGGCTGTTGGCTGGTCGACGTCCCTATTTTTGCTTTTTTCGGAGGCGGGTCACGTTAAATTACAGTGAAAGCCGGAGACCCTGAACTTTCGCATTTCCCTTGCATTTTTCACATAATCATTCACTTTCCAAATAACTTCATTATGTCGTCTGCTTCCATTACGATCGATCCTAATGGAGACGTCGTGATCGTGTTGAGAGCTCCTCAGCACGAGGATGCGAACACTCCCAAAGCCGTTACGCCGCCTACCGTTGAGACAACAGTGGATACAACCGCTGAAGATCCCTCTGTAGCGCCTGAAAAGACGCCAACCAAATCGCCCGCCAAGACATCTTCGGAAACATCTACTGAGACGCCTACCGAGACGCCAATTCAGGCGACTACCGAGACGGCTACAGAGACTACTGCCAAGTCTGTCGAGGATGATGCCACCCAGAGTACTTCTCCAACACCTGCCGAGGCCCCTACAGAAACATCCACAGAGACATCAGCTGAGCCGTCTACATCGTCACCTACTGAGACGCCTGCAGAGACGCCCGCAGAGACACCTTCCCAAACGCCGTCTATCGGCACAAGATCTGAGTCTAATGAGACTACCCAGACTGTCACCCAAAATGCCCAAAACCAGCCTACTGAGAGACACTTCATCTGCTCAAAAAAGCACATCACATTCGCATCACGCCGCGCAGCAAGACAACTCACAGAAGACAAATGGACGTTGGACAAAGACTTCCCTCTGGAACCCTTGACTATCGTTCTCAAGATCATCCACGGCAAAACTCGCGACATTCCCGAGACTGTGACCTTGGATCTTCTGGCCGATATTGCTTCTATCGTGTATTACCTGGAATGCCACGATGCTCTTACCTTCTTCGGCAGAAACTGGCTTTCGCGTTACTCTACTATCAACCTTCTCTGCTTTATGGATAAGACGCTGGCTCAGCTTATCCATATTTCTTCTGTCTTCGAGAATGCCTCTCTTTTCGAGAATGTTACCAGGATCGCTATTAAGAGTAGTTCTCAAGTTGTGCCGACCTATAACCTACCAATACAGTCGGATATTCTGGGTAAGTTTATTCAATCCTCCCCCATCACCTGAAGCTAACCCGTACAGCTGCTATCGGAAGCAAAAGCTCGGCTCTCATCAAAATCCTTATTGACGGGCTTATCGACATCCAGTCAAAGCTACTGTGTCAAAAGCTTGGCTGTAGTTACGGCTGCAGATCTATGTTGTTGGGATCTTTGATGCAAGCGATGAACGCAGCCTCCATCTATCCACCACCCGCACCACCAAGCCCCTTCTTGATCCTTGGCAGTGTCATATTCTCGTTACGCTCAGCTCTCTCTCCCAAATACTTCAGTTCCGATACCGATGGACCGTCCTCTCAACATTCGGGCAAGTGGACTCTAACAATGTGGCCCGAGCAGAAGGTTCAGCCAACCGGGGAAAAGGCTCCAGCTTCCAATCTTTTTGGCACTACGCCGGCGACAGCGCCTGCAACAACATCGAACCTGTTTGGCCCAAAGGTTACAGTCGCCGCTACTCCGCCCGTAGAGTCTGCTAGTAACATTTTTGGTCCAAAGCCTACTGCCGCTGCTACTCCGTCTACAGGTTCTGCTAAAAACATGTTTGGCCGGCCTATCGCCGAAGCCAAGGGCAGCGGTACATCGAATATCTTTGGTCCAAAGTCTACACCCGCAACAAAGGTGAATGATAAGCCTGTTTCCCAACCAACAGGTACCGGGTTTTATGGTGACACGACTACTAGTGATCCAGATCAGCCGTGGGCCATTGTTCGACATCATTGCTGTTTGCAGGACTTTATGCATCCGCTGTTGGATGAAGTGGAGGCTAAGATTGCAGGGCTGAAGCTTGCGGACTTTGCGCGACCTTAGGGAATGGACTGGAAGTAGAAAGTCAATGAGTTGTATATTGGGAGCAGGGCTCCTATTCGATCGAGTTAGAGATGGAACACTCGTATTAGTTATGATTAATAAACTCATATTGTACCAAAGAGGAAAAGCCGAAAGATCCATTTACCACTACATTTCCATGATACTATGTACTAGACGTTAGCGAGTTATGAACAGAATAGAATCCAAAAAGTATCCGAAAAGCCAATCCTGTCCATCCTAGCTGTCATTGCGAAAGTTTTCCAATTTACCACTGCAACTACCACCACCACCAGCCTTACAAGCATGGAACTCCGGTGTAACTTTCTTGCGATCACATCCAGTAATACCAAACTTGTAATAATCCCCGTACGCCTTCTTCTTAAGCATAAGAGTTCGCTTCATTCCAGCACCGGAATCAAAAGGCAAATCCTCCCAATAGATATCAAAGTTGGTACATCCATACACTGCATGCGGTACATTATCCTTGGCTTTCTCAAAATTGTCCTTGCAGGTCCCGCGCCAGATGATGATGGATTCTCCCTTCCTGCATTCGTCTCTGTCCGGGAAGTTCACGGTGACTTGGCAGGAGTGCTCGCAGTAGACCATGCACGGTTCGTAAGCGGGCCATCGTGTATCGCAGTGATTAATCCGTCCTATGTCTTGGATCTCAACCCAGGGTATGGGGAGCGGGGGTCGAGGGGGCTTGGGCGTGAGTGCATCCTCAGCGTCCGCGCGCTATTAGTGTGTGTTAGTATCTGGTAGAAGAATAGCTTGAGTTGGGTTGGGTACCGCTTGAGCATCAGCTATTTGCTTTTCCCTGATTTGCTTGCGCGCCCATTGGTTGAAAACATCTGTCCCTTTCCCCAGATTCATGTTGGGGATTGGCTCAGAGGTTAATCCCAGGTTCATGTTGGCAACACCTCCCACTTCCATGTCCATGTTGGTGATTGTGTTAGAGGTTGTTCGAGTTGAAAGACTCGTTCCGTCGTTGTTTGATAGCTGTGCGATGTGCTTGATGAGTGTTGAAGAAAGAGGGAAAAAGGCAAGTGAGAAGGGTATGGGAGTTTATAAAAGTTATGTTATGGTAAGTCAATAAGGAGCTGCATGTAACAAATGGCTGGTTATGCTTGACGCGTAGAACTTTTGTTTCTCGTATAAGACTTTTGTGTCTCGACGACATCGACTGAGCTACCAACCCCCTCTTATTGAGTTGTCAACTAGTCGTCGTGATGCGCCAAATGCTTACATAACTGGGCATTAAGAGATTAGACCATGCCGCTTGCCATCTTCTTGGTCGTCAATTCTTCTGATACTCTGTGGCCATTGCCTACATCACCACCTCATCTTGCCCTGGAAATAGAGAGTCATTGACTAGGAACAGGGTTTTCATTCGATCGTGTTGGACAAAACAGTTAGAGTTTAGACTAGTCCCGGTGAGTAGCTAGACAGAGTCCAACGAAAGTGTGTATTGGAACAAAGCCGAGATGTACACCGATTAATGTATGTGACATCCAAGCCTGGTTTCGTCCCTGCAGCATTTCAACTTCCTCCCACTGCAGCTACCACCAGAAACCATGCATGACTTCGCACCACCCTCCAGCTTAGCAATGCTACGATGACAATTTGTGACCTGAAACCAGCAACGGTCACCCTCACCCCTCGCCATATTCTTTTTCCCCTTCTTACCCTTTTTCTCAAGGGTAATATCGCGCGCCCAGCCAGAACCATGAGGCATAGGGTGGGTCCCCCACCAAATCTCGTAGTCGGTACAACCCTTTGTTTCAAACTTCCTACGAAACTTGCCATTTCTGAAGTTCTTGTAGCAGGTGTCGGACCAGATGGCGCTGCTGTAACCCTCGCTGCATTTGGGGTCGTCGAATTGAAAGGTGACTTGGCAGGCATGCTCGCATTTGCGGATGCAAGGGGTAAGACCGATGGCTCGTGGATCGCAGGGATTCTGTTGGGCGATATCTGCGAAGTGCACCGTCGCGTTTGCGATATTGGGGGGTGGCTGTGAGGGTATATTAGTGACGTAACTGATGGGACGGATTGGTTTTGGCTAGGTACATCAGGTTTTGTGTAGTACCTAATGAGGTCCTCTATGATGTTGACAAAAAGCTTTATCATGTTGGCGATTGTGTTCGAGGTTGTTTAGGTTCAAATAATTGAATGTGCTGTTGTTGTTTGACGGTTGTGGGGTGTATATGCTTGATGAAAGTTGAACAAAGAGGGGAATGAATAAGGAAGAATAAGAAGAGGATCGTAATTTGTGTGAAAGCTCATGTGTTAGGGCATGCTGAACAGGCCACGGTAGGTGTAATGATTGGAGTCGCGATGCTTCAAAGAGAACCTTATTATCGTGAACCTGGCATCTCTTTGGCTACATTGTTTTTGGTGTTGTTCCCCTCTTCCTGAGTCGCCGTCTTCATATCTATGATTATCTAATGTGGCAAAGAAAGAGAAAAAACGTCGTGTCATGTTTCTGTTGGCCAATTCCTCATACTCTGATACTGCTGTAGCCACCACCGACATGTTCACCTCTTCTGATGTTGAATTGCCTTGGCCAATCGGCAAGCTGCTCGGAGCGGCACTTGACTCGGCTACCAATCAGCTCCACAACCTCCGGACACTTAAACCCCGCCAGCGCCCGTGATAAACGGAAATAAGCACTCCATCATCATGACTTCTGTACCTTCTGTCCAAAAAGCGGCACTGATTAAAGAACCTGGCGATAATGCGAAAATTATAATCCGACCAGATATTCCCGTTGAAAAACCTCAACAACATGAGATTCTGATCAAGCTGGAGTTTACAGGTCTTTGGTAAGCAAATGAGGATGCGGTTCGTCCTTGGCTAATACCCTGTAGTGGTTCGGAAGTTCGTGCTGTGTCGGGATGGGGACCGTATGATCCCATTATAGGACATGAAGGTGTCGGAACGGTTGTTCAGACTGGAAATGATGTTGATACTGGGATGATGGGTAAGAGAGTTGGTGTCAAATGGCTTTACAGCGCTTGCGGGACTTGCCGTATCTGCAAGAAAGGTTATCACAATAACTGCCCCAAACAGATGAACACCGGGAAGCATGTTCCTGGAACTCTAAAAGAGTATATGATCGCTGATGCGAGGTATGTGACGCTAATCCCGGATGGCATTCCTGGTGAGGTGGCTGGTCCTCTGCTGTGTGCTGGGTTGACCATGTCTGGAGCTGTTTCGAAAGTTGAGGGATATGCTGAGAAGGGCGATTGGGTTGTCATTTCTGGCTCTGGAGGTGGTCTTGGACATCTTGGCGTACAGATTGCCAGTAGACTCAAGGGTCTGCGAGTCATTGCGATTGACACCGGAGAAGCGAGGCGGAAGCTGAGCTTGGACAGCGGGGCTGAGCATTTCATCGACTTCAAAGCTGAAAACGTGGAAGAGAAGGTGAAGGAGATCACCGGGGAGGGAGCTGCTGCTGTGTTGGTGGTTACTGCCTCACAAGAGGCTTTTGTTCAAGCCCCAAGTCTCGTCAGGAACATGGGAATTATCGTCACGATTGGACTGCCGAGGAACGACTTTAATATTCCTCTCTCTGCTACCATCTGCTCAGCTAAAGGTGAGTAACCATATATTTCGACGAGTTGACTGATAGCTGACAACGTATAGACCTCACAGTCACTGGTGTAATGGTAGGAACAGAAGAACAGATGGAAGAACTTCTGCAACATGCCTTGGCAGGCACAATAGTCCCAGCAGTCAATGTCCTCGACTTCGACCAAGTTGGAAACGTCATCGAGGATCTCAAGAAGCAGCAAGTCACCGGCAGAGTAGTGGTCAAGATCCCATAGAATTGCATTGTTCCGCCCTAAGCGTTGTACCTTACCCTCGGTATCTTATCCCATCCTAGTTATTGAAAACCTTATCATTGATAGCAACAACCAAAGCAACATACTCCATACTATCCAAGTAATCGATATAAACAACATTCGGGAACGAACTTTCGCTAACTTCAGGCAACAACCTCGTGAAAAGCTCAGGGTTGCAGTCCTTGGCCAAAAGCTTAATTGGCCGGAGTGTATCGGTGACACTTCCTGCGAAACCTCGCACACTACCGTCCCACTCGGGGACCTGCTGCGTTAAAGTCCACGAGAGTAAGAACATGCGTTTGTCGTTGGAGGACATGTGATGTTTCATCTTTTCGATTTGATCGGCTACCATCACGTCTGTTTCGTCTTTGTTGGCATATTCGTTTCGGATGTTGAGTTGCCCTGATTTGAAGAAGCCTTGGTTGAGGTAGTCACCTAGACTAAGGCTGCCCCAGTCCTCGATTACGCAGACCACTGCAGCCTTGCCGTTTCCAATGAATTCATCAACTTTGACATTGGAAAGATTGTTGGCTTTGGATTTATCGTTCATGATGAAAAGGTTGTTCAGCTTCTGAAGCTCTTTCATCAGATTGTGCCATTCCTCTTTGTTGAACTCTCGCCACTCCTCGACATCTGACTGTAAAGAGTGGGAGAAATTGATGATGATCAATTCACCGTTGTCCTTTGTGAATTTGTTTACACCGTCGATGATGTCGGCGATGTTTTCACCGCGCGCTCCGACTTTACCGGTGTAGTGACCAGTGCACCATTTGCCCTTGTAAATCTGAGGACGAATGTCAAAGTATCTGGCGCCCTTTTGAAGTTGTCCATAAATATCCTCGCACTGACAAAGGACGTACGGATCGATAACACTGACGGGTACAAGCGAGTGCGAAGTAGTCGACATGCCAGAATCATGCGTTCCGAGAAGACAGATCTTGGAGAGGGGGAGATGTCCGATTGTCTTTCTGCACTGCTGCATCCAATCCATAGGCGGGTTGGACGTGTGGAATTCCTCCTTTGAACCGGAGAGGACCCAAGTGAGACACTTATCATGGCGCCATCCAAGATGAATCTCCGAACCGCGGGCGTTTCCGACTGATTCAAGAGAGTCGAGCTTCACCCAGATACGCTCGTCATCGTCTCGGACGTGAATAGTGAAGCTACATCCTGTGCCTTCGAGAGTGTACTTTACCGAGCCACTAGTATCAGAGCGCTTCTTAAACGCGCCTTGACTGAACTCGATGTATGTTCTAGGAACCTTGCCTGCAAATGTGTCAATTGAGGTAAATGATGGAGAGAGGGTAAGATTTACCTGCTTCGATGACTTCCGGAAAATCCCAAGATTTCATTTGATAGCTCATCTGGTCCGACCGTTTCCAGCGGTACGGCGTACCGTTGGTGAGAATCATGTAACCGCCTTCGCCCATTTTGCCAGTCTTTCAATCGTCTCTTCACACTTAATTGCTTCAAATGGAATGTGTTGAAGGGAGAAATCTTGAGCTGCCATCTCCTCTGATTGCGCAAGCACAGCCTCATAATACGAGACTAAACTCATTTCGTCGCTTGGAGCTGAAAAGAAGGGTAGCTCCGTCGAATCATAGATCTTAGAGCGAAGCAAACCCCGCTCCTGGGCTGAGGGATCCTGGTTATAAAACAGAGGTTGGCTTGGCGGGGCTGATTTTTCACCGCCTGCGATATTTGGTGGTTTGGCCGGTCTCAGTCTAGGGTGAGGTTATTCAGCGGGAACGGCGCTTGGAGAATATCGAAGCGCTGGGTTAGTGACAAAATGTATAGTTTAATAGTAGGGTCGATGGATCGAGTATCTAGAAAGACTCAACGTTCATGTCGAGTAACCCGACATTATTCGCTTTTGACGTCACATCTCAGGCAGTCAAAGGATTCAAGGGTGCGTGTCTTGGCAGTATTTTGGCCAGTCATTGAACCTGTTGGTTCGACCCTCGTTACCAGCAGGGGCAGTAGCCTGTTTATGTTGATGAAGATCATTACTATGTCCTATACTAACGCCCCGACGGGTAGGAGTCGGTGCTTATTATATAGTAAATGAGATCCGGCAGAGCCTTGTTCCTGTCAGATGCTTATTTCTGACTTATTCCTCCCCCACACAACGCCCAAGCCACGTTATCTCCGGTCGGGCTGTAGCGTCATGATTTATTAATAAAAAGAAATTGTTTCCAATCGCTACGATAAGAACGAAATGGCATGCCATAGTTTAACCCTAGTTTTAATGACAGGCAGCCTTCTGTCAGGACTGGCACTTGCCACCGGCCATCATTTCTTCTACGACTATCTCAATGACAGAATTGTTGAAAGCCAGAACCAACAAGAGTGGTTTCTGCGCATTGGAACTGGAATGGCGTTTCTCGTAAGAGCATTGTTATCAGCAGCCGTCGGCATCGCATACACCCAGATACTTTGGCGGACACTGAGATCGAAATCTATCACCATCGAAGGAATCAATTCGTTATTTGGTGTTTCGCACACTGCGTGGGATTTCACGGCTTTGGAATTGTGGACAGCTGCTCCAGGACTTGCTATTGTAGCCATGATAGCATGGTGAGATGTCCAGAGTACCTTAGCGATCGCTACTAACGTCCATCAAGGGCTCTCCCACTTATTGCAGTTATCACGCCGGCTACATTAAGTATTGAGATATCTTCCGAGACGAATGTAACGGTCGTCCATAGCTTTATTCCAAGCATCGATTACGGCCGCACTCTCTGGTACGGTAGCTTCGTGCAAGGAGGTCTCACCATCTCGTCACACGTCATCAGGACTCTCCTACCAGTGGCAACTCTAGGCGCCATCCTCCCGATCGCCGCTCCGTTTCCCAATTCCTCCTACACGCTGGAATTTTACGGGCCTACAATTTCATGTGATAGTCCCCAGAACGACTCCTTCAGAGAATCGATAGAGAAAATTATTAACAGCGACACAACGGATGGGGACTACATGACATACGTTAGCTTTGTCCCAGTTTCAGAGAATATGACTTCCTCGGCTTCCGAGGCAGGCATATGGAACGGCGATGCCATAGAGGGGTTGCTGCATGCGTTGAATGACACTCTGGTTTATACGACGCCTGCCTTAGACTTTACCGCCAATATCACAAATGGAGACCGGGGTGGTAACCCAGCGACTTTCTACGTCCTCGTCCCAGATAGACCATCTGGACATGCAAACAGGACCATCGAGTGCCAGCTCCACAACGCGACTTATTCGCTGAATATTACTTTCGACAACGGTTTACAAGACATAAGATACAAGACTAAGCGACTGAACGGGGTTTCAGCCTACGATACCAGACATTGCTTTCCCGAGCCCACTAGTCATTGCAATCAAACCAATGCGTACCTCACCCTCATGGCGGCAATGGGGGATATGTTGTTCGGTACTCAACGGTGGTCTGGTCGGATGCATCGGACGCGAATAGCTCATACTGTTCTCGTTGATTTGCCGGATATGAACTATAACTATCGGGGCTACGAGAAGCCAAAGTCTTTGATTGGCAATTTGTCATTGTCTGATGCGCTTGAGCAGATGTTCGAGAACACGACGATAAGTCTGTTGAGCAACTCTGAATTTCTGTAAGTGCATACTTACATCTCTGCAGGATGGCTTGTTGACCCATATTTCTAGACAAAACGATACCACCGGTCCTGTAACCCGCTTTTCTGCACAGAACGCCTTCTCCTACGAGCCCCGCAACCTTTTTATCGCCTATGGGATAGGTATACTATTTTCTTTGATCGTTGTGATCTTTGGACTGTTGTGTATCAAGTCTGCCTCTGCATCGTACACGAATAGCTTCTCGACCATCCTGCGGACGACGCGGAATCCTGAGCTTGACGCTGTCGTGCCTTCTGCAGAGACTTCAGGCGCAGAGCCTTTGTCAAAGCATCTAAGCAATGTTCGGCTGGTTTTGAGACGGCAAGGCAACGGGTTGGAAGTCAGCGATGGTCAATCTACTTTCTTCGCAGTGGATACGAAGCAAGATGATATGAAGGAGGAACGAGCGGAACGTCCGACTGAGTCTTTGCTTAAGCCGGACAGGAGGCATCCAAAATCGGATGTGGATGAGATATCAACTACGCAAGAGGGCTCAGATGTTAATCTGAATCACAACAAGGACGGTAAAAGGGAAATCAGTCACTTGTAACGACTAAGTAGCAAATGGGCAGTCATGATCTAAGAATTCTACCCAGCCCTGCTAGTATCTCCCCAATAATAGTGTGCAATACCCCAATCAATCGTTGAAACAATACTCTCCAGAATCAACAGGTTTTGTCAAGCCTCGTTTCTACTGAATCAGGCTAGAATCCCCACCTGAACCATTCTCCTTCTTACCGCTAACAAATCGCTGGAGCCAATCTGCGACCTGCATTGGTTTTCATAATTACTTACAGCTCTCCAGTGCTGATCTCTCTGTTAATGGCCGCATTAGTTGATTTCTCGCAGGAATCAGCCTCCAATCATAAGCAATGTCGACAGCAGGCAGGGTGAGATCAGCCCAAAGTAGGCTGTGCCTGGAGGCAGCCATTGAGGCGGAGGCATACAATTCGGCCTTTTAAACCCCGCATCTGACTGGACCCAGATCTGATAAAGTCCCAATTATTCCAGTTTCTTTAGAGTTTTTGAATCCTTGACAGCTCGAAATCCTGGACTAGCTATCATGGATCCACTTTCTATCGTTGCTATCTTGGCAGGTGTTGTTGAGGTCGTGAAGACCGGTACTTCTCTTTCAAAAGACCTACATCGTTTCTACGCCTCAATTCAAAATGCGCCTCGCGAGGTACTTGACATAGTGGCAAGGTTAGCCGATCTCTCATTCATTCTAGGGGAGCTACACGACTTCTTAGAAAAGAATAAGGACCTATGCAAGCGCCATCTCTTGAAAATCATTATTTCTACGATGGACAGAATATCCGCCATCCATAAGGAGCTCAAAGGTCTCATGGATGGTCATGCAACATTGCAGAGGCTTCTGTGGGTATACAACAAGCCTGAAGTTCAGTACAAGCTCAGCGTGATCGAGAGTCATAAAAGTGGTATTCAACTTATACAGAACACTCTGCTTCTAGCAGCGTTGACGAGAAATGAGAAGAAGTGAGAACCACAAGCCATGCAACAGCCAGATTATCACTGACAACACTCAGATCAGGAAAGGCCAACAAGAAGGTCAAGCCCGCCGACAAGCATGGAAAGAAGAAGAAAGAATCCAAAATTGCACACGTTCGACAACAAGCAGAGAACCTGACATATGCGTCGTCTAATTGTATCACGGAGCTTTCAAACCAACAGCGTTCACGGTCTGATGAGCCCAGCTTGGAACTACAGGACAGCGAGATCGCTGAAGGTGACGAGAAAAACAAGCTGATACGGTTTCGAACTCTGGACAAGCGCCCCGACGATACCGCGACTTGGCTCTACAACCTAGTCTTCGAGCCTTTGGCCCAGTCAAAACAGGACCCTAGCTCTCAGAGCACCGAATCCACCGATATAGGTGGAGGCAGCTCAGAGATCACCATTGGCATACCTGCAGAGTTGCAAACGGCTATATACGAGCCCGGAGTGAGCTCTTATATCGTTGACAAGCTATTGTCTGACTGGACCATTGAGGAAGAAAACCTTGAAGATCCAGGGACTGAACAGAGTGCGATACAAGAGACCAACGATTGCAAATGTCACAAGGGAGGAAAACAGTCCATCACGTTCAACGCAGTTGGGCAACAATTCACATTCCCATTCCATCTTATTAGAAAATGGAAGGTCGGTTGACACCACAATACAATTGCACTCCAGCTGACAAGGACCAGGGCATGGAGCAGAAGATCAAAGAGGCACTTGGACGGCATGATGCAATTGGCCAACAAATCTTGAACGGCCAATACGACGTTATCGGTCCTACAGGCAGTATCATAATGCCCAACTGCTGGAGGTTCCTTATAGAGCCTGGTATGGACATTTCATTGACAATACCGCAGATACCAAGTAAGGGTCGAGCGAAACCGTCTGCAGACCTTCAACCTCAAACTGGCAAGAAGGTCAAATCACCTAGAATAGTGACCATGGATCCGGGAGTGCTCAGCACTGAGCGAAAGCCGACAGAGAAGGCAAAGCCTGCCATTCGGAGTAAGGCGAAGACTGATCCCAAGGATTCTGGGGCCCAAGCAAAGAAGGGAAAACAGTAGGTATGAAGTTGCTATAGGAGTTTAACATTGGATCTGGTAGTTGCAGAGATAAGTGAAGACAACAAAAGTCTATAGAGTTGTTTCATCTTGCAGTCCGGCCGGTTCATTCGCGGCCTTAACAAGCCATACTGGCACCCGATTTTACTATCCTGTAAACCGAATCGAGCACCGATCTATCACATTCGTTCTCCTTCATAACACAGCCTATTCAGTCCTTGGTTGATAGGGCTGAAATCGATTAGCCTCTCCATAATCACAGTCGCCAGACGTTCAAGTTTACTTACCAGTGGTTTGGGTGGAGCATCGATCCACGCAGCCATCTGATACTGCTGGTGATCCGCTGGCGTCCACGACAAATCATACTTGACCGGCTGTATGTACTGAGTAAAGTTCATAGGAAACCCCGGGTTGTAAGGAGACGCTTCATGAATCTCCTCGATCTCTTCCTTCGAAAGTTCGATACGGAGTGCTTCGGGCATAGCTTTGATGTGTTCAACTGTGTTGACGCCGACAATGGGGAAGACGTAAGTCGTCTGGTGAAACAAATATGCAAGGGCCTGTAGATGTTAGGTCTGAGTATCATGCGGCGGTGATATGACTTACTATAGCTTGTAGCGTGGTTCCTTTGCGGGCAGCGATTGCCTCTAGTGCTTCGCTTGTTCTCAAGGCAGTCTCTGAGGGCTTAATGTCAGGTGCATCTGGGTCATCTTCCCTTGCTTTGCGTTGTTCAGCTGTAAGTAAAGAGCCGCTTCCCAGAGCACCCCATGGAATCACAGCTATGCCTTGGTCCTCACACATGTGAATGACCTCTCCCTCCATATCACGCATGGCTGCATTCCAGTTTCCTTGGTATACAGAGAAAGGTGTCAGCCCGTGCTGTCGTGCATCTAACGATATCAGCCACAAGAACAAAATGATTTCGGTCAAAGCTTACAAGCGTTGGCCTTCATAACGATCCAAGCCGGGGTATTGGAGATGCCGAGATACAGAACCTCTCTCGCCATGACGTGCGTATGCAGCGCTCTCATCACCTCTTCCACAGGCGTAGCAAAATCCCACCAATGGACGTAAAGAATATCAATATAATCAGTCCTCAGCTTTTTCAAGCTATCGCGAACCGAAATATGCATACTCTTAGCAGAATTTCCGGTAAAGTTCGTCTGAATAGGCTCTTTCTCACGATTATACGCCCGATAGCCAGCGGAGTATTTGGTAGCGATTACCATTTGGTCTCTAACCCCACGCTCCTCCATCCATTGGCCAATCAATTGTTCAGATTGCTCCGAGTTGTAGAGATTAGCAGTGTCAATAAAGTTACCGCCCAACTCGTAGAATGCGTCGAGAAGTTTGAAGGGATCTTCGTTTTTGCCAGTGTAGAATTTCCATGCATTGCCAATGCTGATTCCACCTAAGCAAATTGGGGATACTTTGACGCTTGCCGTGGGGGAGAGAAGGCGATGCCAGCCGAGCAACGACTTGGGCTTGGGGGCAGTTTGGAAGACCATGATGGGTAAAGTGCAGTGAGGTTTAAACAGCTTGAGGATAGAAAGAAAAAAGAAAGAGAAGGGACATGGATTTGGGATTGGCCTGGCAAATATATATAGAGCAGTAACACCAGACAGACTGACTCTCGTCAATTGAACATTCGCGCTAATGCAACTGGCTGACTGTGGATAACAGCCGGACGCTCTAACCAACTAAGCGGCGGGCTAATTTATGCAACCCGCTGACACTATGACGTTCGGAGGTTCACCACGCGTGTACCAATTACTTCTACGGGGTTATAGTGAACTTTTTGGCATAGTTCTATCTTCATGGTACCATACTCTTTTTGCGACATGCAATTTGTGGCCTTCTCTTGCCACCACTCTGTCCCTTTTCTATGCAGTGTAGTAGACGTGGGCATGTCGCGAAAGAAGCATGCCAGCCAGCTCACAGTTGCTGAGACTTGATCATTCATCCATGTACTTACAGGATCCTTCACAGATACTGCGACTTGCATGGTAGTATTGGGCGAAGCCAAGGTCGACATACTTGTAATTGTATTTTACTTTATTGACACAATACACGAGGGAAATAATCTCAAACGCCTTTTGTTTCCATTTGCTGTCCCACACTTATATGCACATTCATCGTCGTGCCAATCCGACATCAAGACCCATAGGCTTCCTCAAGAATCCCTCCCGAGTCTCCATAACATCCTGTCTCAAAATAACATCATATCGCTTAATCCAAGTAGCAGCAATCAGTCTCATCTGCATCTCCGCTAAATTCCTACCCACACAAGACCGAGGCCCATAACTGAAAGGAATGAAAGCATTCTTCTGCTTATCCGTCAAATTCTCCCAGCGCTCTGGCTTGAAGTCATCAGCATCAGGACCCCAAATTTCTGTTGAATGGTGGATCGTGTATGTAGGAACGCTGAGGACTGTGCCAGGTCCAAAGTATCGTCCGTGTAGTGTAACGCCTTTGTGGTTGGGAGGGACTTCGCGAGGAAGCCCGATACCGGAGGGGGAGTGAATACGCAGAGTCTCGTTGATGCAGTAGCCGAGGTAAGGAAGATGCTTGACATCCTCAAAATCAGGAATAGCCTCTCCCTCAGGAACAGCAGCGGTAATTTCCTCATAAAGCTTCTGCATAACACCCGGCGTACGAACAACATGATACAAAAGCGCACAAGAAGAGTTAGAAGTAGTATCACTACCGGCAATAAGTTGTGTAAGTGCCTCAGCGGTAAGTTCATCACGACCAAGCGGTTCACCCTTTTCATCGCGACCTTGCATGAGACGAGCGAGAAGATCCTTTCGGGTAGAGTCGCCGCCGCGTTCGAGACGCTCGCTGACGCGGGCGATGGCGATGCCGGCTAGGTTTTCGACGGCTTGGAGACCTTGGCTGAAGAAGGGGTCGGGGAGATACTTTGCGTAGGGCTTGAGTTGGGGGAGACAGCCGAGGGTTGCGGAGACTTCGCCTCTTCGGTTCATGATTTCGACGGCTGGGGCGTAGATTGTTGGGCTGGTGGGTGAGACTTTGACTTCTGCGATATCTGCACCTGAAGCGAGCATGCCTAAATAAAGTCAGTCTCCATCTCAACTTTATCTCATGGTTGACTTACCGAATGGCTTTCCAAAGGCCAAATCAGCGATGATGTCGAAAGCAAGAAAGTTGACTAAAGAGGTCAGTAAGATTCGGAAACAGATTGAGGGTAGTCATACACCAGTTCAGACAGTCAACGCGTCCATAGCCATCGCGCTCCTTATTAGCAGAGATGCGATCCCACTGCTTAATGAAGATCTCAAGATTCTGACGAATATAAGGCTCAAACTCGAGAACAGACTTGGGAGCAAAAGTATGCGAAACAATCTTTCTCTTGCGAGAATGTTCAGCTCTGTCGCGTGTGTTGAAAAGACCACGACGGATAGACACGAAGGTGTCGTAAAAGTCTCTATCATCAGGTTAGCATCCCCAACTCAATTTTGCTATGCGTAGTAGGACTCACGCCTTCAAGAAACCGTTTCCGTGGCCATAGATAGTGTTGATAGCATCCGCATCAGCAACACTAACATGATTAGGCGCAATCCTAACCAACACACCCAACCTCTTATGAACCTCATCAACAATTTCATATCTCTTTCCTCTTCGACATGTTGACAGGAGCCAAAGATTGCTGAACTGTGCTGGGAACGGGGCGGGGATGCCGCGGAGATCTTTGTTGGAGATCCAGGGGAGGATGTACCATGCGACGACTCCGACGAGGAGGGCTACTGGTGCCCAGGGTGAGATGAGGAGTTCTGTAAGAGCCATGATGGATGATACAGAGGAATGGGAGGTGAAGGGAGGGAGAGGATGGGGAGAGTATTTGTATTGTGTCTTCGGATAGTGGCTGATCGTCAATGGGTCTGGATTGCCCCAGATTATTTACCCCAGAGTGACCATTGATGGCTTCCGAGGAAGGATTTCTCCACATTATGTGCTCGGCACTTGGCGTTTTTGGGGATGTTATTGGTCAGATTGATGGCCGCGAATCCGTCTTAGACCCGTTTGACCTGCGCTTTGATGCTCATGCTTCAAGGCCATATCAACACAGCTTCGGTCGTACTTCTTTGCTCTTCCCATTACAAAGGTCCTGAGAGATCATTCTCATTCAAAGCACAGGCTAGATAAAAATCTTCTCTTTTTTTGCGGTAATATCGAGCATCTTCTTCTCGGACTTGGTACGTCATTCCTGACTGCTTACTCCAACTCGGATATTCCTCGCATCCGATTGGCTCCAGTTCCGCGGAAGCAATCGGCACTTAACATCGGGACCGAAGCTATCAACCGCCGACGTAACCGGCCACTACCAAGCGCATCTCCATGTCTCTAACCCAATCTAGAAAACAAACAGAAACTCATCATTCATCAAATCTGTCAAATCATCAAAAGCCTTATCCCCCACATTCCCATCAACATCCGCTCCCTTTGCTTTTCTCAACCGATCAGCTTCTTCAGGCGAGTACAAACTGTAATCCACAATAACAGCATCTTTTCCAGCTGCAACGCGACGTCGGCTATGGTCTTTGTTCAAGTAGGCGAGGTACATAGTCGTTACCACGACTAAGCCTTCGATCGCCATGTAAAGAAGTAAATTCCATGATAGACCTCTGTGGTATTCGGGTGCTTCAGAAGGTTTGTAGAGGAGGGGCCCGATTATGTTGCCGAGGGATTGACCGATGAAGAGGACTGATGAGTTGCATTTGCTTTTGGTGTCGCCGGCTGTGTTGGAGGACGACCAGGAGTAGATCAACGGAACTAACCGGTTAGCATTCGTAAAATAAAAGAGGCATGAAACTTACCTATCCCTGGAAAGACGGAGATCATGTAGTATCCTCCAAGTAGAGTATTTCTACCGTCGGGTGTATGAGGCGTTGAAAGCATAATCATACATCCAATAATCGGAAAGATAGCAAGAAAAGCGATGACGGGCCCTTTTTTGTGATACTTTGTCGCAACATAAGATCCACCAACAGTAGAAATAAGCTGGACAATACCAAAAGGCGCATTAAACAGAATAGCCTCAAAAGAGTCAAAGCCAAACGATTTGATGAGAAGAGGTCCAAAAGACCCAACACCACCAGAGGGAACACTGCAACCAGTCAGTAACTAACCGTAACAACGATAGAAATACGTACGAGATGCTAAAGATGAGAGCGAACCAAAGCCACGTCTTCAAATCCCTCATCGTCTCCCAGAAATGATCCCATCGCCACTGTCGAGACATGACGCCTGTCTGGTTCATCCTCAATCGTTCGATAGCGATGAGTTTATCGTGCTTGTCGAGGAATTTGGCTTCAGCTGGGGAATCGGGCATGTAGGAGAATAGAACTGTTGAGAAGCAGACTGTGATGATTCCAAAGGCGACAAAGATGGTCTAAACTGTCAGCACGCGATGTGTGTTAGAGAGTGGTGGGATTACCTGGTATGGTTTTAGGCCAAGAGGGAGTTGGGCAAGCCACCACGTCGCCAAACTTCCAAACTATTATTACTTAGCATGTAATTGTAAAAGGGTAGAGGTAGACTTACAACGCCCGTAAACCCATTCATAGCATACCAATAGCTCATTCTCAAAGGCTGTTCCCGTCTCCTCCAAAACATCTGCGTAATAGCAACAAAGCTCGGCGCAATACTAGCTTCAAACGCACCCAACCAAAACCTCGTGAACAACAAACTATGGAAAGTATGCGCAGCAGCCATAAACGTCAACGTCAATCCCCAAAGCGTTACCATGCATGCTGTGAATTTTCCAATGGGGAGTTTGACCAATAACCATGCGAGAGGGAATTGCGCGATGAGTTGGGCGACGTAGACTATGCTGCTTAGCCATGAGAATTGGTTGCCTTTTAGGTGGGTGTCTTCTATTAGGCCGAAGATGGAGGCGTATGCGATTGTTGCTTTGTCCAGACCTATCCACATTAATATACCCACCCTATCAGTTAGAGAGGGCACTCACCTTGGAGGAAGTAAACTGCCAGCATAAGAGGCAGAACAACCATATCAATCCTCCCCAACACACGCGCATCATCTTCAGGCGTAACTTTAATTCTTCGTTCGGGAGATACACCGAGTCGTCGCATGAGATCTGCTGCTGCACCTTCTGCTGGTCTTCCGCGTTGGGACTCGCCGTCCATGTCGAGGAGGCGGTGGTTGTCTGATGACGCGCCTGGATCTGGCGAGCCTAGACGTGACATTTTGAGAGATGCTTATGAATTGAGGCTAGTGGGATGAGATTGAGATGGGGTCATTGAGCTGACGATGTTGGAGCTGAGATGATATGAGATGAGAGGACATGTGTTGAGGTGATCCTGACGTGCAAGGGATGGTTAAGGGATGACGGTTGGTCTTGGCCAATTAGGATCATGATTTCCCCGCGATGGAGCGTTAATAAGCAATCGCGCCAAGATACAGGGTAGTTGACGCGAAAAAAAGCATGACATTTACCACTGTTCGCTCTACGCGTCACTGTGATGTTTGCTGGAATTGCTGGATAATAGAGCGTGGGTGCAATTATCTTCCTGCGTTTCCATGATTGATTGGTGATACCGATCATCGAATGGTGGGGGCTTTTGATAGGTAATGGCGTGGATTGTTCATTCGTTAACGGTCAAATCTTCAACGCGACGTCATAGCCCAACGAACTAACTTTTCGACCGTTGCCAACGCTCTAAAGCCACGCCAATTCTCCCTTTACTCTTCGTGTCTATACACAGCCAGACTTGAATGAATCTTGAATATTGTCCTGCTGTAATACCCATCGTACATCGTGATGACAATGACTACTCAATTATAGCATCATAGCAATAATCCTGCTGAAGACATACACGTGTATGTACGTCATCCGCCACCCCCACTTGTAATCTCATAAAACAAGCACAACTCCAAACAAGATTTCCTAACAAGCCACATTCCACTCTTATCACTCTAGTGCATTATCAGCACAGATTCATAAATAAGATACCCTCACCAAGCCTCACCTATTATACCCCTGTCTTAACATCCATGAACGAAGCACTGGGTTCAATCTTCTCAGGCGCAATCCCCGCCCAATTCATGTCTTCCTCCGAAAAACCCCAAGATGGGTCCCCATCCGAATCCTCATCCGCAACAAAAGACCGCATCGTAAAAGAAATCCACAGCCGCGTCGAAGAAGCAAAAAATCTACAAGAAAAATCAATCGAACTCCACGAAAAAGCAGACAATGAATCCGATCCCGAAGAAGCAGAGAATATTCGATTTGAAGCAAGACAAATCGATAAGAAAGCAGCCAAGCTTATGAAAACTGCTGAACGACTTGAAAAGGGCTGGTTGCAGGGCGGTGCCATGGGGACGGGGATAGGTGCTGGTGTGGCGAGCGGACTAGGCATGGGTGTGGGAGCATTGTTGACGGGTGTTGTGGCTATTCCTACTGCTGGGTTGGGACTGTTAATTGGAGCGGGGACAGGACTTGCGCATGGGAGTTGGGTCAAGTTTACGGATGCTTTTAGTAAGGAGGAGACTGAGGGGATTGTTAATGAGGCTACGGAGGAGGCTGAGAAGATTGCAAAGGGAGCTGAAGAGAAGAAGTAAGTAGATGGGGGATCACGGGAAAGGATAATTGCATAGCATGGTTATGGTTCTTCAATCTTTACTGTTTACGAGTATTCAATATGCATAAGTACAAGGTAACATGGATCTATATGACACTGCCTGTATCTCGCGTGAATCACTACCGAAGTCTGACACATTTCGTTCCATTCCTCCGTCCGCGGAATCTTCCGCATCTTCAGTGACAATCCCACCTCCAACGGCCTCTTACCCCATCCTCTCTAGCCTCCCTCATCCCCGCTAATCAAACTCAGTTCAGGGTCGAATGGTACGTTAAATATGGAGCCACTTGATCAGATAAGATGCAAAGCCTCTGATAATCTCTCATCTTTTACGTGATAGTCTCTTGGCAATCACTCTTCTCTTGACTGCTCTTTGGTCAGCGGCCGACAGTAAGTTTAACCGACAATCTTAAATGCAGGGATCAACAAAGTCTTCGTGCCAAGCCGTGCTATCAATCAGCTATTCTTACCACGATGAGAAAAGATCTTCGTGATAATCCTGGTTTGGGTGGGATAAAGAGGGATAAGCACCGTTCCGGGGATTTGGTTGAGGGGATTATTGGCGAGCTATAACAGTTGGTCAGCCCAGTCCTACAGAGAAAATTTGTTCCCCAAATCTCCGTGGTCATTCTACACCAAGTGACTGTCAGAATGGTAGAAGAAACGCATCGCGACGCCGAAGCGGCAGAAGTCGAAAGACCTCGCTTCGCAAATGAAGCCCTTCGTAAGCTATGGACAACTAAAACCCTCGGCATAGCAATTGGCTGGTCAGTCATCACACCACCCTATCACATCCTACTCATCACATTTCACAGCATCGCTAACAGCCTCCAGTCTTCTGTTGATGAACTTCTTCATGAATCTAACAGTCTACACACAAAATGTCTACGAGCCGTACGCGACGAGTCATTTCAAGGCGCATTCTCTCCTAGCCACTGGCTCAATCGTCGCGGGAATTGTGAGGATTGTTTCATATCCGCTTTTGGCCAAGCTTGCAAACGTAAGAGATATTCTGGTAGGCAATTGTGGATGCGTGCTAACTGGTGCAGCATTTTGGTAGACCGCAGGGGTTTGCCGGTGGTGCCCTCGCCATGGCTATCGGAAACGCGATGTATGCATCCTGTCGCAACGTCGATACCTTCCTGGTAAGTCTCCCCATTCTTCACATCACCAATGCCAACATATTAGGCTGGTACAATCTTTGACGTACTGGGCGACTCAGCTTGGAACATCGTCCAACAGATCTTCATAGCAGACATAACCTCCCTCGTAAACAGAGGTATCCTCTTCACCCTCCCCGAATCCCTCTCCGCGATACCTACACTCTACGGCGGAACATATCTCGGCGAGCATATACTTCTAAACTCTTCTTGGAGATGGGGATACGGTATGTGGAGTATTATTCTTCCCGTTACTGCGATTCCTACTATTGGGATCATGGTATGGATGAATCGACGTGCCAAACGTGTTGGTCTTGTTGCTGAGAAGGTGTCTTTCATGCACGGTGCTCAGAGTGGACCTTTGGGGAAGGTGAAGCATGTTGGAGTCCAGTTAGATCTTTTCGGTGCTTTACTTCTTGTTGCGGGTTTGGCGATGACTTTACTCCCCATGACCATCGCAGGACGCAACAACACCGATCGCTGGAGTCGCCCATCCTCCATCGTTCTCATCATCCTCGGTGCTCTAACCTTCATCGCCTTTCTCGTCTGGGATGGCAAGTTTGCTTCCAACCCCATCATTCCTTACCGAACAATCCGCGAACACAACGTCATCGTTGCTTGCGCATCGGTTATTATTATCGCTATGTCGGATAGTATCTACCGGCCATTCCTTTCTAGCTTTTTGCAAGTTGCGGGTCATTATTCGCCTGGTGCTGCGACGCGAGTGGATGATGCGCAGCGTGTGGCTTATAATGTTGGTGCGCTTGTAGCTGGTTTGTCGCTCAAGTTTATCAAGAACACGAAACCTCTTATCATGGTTGGAGTTGTCTGCATCATCTTGGCTGCTGGGCTTCCGATTTACCTAACAAACATTTCTGGCACACATATAGCTAGCGAAGCTGCCTTCATCACCACAAAGTCACTCCTCGGTGTTGGTAGAGGCTTTACTCAAGTGCCCCTCCAAGTATCCCTCCAAGCCGTTCTCGAAAACGAGCAAGTCGCCATCGCAACAGCCGTCTACCTCTCTTCCCTAGGCTTTGGTTCCAATCTCGGTGTAACAGTCAGCGGCGCAATCTGGAACTCCCTCCTCCCCCGCAAACTCATTGCCAATTTCGGTCAAGCCGAAGGACGCAAGATCTTTGGGTCTATCGTCGTTGCGAAAAACTACACAATCGGTAGTGCTGACCGAATCGCTATTGATGAATGTTATCGGGAGACGCAGCAGACTCTTGCTATTGGATCTGTGTGTGTTTCGGGGTTGTTGCTTTTGATGGTTTATCTTGTTAGGAATGTCAAGTTGGGTGAGGAGGATGAGAAGAGGGCTGCTAAGGCGGATGAGGAACTTGCTTGGGCTGTGAAGCAGAGGGAGACTGAGGGTGATGGAGCTGTTGAGGTCGGTAAGAAGGAGTAGAGGGGAACTGTTAGTTTGGTGCCATGACTGTCTTGGAGTGGTTCTATCACTTCGTTCTTCGTATACATGAAGCATTGATGCCACTTTAGAAGTGCTGGCCGTGCTTACAATTAGAATAGAGTAGAAGTAACTCCATTCATTACCAACTCCCAACCTAGTAACATTGTTGAAATGAGGTTAACTACTCTGGTCACTGCTGTGAGGACAAAGGAATGAAGAAAAAAGAAAGCCAACATCTCAAGGACTCTAGACTGGGGCCTGACCCAGACACCACACCCCGATCCATAATCCTAGATTTCCCAGGAAAGACCTTCCTCGTCAATAACCGTTTGAGGTCTCGAATTGGAGCTCTGAGCGGTTTCTGGTCTCTGTGATGTCGCCACCCTCGCATGCATGGAATTGATATCAATATCGTTCGCCACTCCAGCTATCGAGATACTACGCTCGTTTGCATATACATTCGATATGTCTTGATCACGATTTCTCTCACTCACTCCCACATTGAAAAATCCACTCAGTGCAATGCTGCGATTATTTGCCTTGACGCCGTCGATTTTCTGTTTGGTGCGTTCGGATACAGCAGCTTTGAGGGCTTCTTCAGAGATTCGTTGCACAGCATGGATCATGGTCTTTTGTCGTTTCATCTCGTCAAGCAGAGCTTGTTTATCATCGCTCTCTTCGAGCGACAGAACTGGCTCTTCCAAACTGACCATGGCATTTTGGTCATTGCGTGCTTTGTTGATTGTTCCATTGAGGCGGCCCTCCAGAAGAACAAGCATTTGATCCCCAAGTTCTTTCGGCATCGTCTGCTGTCGACAAACTTTCAGACTGAAGGGTTATCAGCAAGTCTGCTACAGCCTAATGTAAGGATACGGGGCAGAACTTACTAGCTCGCGGTTTCTAGTGTGACATTCAACATCTTGATGCCTTGATTCAATTGCTCGTTCAGCGATCGTATTCGTCCCTGACGAAGTATCCCAATCTTGGCATTGTCAAGTAAAGACGTCTTCTCGTCGCTGGAGTGTCGCGTCCAATGGGTGAGAGAAACACTGAACTCGGTGCAGGCCCGATTACAGACTGCAAGGGCGTCCCTGATCTCCGGGCAAAGTATTAGGTCTGTGGGTTCCTCTGTGATTGCAAGCTCCAGCTTTGACAGTAGCGGCTTCAGCTGATGGAGTCCTGTCTGTATTGTTCTGATTGATTCTGGGGCATGCCGAATATTTTGAATGGTGTCTGATAGCAACCCGACACCCTGGCCCGTGACACCAATGATGCCAACGATTGAGGCGGTGATACTCAGTGGATCTGCCATGGTTCAGAAGAGGGCAATTACAGGTGGGTTTAACACTGCTACGACTTTGGCAAACAGATCAGGTTTTAATGTTGGGGTCTTGGAAATTACAAGTGAGAGGTGGCGGTTTCGCGATCGTCAAGCTAGGCTCCAATGTCTCACCAATGTAGGCTATGTCCAATACCAATCACGCTTTTGTAACTTCCTTGCTTCTATTTTTGTGCGCTGAAAATCAGGCTCTGTCTTGGAGGAAACTATTGGTGCTGGAAGCGACGATCATTGTTGCACAATCTTACACGCATAAGCCACGTCTGGGGACGGCTCAGGTGACCTGTAGAGCCAGCAAAAGCTGGAGCTGTTTTCAAAACGCAGATCTTGATACTTTTATTCTGCAGTCGCGGAAAGAATACAGCTCTAACACCCGCAATCTGCGACGCTGGTCTCAGCAATGGCAACACAGGTTCCGCTGCCAGTCGATAGCGGCGAACCCGGAACGAACCAAGGGATTCACAATGTCTTGGCTCGGGATCAGAGTGTATCTCTTGCTGGCACGTACCACGACGTGAATATTACGATTGGAGATGTCCAAAAAAGTGAGGATCACCTATCAAACTATAATTTTGGCCCGTCAACATTCTTTTCCGTAGCGACCTTCAAAGAAGAGATCAAACGTTGTCGCAATGCCGTTTTCGTCAGCCATCCAGACATAGACAGAGAAGCCCTGGCGAACGCGAAAGGGAAAAGGGCGGATGGTACCTGCGAATGGATCCTTCAAAGCCCACATTACCAGTCGTGGCTAGCTAAGGAGTTTCCAGTCCTGCGAATATCTGGTGGCCCTGGTAAAGGCAAAACTGTCATTTCGCTTTTTCTCGCCGAGGACCTCACGACGCGACTCCGAGACGGAACAGACCGTCTTCTGTCGTTCTTCTGTCGATTCCAGGATGCCAGATTCAACGATCCACTAAATGTGTTGCGAAGCCTGGCGTATCAACTTCTAGAATTTAGCTATGATGCTACACTGGTCAACCAGGTCTTGAAATATTTTGAAAGTGAAGAAAAGACACGAGATGTCTTGTCAAATTTGGAGGGCCTATGGAAGATATTGGAGACTCTATTGGCCCAGCAAGAGCTTCCTACGGTGTGGTGCATTGTGGATGGAATAGACGAGTGCGACTCGTCTGAGAATCTCGCAGCCAAGTTCTACGAGTATTGTGGCCGTTGTGGGAATCCAAATGGGGAACGCAAATTCCAGTTTGTCATCTTGGGCCGGAATATTGACGACTCTGGTGTAACACCTACCATTAACCTCGATAAGAGCGACAACGAATCTGTCACGACTGACGTTGGGACTTTCATCACATCGAGTCTGCAGCAACTCGAAATGATACCGCGATTTGCAGAATGTCGCTCTGAGATTACGAAACTTTTGGTTGACAAAGCCGAAGGAATCTTTCTATGGGTTAGCTTTATTATTGCAGAACTCAGCAAGAAACGAACATGCCTCCAGATAATGGATACGGTCAACGCGTTTCCTAAAGGACTAAACGCGACCTTTGCCAGGATGCTGGGCGGAGTCGACCCGGAATACCGTCAAGTCAGCGCATCCATACTAAAGTGGATAACCTTTTCAGAAAGACCCCTTACCCTGAACGAACTGGCAGATGCCACTGCTGAAAGCGTACTGCGAAATCACGATGGGGCCGGCACAGGGGTCGTGGCAGACGTCGTCTTTATTCTGAGACCGCTACTTCAGGTGCACGAAGGAAAGGTTCTCTTTGTGCATCAATCAGCCAAAGAATATTTCACTAGCAGCCATCGGAACTCGGAGGCACCCTTAGAAGAGTACCGTTTTACGTCCAACGAGTGCCAAGGTCCCATCGCCCAGAGATGCTTAGTGGTGCTCAAGGAAAGCGATCACCAAACCAAAAAACAAACACACGATAACAACTATTCTACCATCTCTCCTCTTTTTGAATATGCTAAAGAATACTGGGCCTATCATATTAGACTGTCCGCGACATGCCCCATCGATATTAACCGCTCGTTCTTCGTCAATATGGTATTGAAACAAGATAGCTTCCTCCAAGAGATCTTCGATCCACTCTTTCCGTCATTACATCAAGCATGTGCGTTTGGTATCGTCCGATGGCTTGAGGCCCTTTACCGGCATAATAAGCCGCACTGGAAGGAAAACATCAATGTCAGGCTTCGCCCTGGGCGGTACCGGCTCCCTCAGTTACCATCTAAACGGCTCCCTCGATTACCATTGTCATGGGCAATGGCTAGTGGTGATGAAAGCACAATAAGGTTTCTCCTTAACCATGGGGCCAAATCCCGACGTTCGATGAGAGAAGCATTTTCTTACGCAGCGGAAATTGGGCAACCGGCCGCCGTGCGAATTCTGCTTGAGAGCGGTGTTACATTTCACTACGCTTTCAAGGAAAGGATGAAGAATCAACTGTGGTGCGCCCTGTTGCCTTCGGACTTTTATGAATGCGATGGTGACCGGAAGTCGACCCTTAATCTTCGCCACAAATTCTGTTTAGATCGTCTACATGATTGGAATATACACTGGCTCTACGCGTCCCATACGCTCTTGATCCATGCAGCCTCGCATGGACACAAACCAACAGTCCAGCTTGTTCTTGATCACGGCGCTGATATTGAAGCGAAGGCAGATTGGGGGAATGAGAATGCCCTGTGCGCTGCAGCCTTCGAGGGACGTCTAGATGTTCTGAAGCTCCTCCTTGATCGCGGAGCTAATATCGAGGCCAAAGATGACCGAGGACGGACTGCCCTGTCTGTAGCAGCATCAAGAAGACATCTGTCTCTTGTGGAGTGCCTCCTTGGAAACCGTGCGGATATCGAGGCCACAGACCATTTCGGAGCGACAGCTTTGATGATTTCAATATGGGAGAATAACACCGACATAGTAGGCTACCTCATCGATCATGGCGCCAATATATTTGCCAGGGATTCTCCAAATGAGACCGGTTTGATAAAAGCCATACTCAGAGGTCATATGGAATTACTAGGAGAACTTATTAATTGTGGCATTTGTGCGGACGATGTGGCCCAAAGTAACCGCCCTCTTGCTCTCATTGCCGTAGAGCATACCTCTGAGCGATTGCTACACTTCCTATTCGAAAACGGTGTCGATATCAACAAAAAATGTCCATTTGGCGTCACCCCACTGATCTCTGCCCTCACACTGTCTTGGGATTCAAAAGGCTTTACCATCCCTTCTTTTTGGAATGGGAAGTCATCTGCTGACATCACAGGAAGGTTTCCTGGCCTCTTCCTTGATACCCAACGTTCGCTGTGCAACAGGCCGTCTATCTCGTTTGAAAATGACGCAATGGCAAGAACTTTACTCAGTCAAGGGGCTGATATAAGCCTATGCGGAAGGGTCTGCTTCTATGAATCTCTCTTGGACGATGAGAGAATAGAGTGGGATAGACGTAGAGCCTTGGAAGAAGGAACTGGAGGAGTGGTGTTAGATGCGCCACCAGTCATCTGTGCAGCCAGGCTAAGCTTAGACTGGGCTATCAATCTCTTACTTGAACGTGGTGCTGATTGTAACGCGAGGGCTACGGAGTTATACCTACCAAAACGAAAGGGATTCTATTTCATACCATCTACTATCAGGGGTCGCCGAAAGTACTACGAAGAGATTGAAAGATTTCCTGATATTGGTTGGGATCACATTCCCTCCTGGCCACTACCAAAGGAAGTTTGTGCTCGCCCAGCCGGCTCGGCGCTCGTATATGCATCGATGAGTGGTCATCTAACGACCGTTCGTCTTTTACTTAGCTACGGGGCCGATACGAGCATTGAGGACGGCTTTGGGATGACAGCACTAATGTGGGCGATAAAGAAGGAATTTTTGGAGATCAAGGAGGTGTTGGAGGCACACGATGCTGGTAGGATATAAACTTTTGTATAATAGACATGACCTAGTAGCTATCGTTACAAAGAATTCATGGGCGGACTGACAGAACTGCCATTCTGTCTCGAATCCTCAACGATACCTAACTCATTATTCGCATTTGCCATCATCCCAGCAAAGATATCTCCCATTCCAATGTCCTCAATCTGACCCAAATTATCCGGCGGCGATCCCAACAACTCATATGGCCAAAACGGCACACCTCCAGCGTCATTGAAGAGCGAGGAATCCAAAAGCGGCATGTCGCTAAAGTCCAACGGAGGGATATTCGTAATCTCGCATAACGCAGCCGTTAGATCCACAGGAAAGGGTTGCTTTGGGTTGAAGAAGGATTCCTGGTCGACCATGATAGCATCCTGCGCTTGGGCTTGGTCCTTCAAATCTGCTGATCCAATTCCATTCTCGTCTGTGATGCTGTCCGGTATCAAGTCCTTGTTCATCGCCGAAAACCGCTTCCGTGATTCTTCATCCCCCATTTGCGCAGCATCTGAACTCATCTTTGCGAAGCTCGTCCTTCCAGCTCTCAGACTCGGCGGAAAGTCACACTCGTCCGGCAATCTCCCATTGCTGATACTCATATCAAGCGTCATAACTAATCTCAAGTAATAACTCGGTCGACTCTTCAACATGTCAAGAGCGCTACGCGCTTCAGAGCCATCCCTTTGTCCTGCTAGTTCCACGACATGTCTAATAGCTCGCATGACCCAATCCGTGATGTAGTATTTGTTCTTGTAGCTCTTCATTTGTCTGACGAGGTTATCCACGTGTTGTTGCTTTTGGGAAGTTTTGGGGTGCAGTTCGACGTCGATCATTTGGAGAGCTAATGGGAAGGCTGTGCAGCCGATGCTGGATGGTGTCAGTGAGAGGTGAGGATGAAAGGGAAGAGATGCATACGCTGTCATGGGAAGCCATCTCGATAGACCAAGACGGTCAAACTCGAGGAGGCATTCTGTTACGCGAGATGCTGAACCTTGAAGATCTTCGCTTTGACGACGGAGGTGAACGTCTGATTGAGATGTTGGCACGAGACTTGATCGAAGGATGTTGTAGTGGCAGACTGATAGTCTAGCAGAACTGTCACAGTTAGTAAGTCCTCTAACGTATGGACGAGTGGACTCACTGATAGTACATCTCAATGAGATTCTTGAACAGAATAATGGACTCTGCCATTTCTCCACTCTCGCCTCGCCTCTCCTCCAATGTTCCTTTCGTTTCACCCCAAGCATTATACCATCTTCTCAACTCAATTCCACAGACTCCCGCATCTTTCATCCGTCCACTGAGCATCCAAGACGGATTATTATACAGCACCGCGACAACCATTAAAACATCCGTAAGCACAACACACAACTCAACTAGCTTAGCCAAAAGCTCTGCATGCAACGTCTTAGTCTCCGAGTCATACACATCAGAATTATACAGCTCGTCCGCCAAATCTGCACTGCCAAGTACCGAGCATCCAGAAAAGCTAAAATTGTGAGGCGTGATTTTTATGCTCTGTCTTGACGTAAGTGGAAGAAGACGATCGCAGATTATGCAGCTCCACCAAAGCCGTTTAAGAGTGTTGCGACGCTTTTGGATTTTGGCGACTTCAGTAGGGTTGGAAGGACGTAGAGAACTGTAGCAGTGAGCTTTTGCGACGCGCGCGTAGGATATGGCTATGCCGAGCCAGATGGAGCCTAAAGGTTTGTTGCCGGCTATGCAGCGGGGGATCAGATGTGTGTGGGCGAGGAGGAGAGATGCTTGGGCTATGGCGATACAGGACTTTTCGACGCTGAAGTCGTAGAGAAGCTTCGCGCGGCGATAGAAGGCCAATTTGGCCTGGTGAACGTCTGGAAAGCCTAGTAATTTGATCGTTTCCGCTGACACGAACTTCGCAAGTCAGTATAGTCCCCAGCATCAAGAGTCTTTACTTACTCCAGAAGAAATGAACAAAACACCCTGCAGAACCAACATAGGCATCTCATACTCCACATCCCCCTCCACAGAATTATAAGAAAGCCAAAAATCCTTCTCATTCAGAATCGGGAGCATTGGATGAACATGTAAGAAATACTGTCTCAAAAAATCATCCAGCGCTGCTCTTTGCGGCACGATGAAACACCCTTGGCTGACTAGGAATTGGAGGTCTTGGGGGAGAAGGTCTTTTGTGTCGGGGACTTGGAGGAAGGCGTAGTCGGGATGACATGGTGAACTTGGTACTTGAGTAATGTTTTGAGAAAGGATGGAGGCTGAAGATGAGATTGAACCTGGTCTTGATGCTGCAGGTAGAGGTTGTTGAATTGGTGCCTCAATGGGTTTCTCGGCTGCTGATTCGATTGAGCGTGGTGTTGGCGGGATATTCGGCCTCAGAGTCGGATTGGTCGGTCTAAAAATTAGTTGTGCTCATTTTGAGGAGAGAACAAACTTACATTATGCCATGTCTTCGCTTGAATGTACAAACCTTGTCGTTATGTCGACAATTGACACAAGGACCCGAAGGATCCTCAATGATACACCGAACTTTCCGGGCGCGACAAAGGTTGCACGCCCTTGAGACCCGTTTGCGCGTCGTCTTTGTCTGCTCCATATTGAATCCCTGGTACAATTGCAGAGTGGAAGTTCAATTTGAAGGATCAGGTGGGTTATGTTGATTCTAAGTTCATGCAATTACCGCTTCGCGATTGGAAATCTGAAATACGTCAGTCAGTTCCGATGGGATCTGCCGACAGTTCCCCGCAAAATTAGACGTGGAGAGGATGAAGCTAGACTGTTTATGGGGTTGTTAACCCGAAGTGTCCAGCTGTCGGGTGTAGGGTGGGATGGGCGCAGTCAGGCGAGAGGACCTATCAGAGACGAGTATTCTCATGTCTTTGCCGAGAGACCGAATTGATTGAGAGCAGTTCAAGTTGCAGGAGTTGGTGATCAAGAGATAAAGTGCTTCTTTGTAAAGAGGCTGGGTCTCTAGAATGATGAAACAAACGTCATGAAGGTTTAAGGTTGGCCGAAACGCATGGCTTTGAAGAGACGGCATTGCCGCCGCTGGCCAAAATGGCATGGGCTGTTGAAGTTTTGACGACGACGTCTCCACAGAAGGCGGCTGGCCCATTTGGACCCGCAGATCAAACGACGACCAGAAGCAGAGAGGTCCAGGGTAGCTTCTCTCCGACCCAGCCAACAACACTTCTATCAATCAACAATTACACTCAGCACAGTCAGCAGCGGGGTAAAAGTTGCACGACACCAAACAGCACAATGATGACATACAATCCGATTTATCCGCCTATCAGAGTATCTGAATGTTTATCTCAGATCATCCAAAGTCGCTGACCACCTATAAAAGAGACCATGTTTCTCAGTCTCTATTCTCTCACCATTTATCCTGTACTGGTGTTCTAAGAAGCCAGAGGCAAGATTTACATATCAAAACGACCATTCTCAGAACCAGCAAAATGACGGACAAAGATCTCCCCACCCAACTCAAAGCCTCGCTCGAAGCATCCAAGTGCGAATATCGCAACCTTGGTAAATCTGGATTACGCATTTCTGTTCCCGTGTTTGGCTGCATGAGCTTCGGAGATAAGAGGACCTTGCCTTGGGTTATTGGTGAAGAGGAGGTATGAGCCCCCAGGTCATCTATCGCAACAAATACTAACACGCGACAGGCGTTGGAGCTTCTTAAAGCGGCGTATGATCGTGGACTCAATACCTGGGACACCGCCAATACTTACAGCAACGGCGTCTCTGAAGAGATCGTCGGTAAAGCATTGAAGAAATTCAACATCCCCCGCCACAAGGTCCTCATTCTGACAAAATGTCGCTGGGCTGTTGGTGAAGAGCCCTGTACGTCCCACCTCTATCATGCGCCGTCCCAAATACTGACATCGAACAGCCGCTCGCCACATCAACTACAAATCCGAATTTGAAGTCTCCAAAGACTATCAAAACCAATACGGTCTCTCCCGCGCAGCAATCTTCAACCAGGTAAACGCCTCTCTCAAACGTCTCGACACAGAATATATCGATCTTCTCCAAATTCACCGGTACGATGAAGACACCCCTCTTGAAGAAACCATGAAAGCGCTGCACGATCTTGTTCAGTCCGGTAAAGTGCGATATATCGGTGCGAGTAGCATGTGGGCAACGCAGTTTGCGCGCATGCAATTCGTTGCTGAGAGGAACGGTTGGACACAATTCATAAGCATGCAGAACCACTACAATCTTCTCTACCGTGAGGAAGAGCGCGAGATGATCCGGTATTGCAATGACACTGGCGTCGGACTTATTCCTTGGGCACCGCTCTGCAGAGGCCACCTTGCACGACCACCCAAAGACTTTGGATCTACAGACCGAAGTAAAGGCGAGAAGGAAAGTTCAGGAGAGCTGTCGGATGTTGATAATAAGATTATTGGACGGGTCATGGAAATTGCGGAGAAGAAGGGTTGGGCTATGGCGGAGGTTGCGTTGGCATGGATTGGCGAGAGGGTCACCAGTCCCATTATTGGCTTTAGTAGTGTTGAGAGGATTGACCAGGCTGTGGGTGCTAGAGGAAAAGTCTTAAGTAAGGAAGAGGTTCAGTATCTGGAGGAGTTGTATGAGCCAAAGGCTATCGCGGGACATACTTGACCGAGTCGATCAGCTAGGTATATACACTGAGGTATTTCTGTGCTTAGAGGACTATATCTACAAATACCCATCGCGGCTTCATGAATGGTAGTGCAGATTTGGCTCAGGCAATCCACCAGAGCCACTGGAGTACCTTTGCCTGCGCAGGCATAGGTGGTCGAAAACATCACCCTGTGCAGATCAAGGGGGAAAATAATGCAAAAAGTATTACAGAAGAAATATGAAAAAATTGCCTCTATTCTCAAACCCGACCTATAAAACCTTATCTGGGATGTTAAATACTAGCCCGCCGTCGCAGTCCTTCAGTCGCTTGAAAACACCCTTCACTATTCGGCCTCTTCAACCTCCTCAGCTCTAATACCTCTGCCCTCACCCTGGCCTCAGCCTTATTTATTAAGTCGGTTCCTCCAAGAGCTTCAAGTTGCGTTTTCACAATCTGTATACGATCATCTCGCTCCTCTTTGGATTCATAAACATCTTCCAAGCTATATCCGTTTTCACAACTACCGTAGGAGTTATCATCATAATCATCGTCAGATTCAATCTGGACTCCCACATCCGTGCAGCAATCGCCTGTCATTTCATCGTCATGGTGGTCATTCTCTTCGTTGCCCCGGGATTCAAGTTCACATCGAACACACCTATTCCTGGCTCGTAGCCTTTCAAGATTCTTGTCTTCCTCAATAGCCCTCAAGAGGTGAACCCAGCTTTGTTCAATGAACGATTCTCGTTTGTCCACACTTTCAAGTTGGTCTCCGTAGGTATCAATGAAGTAGCCGAGCATGCTAGCAAACCAAAGCTCATTCGCAAAGGCCCAGTCTGAAGAGGATTTCTGAGGTTTAGTCTCATAAGCCAAATCAATCCACGACTTAGACTTGGCAACATCACCACCACTCAACCAAATCTCGCCGACCTTCATATAACTGCTGAAGGAACGGAGCGAGGAGCCTGAAAGCAATCGTGAGGTAGCGTCGGAGGATACCAAATTTGTTGCTTCCAAGTCTCCCTCGTTGAAATAGATCTGGCCTAACATTGCGTAGCCTTCGCAAGCGCGATCCAAGTTATTACTGCAACGCAAGCATGTCTCAATATATTTCAGTGTGAGTAATGTCGTCCTGTCTTTGAACATGGGGATAGTCTCAGTTGAGAATATTGCTTGTGTCTCCCACCAGTCTGCCTCATCCAAGCCTTCCGAGTCGTCAATCAGATAGATTAGTGAGTAGCAATGTAGGAATTCGTCATAGCCGGGTTTCATGAGACCAACATTTTCAAGTTTAGAGACGAGAGGTCGAATCACACCAAGTGTCGTGTGTTGGTCGAGACTTTTCATTGTCACTGTTACCTCCTTGACCTCCAGCAGTTCGCGAGATAAAGCCATCGATCTATCGTACTGGCAAAAATGGGCTAGGCCCTTTGCCATGCTAACAAGCGAGAGTTCGTATACTGCCTGTACCTTTTGAATTCCCAAGCGCTTGACCTCGTCAGTGGCTTCAATGCAGTATCTTATGGACTCTTCTTCATCTCCGATAGCAGCAAACGCGGATGATCGAAAGGCTTGGACTCTCCACCGGATATGTATATGTATGTCATTGGCTTTGGAGCCGACACTTTCGAATACTTCAATGTACTTGTCACATGTGGAAATGAGTTCGTTGAACCCTCCACTGAGATGAAGAGCATTGAGTCGAATATTGTACAAATGTAGGATAGCCGTCGTCGGCTCTGCTCCTGACTCGTTAAAGACGTCGATGCCCTGGCCAGCAATGACAGCTGCAGCTGCGTGTTCACCAGCATTCTCAAGCCAAAAGGCTGTTTTTCTAAGCCAATTCACTCTATAGGCAAAACCTCCTCGCGTATGGCCGAGGCTGTAATCCCAGACTAGGCTGCGGCATTTTTCTCTCTGCTTGCCAACGATCTTCTCCAGTGACTTCGCGGATTCTACAGCCTGTTCTGGTCTATCGGTTCTAGCCCGTATTTGTATTTGCAGGTTGTAAGCTTCGACCTTCAAGAACTCGGTCTGTGGTCGAACAAGAAGACAATTGGCAATTTCGATCAATTTGTCTACCAGCCTCTCTGTCTCCTCGCCGTAGTCTTCGAATCCATGCATCTTTATAGCAGCGAGATTTAGTAAACTGCAAAACTCGTAGAAGTCTCGATGACCCAATGTCTTGGCCATTGAGACAGCTGCAAGCCTCTCTGCAAGAGGCCACCTATTCTGCTTTGCTGCCACCCTTGCCGCCATGAGAATGAGAGGCGGAGACAGGGGCTTTGCAGATGAGGCTACCAAGGCTACAGTCGAGCTCTCTAGCGATTTAAACATCTTAGAAACAGCCCCAAGACTCTGTGACAGCCTTTGGGCAGGGAGTCCGTAAGAATTGGTTATATGTTCAGGGAGCGCTGATAAAACGGTCTTGTTGGAAGCTTCCATCGGTTGACCTTTGCGGGACACAGTACCAGCAGCCTTCCGGTATGGGACAACGGGCTCGTCATTGTCGTTTAGGAAAAAGATAGCCAGGTTCAACCATGATTTATAACGTTCGTGCTGAACCCCGAAGAGCTGGAGACGACGTCTCAGTTCGCTTTTGAAATGTTCGGTCAGATCCTCCAACGCTATCTCACCCATTACAGATTGCGTCCAGGAAACGATATCAGCTTGTTGGCTCAGTATAGAGTCACTGAACATCACCAAGAGGTATTCAAAGAAGACGCAAAATTGATGTGTTCCGAATGAACTGAAAGACTCCTTGGGACTCCGCCTCTTCCGATTTTGAACTTGGCTGAGGTGAAATGGTAGATAGTTAGACACGTATAAGATGAATGGAAACCGCTGTGAAAGAGAGAGAGCTCCGTCGTCTGTTAGTGGATATCCAAGATCGATCGATTCAATATACTTGAAGCAGGCTGAGCGCATAGACTCGTGAGCGACAGAAAGGTCAACTCTGAAGTATGAAATCCCCGAGTCCTCGTGGTCCCATTCTTGCTGAGGCCGCATTAGGAATTCAGATACTGAAGCATGGATCAAATGACATCGACCATCTGTGACAGCGACTAAGTCGCCGCATGCATCTGCGATACCGTCCGTAGTGATGAGATCATCATCGACGGGACCATCTGAGTTACACTGCGAAGCATATGCATAACACAAGTCCTGAACAGTCATGGGTTCGGGGCAAGCAAGTAGAGAATACAAAAGATACCTCGCACGCTTCATTGTTACAGACGGCCTTATGACTGTCCCCCCTGTGCGGGTCATGAGTCGTGCGAACAGACGATGATATTCGCGGTCAAGGTCGTGCGGGACTTGTTTCAGAGTTTCCTTAACTTCTTCAACACTGAAACATCGTCTGAGCTCTCTCAGGGCCAAGGTAACCCAAAGAAACATAATTTGAGACCTGGACTCTAAAGACGCTTGGATCATGTCTCGAACGCTTTGGGAATGTATGGCTAGAGATGTGTCCAGCTCAACTGATATGACCTTGAGCAAGTCATTTCGAATCAAACGGTCTGTTATCTCCAATCTTGGGCAATTCCTCTTGAGGATCGTTCGCAGCGATGATTCTCGACCAGAAAGAAGGACGTGCAGGTTATTGTGGTTTTTGGCTAGATTCAGAACTGTTGATAGACTTCCCTCTGACTCATTGTTCCAGTCGTCGGAAGATTCATCAACACCATCGATTATGACGTAGACCTTTCCGTGAATCAATGATAGGGCGATATGAAGTACTCCCGTAAGCACTTGCGTATCAACAACAGCGCTTTTGCCCAGAGGTTCGGAGATTCGCTCCAGGTTCTCGTCTTTGATATAACCCAGGATTTGCCAGACCAGTGTCCGTAAGAGATTGGTAAGCTTTTGCTGGGCTTCGCTACCAGACCAAAACGAAAAGTGTAGAGCTGTCTTCTTTCTTATGCCGAACTCCCCGGCTATGGCCTTGACTAGAACGGACTTTCCGCAACCTTTAATGCCAACGATGCATAGGATTCGGTCAAGATAAGAGTCTGGAGCAATAGCTGAGTTTTGCATCCAGTCACAGAATGTCGTATGAGACCATATCCAATCGCAGGTACCAGCAGTCTTGTCCGGAATAAAGCTGCTACCGGCAGGTTGTAGAAGAGATTGTAGCTCCAGTCGTCTTGTAGTAAACGATCTGATTTCCAGATCTAGGCAATGGTAAGCTAAGCACCGGTAGAAAATATAGGTTCTTACCTCTGGTGACAGCATTTTGTCCATGGGCAATGAGCAGCGTCAAAGAAATTTCCAACTGCGATAGCCGAGTAAAGGCTTCGTTCAGTGACTTATCAAGCCTTGTAGATAGGAAGAAAGCCCTCTTTAGGTATCTTGCGGGCTCCTTCGTGATCTCTGAATTTTGAAGTAGGGTCCGAAGAGATGAGAGCTCAACCTTGAGTTGTTTCAATGGCGGCGATAGTCGTTGCAATCGAAGTTGGTCTACCCCTCCGTTCTTCCATTTGTTCTGAATATCTTGGAGGATAGACTCTAGGTCTTGCAGTTGAGTAAGCAAGTCCTGGGTAGTTTTAGCTGTAACCTTGCCTTTCCTTAGTCCGCGAACACCTGTGGAAACTGCTTTGATAATGTCGATGAGACCTGGAACAGCCGCGATAACGCCGACAATCTCCATGGTGCGCCGAGAATCTTGATCTAGGTTGAAACGGAAAGTCGTTGATGGGGAGATGCGTTGTTTAGGTGCGATAGGTATACAATACTTAAGAATCCGCTGAAGCGGGGTTGTGAGGCCACCTGACTGATCAGACTGCATAATTGGGCTGCTTACTTGTGTCTTATTGATCGGGTTTCATAGGTCAGTTGGCTAGAGCGTCGTACGAATACCTGTGTCTTAACTATTGGCTAGAGGTTGCCTATTATTTACTGTTAATCTATTCATTTTGGCCCCGGCTGGTGCCTTTCTCTTGTTATTAGAGTCTCTATCGCTATAATAGACGCCTTAATATCAATCTGAATCTTTAGTTAAGTCTATAGGATTTAAATAGCAGGTGAGCATTATACGAAGGGTACGGGGGGACCGGCTACTTGTGGCTCAAAGATCAGGCGAACCTCCCCAGCAGGATTGTGGCTTATGCGTGTAAGATTGTACAGCACCAATTATTGCATCCAAAACCAATCATGTCCCTTGGCCCCGAGCCTGATTCTCAAATTACAAAACCAGACGCTGGTAAATTACACGTGAAAGGCACTAACAATAGCCTACATCGATAACCTATCGCAGCCTCATCCAGATAATGCTCGCAGAATGGGAGTTGGAAGCAAGTGGAGGTCTATTCCATTGTCACGGACAATCTCAGGGTCAACAGAGTAGTGGTGAATTTATTTGTATACAGAGTATCTCCAGAGTAAGGTTAAGAATAGGTATGGCTGAGGATAAGACCAGATAGGGTCAACATTTAGTTTGCATTTAACTTCTGATCTACCACTTTACCAAATCCTGGACTTTAACAGGCATCCCACTCTTCATACTATGATTCGCACCAACACCAACAAGCACCGCATTACCACCATCCCGAATATAAGCAGCCCTCTTAAAACTATCCTTCTGATCTCCCAAAATAACATCCTTCAACAAAACAGGATCACCACCGCCATGGCCACCCTCCTGCTTCACAACATCCACAACATAAGGCTTGTCAAACATAGGATACACCACGATCTTAGTGTTCTCGACACCACCTTGGATGTACTTCTCGTCTTCGCCGCTAGCATCCTTGGTAACGGGATCACCGAGAGGGTTGTATCCGCTCTCGACGACGTTGATTTCGATGCGGCCCTTTGTACCGTTGAAGACGCAGCGGTATCCTTCCCAAGGTGCGTAGGCGTAGGTGTTGTAAGTCATAACGGCGCGGTTCTTATACTTGATAATCATAGAAAGATTATCCTCGATGGTAATACCCTCGCCGAAACAGTTTCTGTCGCGGATATATCCATCCTCATGCTCAGCGTCGAGATAAAGCTTCTTCATGCGCTCATTATCATCAAGCTGGAACGCAAAAGGATCGTTCTTCGCATCGTCGTTGTTCTTGTATCGTTCACCAAGGTTCTTCTCACCACGCTTCTCAGCATTCTCTTTGCCGTAGAAACGCAAATCGCCAAGAGCGTAGACTAGCTCGGGCTCGGTGTTTAGCCAGAAATGCACCAGGTCGAAGTGGTGGATTGACTTGTGCATTTGGATACCGCCACTCGTCTCCTTATGTCTATGCCAGCGACGCATAAAGTCGGCGCCGTGAGCACAGTCCAGAATCCAATCCATGTGCACCGTTGAGATCTCGCCAATGACACCAGAGTCGATGAGTTCTCTGACCTTGGTATGATGCGGGGCATACCGATAATTGAACAAGACTCTCACTTGCTTGCCGGTCTTTTTCTCAGCATCAATCATCTGCTGCAGCTTATCCTCATCGATAGTCATAGGCTTCTCAGTGATGGCATCACAGCCAAGCTCCATGGCGCGAATACAGTACTTATGATGGAAAAGATCAATTGTGGTAACGATAACAACATCGGCTTTTTGTTCTTGGACCATCTTGTCAAAGTCGGTGTCTTTATAAGTTGGGACTTTCTCGCCGCCGAGCTCAACGATGTGGTCGTTTGCGACGTCCATGCGCGTTTGGTTGGTGTCGCAGATACCGACTAGCTTTGCTACATCCTTGAAGTCCTGGATGATGGCTTGATAGTACATGGCTGAGCGAACGCCCATGCCGACGATGACATAGCGCTTGAATTGTTCGGAAGTCATTTTGATGGAGTGAATGATGATGATGATTATGATTACGACCCCTCATCAGCGATGTGATGCTCTGTTAAATACCCCAACACTCAGATTGCTGACCTACGTATTACCTGAACCCCGCCGGTGGTTCGGGCGAGTATTCTCCGACTGAGGTGGCATGTCTTGGCTGGCGTGCAGATCATTTCTGAGAAAGTTAGCGTTACCAGTTTTATCAAGTTTGTTGGCGTTTAACAATGGATGATCAATGTTGGAGAACTGGAGAATTTCCACTTTATATATAACTCGGATGCTATATTTATTTCCGAGTATACGGAGAGGTGTCCTTGAATTGTTATATCGGAGAGAAAGGCGATCGTGAAGAATGGCTTTTGTCTATTGGAGGTCTATCGTTGGTAGTGCTGTTCTATCTCCTTGCCACTTATTGCTTCATCAGCTTGCGGAGATCAGACTCATTCTGACTCTCTTGGTCACCAAGACGTCCAACCTCCTCGCCCTACCCAAGCAATTAGCTTCCCTTCCCCAATATTCGTATCTCAAAACTTACATATTTGACCTTCACGACAGTAGGAAGACACTGTATGTTGTAAGGTGCCTGGCGGTACTTGTTGTTTGGGTTTCCCTTCCACTCCTCGCGCGAACCAGCCATGACGAGATGAGCAGTAGGAGCTGAGGCGTCGCCAAAGACGGCGTTCAGAGCGGGCAGTGCATTGCGGCAGTCAGGGCACCAGGAGGGTTCGCCTGAGGCAAAGTAGACGACGTAGTGAGTGTCGTCGGTGGTGGTAGGAGGGACTGAGGCGTTGATAATAGGCATTTTGAAGTCGTGAGTGGTTGACAGTGGATTGTATGGCGCAATGTTGATATCTTGGTGAAAAAGTTCAAGATCGACTAACCCCTCTTTGGCCGACATACAGTGCGCCTATTTTCAAAAAACACGTGCTATGTCGGTGGAGTTTGGGTGGGTCGTACCGTGCGTGATTCCACCCTAACCGCTTTCTGTACAGTAATCGTTCCAGGGTAATTAATCAATGTGGTTTTTAATAGTCTCAACACCATCGTTAGAGCATGAGTTTGAACTGAGATAAATGGTCTGACTATTTAATTGATTATAAAAATCATCCTTTTTCTTTTCTTTTTTTTTT